TGCTGACATTTCCTGTCCTCTGCAGCAGGAGCCACTCTTGCTGTCTCTAGTCTAAGTAAAGAATTCACCCTCCTGCCTTTCCTAGTTCCTCCAAGTGTGGACATGTCCACATTCTGCCTGCTCATTGGCTAAGAATGATAGCAGTTTCCCCATAAGCTACAGGGTTTCCTGGCTCATTTGTGCTTTTTTGTCTGTTTGTGACTCCCTGATTGCTCTCACATTGTCCAGGCAAGTGCCATCATCTTCATCAAAAGAAGAAACAGGGAAGAAAATACCAAAAGCCTTGAGAGTCAGCCTAGGGCTTTCACACGCAGCTGCATTTCCAGCATTTTCATTTTTTTTTTTTATTTTGAGATGGGGTCTTGCTAAGTGGCCCAAGTAAGGCTTGAATTTGCCTTCCTCCTGCCTCAGTCTCCCAGAGGCAGGGTTGACAGGTATGTGTCACCGTGCCCTGCTGTTTCATATTTGCAAGTGGCATGGTCCTGCTGTTTCCTGACTAGCTTCAGTTGTCTGGTGACTTCCTCTGAGACAGCTTTTATCTCTTGTGCTTCTCTGATAAAACCACAGGAAGATCCTCAGTATTCACAGTATTATGGTTCCATAGGCAATGAAATTGTGGTGTGTCATACTTGGTTTCCCTTATAAAAGCGTTCTGGTGCAGTTTGCGTGACTTTGACATACACTGACTCATCCTCCATCTCCTCCCTCTCAGGCCTGCTGGCACTCTTTCTTTCCCATGTGAGTTTCTGCCCCACGTGCCCTCTGCCCATGCTTCAGCCTGGGCTATGTATGCAGCTGCTGTGTGCCCATTGTCTGGTGCTTCTGTCCACCACTGGTGCCCGGATTCCTTCACCTCAGTGCTAGCACTGCGAGATCTTGCTACACAGCTGGGGATGCCCAGGCTGTGACTGTTGAGTACCTTGGTGCAGCTTTTTCTTGGTCTTGTCCAGAAAATCTTAGCATTGTCTTTGTATGTCTTGGGACATTTTATGCTTGTGTGTGTGTCTTCTGTTTCTTTATAATTTTCAGTCTGGAAACTTGCCTGTATGAGGTTGTTTAAACATTATTTGATACTTTTTTTTTTGGCATGTTCACCTAAATGGATGCTGACCACCCTGGATTGTGCTGCTTGTTTCTTTCTCTTTCCTACTCTAGCCCCTTGTCCTGTGTCTTCCGCTCCGTTCTTTCCTTCCTCTTGTTCTTCCCTTCCTCTCTTCCTTTATTGGTCTATTCTGTAGCTCTTTTTTTTTTATTGTACTCAAGAAATGATCTTTAGTAATAAGAATTATTATTTCTGTCATTTCAAGAATGTGCTTAGCCAGACATTGTGGCACATGCCTGTAATCCTAGCACTTGGGAGGCTGAGACAAGAGAATCGCTTTGAGTGTCCATGGCCAGCCTGTGCTATATAGTGAGTTCGAGGCCAGCCTGAACTACCTAGCAAGACCCTGTCTCAATAAAACGAAACAAATATGCTTAAATTCTCTCTTACTCTGCCTCTCGGCAGCACCCTGTTCTTGTTTCCTGAATGCAGTTATTTTTTCTCAGAGGCTGTTAATTACACAAGTGTTTGGAAGTTGACTGTAGCGTGGTTTGTTTACCCATTGTTCTGTGTTTGTCTTTCATGAGGTACTTGGTGGATCTGGTCATTCTTAGTGGTTATTCCATGATCAAGGATGAAGCATTTAAAACGACTGATTGAAAGATGGCCTTCCAAATCAATTTTAAATTCCAATGCTAAGTTGGGAAAAACTTTTTAATTGCTTCCAATGGAGATAAGCGGTTTTTTTGATGTGCATGTGTATGTGTAAAAGGTCTTTTCTGTTAATATTGTTTCATTTGAGAACAAATACTTTATTGCCTGTGGAAGTGTACCTGAGTTACGTATCAGGCGGAAATAAGTGTAACTTTTCATTGGTGTCACTCAGATGATTTACGATCCCTGTAGTACTTTTTCGGATGGAGTTCAGATGCACTTCTAGAGAGGAGCTCAGGGTGAGGGGTGGCTGACAAGGACCAGCACTCTATAGTTCTTCACTGGCTATTTAGGTGCAAGCTTTCAGCTTTTTGTGTGTTTCTTTGGATTTTGGCAGCACTGGAGATGAAATCCAGAGCTGTTACACCCAGCTGTATACTCAACCTTTATTTTCATTTTTTGAGATAAGTTTACTAAGTCATGACGTTGCCTGGGCTGAGCTTGAACTTGTGATCCTCCTGCCTCAGCCTTCCAGAATCCTGGGATTATAGGTGTCTTTATAGTCCCACCATAAGCTTTATGTTTCTGTGCATTCAATAAAAATTGGAGGGATTTGATTCCTGAAATTGGGTGTTGGAGCAGTCATGTTTCTATATTGCTGAAAACGTTGGTTATGGAAGGAGTCATAGCCCGCTTATCTGGAGAAATACGTGGTGGTGCCTCTGCCTGCTCTGTGGGGCTGTGAGTTCCAGGAGGGTGGGCTTCCATGCAGCATGAGAGCGCCTCACTGTGTGGCCCACCACACAGGCCTTCTCTGGGCCCGTGGACTCTGTCTCAGATATAATGCTGACTTAGCTGAACAGGGACAAGGTGAGGCATTGTCAGGGAGATTCCTTAGTGCAGTACTGACAACGTCCTCATTCAGACCCTAGGGCCATTGGGGGCATCTGTGTGTTCCTGCACACCCATCACCTGTGCTAGAGAGAAAGTAAGGTGAGAAGCTCAGGGCTTTGTCCAGGGGCTCAGTGGTGAGTAGTGGGTGTGACCCCCTGCATCGTGGGAGCTGGGAGCGCTTCACTCCTGGGGCCAGGCGCAGGCTCTGGCTCTCCTGCCCTCTGCTGCATCGCTCTGAGTGCTGCGCTCTTGTCTTCTGCCTTCAGGGTTCGTTTGATGGCCTGGAACTCGGCCTGACCTTCCAGGGTGACTGTGCAGGTCCCTCTGCAGGGCAGCATCTGGATGAGGTGGTCGGGAGCAAAGGCCTCCCACAGGCTGTTTTCCGCAGAGCTTCTCCATTGTAAGACTCTAGTTTTTCCAGTACACTTGCCTACAGTTTCACTGTTCAAACTTCTAGATGTGCAGATTTTAAAAGACAGCCAGAAAAGTAACCTGCTTCTCAAGCTGCCTTCTCAAAGATGGTTCTATGTTATTTTACCTTTTGTACTAAAGGCATTTTCTTTTATAGACCTCAAATTTAGGAGGATATGAAGAGGTTTTTTTTTTTTCTTTCTTTGTTTTTCTTTGTTTTTTTGAAAGAGGATCTGGCTGTATTGTTCAGGCTGGCCTTAGCCTTGAGGCAGTCCTCTTGCCTCAGCCTCCTGAGAATGACAGGTGTGCAATACCACATCTTGTTTTGGGGGTCTGCTTTTTACTCAAAACATTTTCTAATATTCTGTATTATCCTTCATGGTCCGTCCCTGTCTCTGGTGCACTGTGACCCTTGGTAGCTTTTCAGTAAATGTCAGTAAGTGTTATACCTGGAGCGCAGCCTGTGGTTACATAAAATGTTCTCCAGATGTGGGTTGCAGCTGGTAAAAAGTCATGTAAAGCAGAGCGCAACTACACAGTAATGTGACGTGGTCTGGAAGCTATGAGTGTCAGGACTGCTCACTTTGTTTTTTCTAAATAACTTTATTGATATTGACATACAGTAAACGGCACGTATTTAAAATGTGCAGTTTGATGGACACATTTTTACGCCCATGAAACCTTTGCCAGGTTTTAATAGAGATCTCACCCATCAGCCCTGAAATTTCCTGTGTTTGGAATCTCCCCTTCCTGCCTCCCCATGCGGGTTAAGCATCAAGTGCTTGTCCTGTTGGCTGGACAGTTACCCAGAGAAGTGAGCACATGTCTGCCTTAAGAGATCCCTTAAGTCATAGGAGCCTGTGTTCATAATAACCCCAAACCAGAAGTAACCACAATGTCCATCAGCAAGTGAGTGGACAGAGTGAGAGTGTTTAGTAATAAAGAGAAATGAACTTGTATCTCATTTGAAGATTTGCCACACTAGAAACAGTAGATTTGCTTTCTTTGTTATATAGCAATTCACTTGATGTTGGTATTTGCCCTTAGTGTATCTCCTAAAATGAAGGAAGTTAGTTAACCCTGGAAGTTTCTTACTGGTGAACCATAAAAGGGGATGTGATATTTGGAGAATCGAAGGCTGATGATTCCTCAGAGAATTTGAAGTCAGAAATAGGAAGTGACGTCAGTAATGGTTGCGTGGATTTGTAGATTTTTTATAGGCTGGGTGAGTCAGAATAGTGAAAGCAGAATTCACAGAAAGACTGAGCACAGAGCAGAATTCTTCCAGCTCTGGTTTGCATGCGGTGAAGATGAGCTTTTGGGGAACCGTTCTTGAGCTCAGCCTGCTGCCTGACCCTGCTCAGCACCTATGGGTAGTGGCCCCCATCTCATGGTTTTCACCTCCTCTCGAGAGTCTGTGTTCTCTCATGGTTGCCATCCATGAATCAGTGAGGGGCTGAGCCAGTACCTGAGCTGTTCAGATTATCTCTGCAGGAGCCAGCTTCTGTTTCTGTTAGGCGCTAGGGACAGAGTTGCATACCTCTGTTCTTACTCTCTTTCATTGTGTTGGTGTCTGTTTTTACAGAATGCCTCTTTTTTAGGAACAGCCAGCTCTTAACAAAAAAGTCAGTACTGTGTATGGGTCTGTGTTACCTCTTTTAAGAGACAAGGGAAGAACAAGAGTGAGTCCAGGTCGGGGGCCACGCAGCCTCCCTGCCGTGTTGCTGCTGTGCAGCAGGTCTGCTGCGTGAGATGCAGCCGGCCAACCAGGTTCAGCTGCAGCTTCCCATGTAAAGGAATAGTTTTGTGAGGAACTGGAGAATTGAACCCGGGTCAGCAGTACACAGGCAAATGAGAGTTGCAGTTAACCGGGAGGGCAGGAAAGTTAACCAACCTCGGTGGTTTAGGCGCCTGGAACATCGTGATTAAGCCCTGCCATCATTGTTACACCAGGTCTTCTCATCACTGAGTTTGTTTGTGCCTTTCTGTTTTCTCTTAGGCATGTCACTCCTGAAAAGTTCTACGTGGAAGCGTGTGATGATGGAGCTGATGACGTGCTCACCATTGACCGCGTCTCCACAGAGGTCACCCTCGCAGGTACCTGTGGCCAGGGCTGGGGCGGCAGCCGCGGAAGGGCCATGTGTGAACGAAAGACAGTCCCTCTTAGGGTAGCTATGCCCACGTGTGGGTGTGGACCCAGCGCCGCCGCCTCAGAATTTTCATTCTTGCTGCCTCATTTAATTTTTATGAAAAGGAGAAAAAATAAATTTAGATAGCATTGTGCTATCTGTAGGGTTTAGTAACTTCTAGAAAGTTTTCTTTCTGTGTTCCTTTATCTGTGTTCTAACAGGATTGGCTTAGATAGCTGAGCTGTTTCCCAGAAGTAGTATTTGAAGTATTTGCCAAAATGTTTCAGCTTTAAGTGTAAGGAATTTTATCAGCTGCTTTGTTTTGTGTTTTGAACTTTTTTATGACTTGGCAGATAATTTACTAGATAAAAATAAATGACACTTCACTAAAATTTTAGTCATTTACACATTGTCCAGTTGTATTTTGGTCTTTACCAGTATGTGGGAAACAGTTTTTTTCAGTTGTATAGAACATTGATGTCTCAATAGATTATATGAAATAATGTTGGTGACAAATTAATGATCATCTGATGTTGTTACTGCAGTTACAATTTCCTTTTGTTAGTTTGAAAATTCCAGTTCACCGGAGGCACAATTCTGTGTGCAGCTGCTTGCCTGGCAGGTATAAGATCCTGAGTTAGATTTCTGGTACTGGAAAAAAAAATTCCAGTTCACCACCAGAGTTCTGTATTTGCTTTTTTTTTTTTAGTGTTTGAATTGCAATAGAGCAGTCAGTACATGCCCTCTGAATAGAGGAAGTAAGATGTAAAAAATAGTGTAAAATTCCCATTTCTTTGGTGACTTCATCATTTTTGTAGGTGCCACAGGCAGAGTTTTCCTTTGATGAAGTGGAATTAGAGCTGTCTCAGTCCGTCTGATAGGTCAGTGTTCCCTGTTCGTTGCTTGGCGGCTGCTCTCAGCTGCTTGGCTCTCCTCAGCCAGAGTGCCCAGCCCCTAATGTGTCATCACAGTGTGAGCTTAGTTACTGCTGCTTTGTGCCTTGGTGATAGACGCTCACATTTCCTGAGAGCTGTATGTGGGTACTTTTTCAGATATGTTGGACCTTTCAGTGACACTTTATTTGTGGGTAGGGATTGGGACCCACCTCAGTAGGCTGGCAATGTGTGAGTGGTTTATATATAAAAGCAGCTCTGCCAAGTCACCACCAAGAAGCCCCTGGGAACACGCTGAGAAGAGCCAGGAACTTAACTCATTGCTTTAAGTGCTTGCCTGGCAAGCATGAGGCTGTGAGTTCAATCCCCGGTACCAGAAAAAGAAAGAAAGAAAGAAAACGCTGAGAAGACGCAGAGTGCGATGCTGAGAGCCACCTCCGGGTGCTTGCTGGGCCTGTGCCTTCTTACCTTTGGGAATGCAGACTTGGCCCTGGAAAGGATTTTTCTGGATGTGTATTCTAGGAATGGTCACTGTTTTATTGCTACTATACTTCAGTTAATGTGGTTCACAGCTGTATCAGTAGCACACAGAAAAGTGTCAGATGATCTTGGTGTCTGTGGCGTGTTCTCTGTGCTTTTCTGTGCACAAGTCAGTTTCTCCTGGTAGTAGTGTCTCAGTGCAGCGCAGTACACTGGATTCTTAAGAGAAACCCAGGGGCATTTTAGACCTTTTTCAGAATTACTTTATTAGGCTGGGTGTAGTATCTGTAATCCCAGCCCTTGGGAGTCTGAGGCTTTTAAGATCCAGGCGTTGGATTTACAGTAGTGCTTCTGAAATGAATTTCAGGATTATAGAAAACAGTAATTGAAGGAAAAGTTTTCTCACAGCATAAACTTGGAAAGCCTTGGATTCGGCAGTAGGTCAGCTGTCTTGTTAGGCCTTTTTGGTCTTTGTTCCTAGCAGGTGTTGTGAAGGCCCAGGAGGGGTAGAGGTCATTGGAGATGAAGCAAAACAAGTTTATTTGTGGCATCTCCTACCTCCTTTGGGGTATTATTTTGTAAATCTAAGCTCTGCAGAGCGTGCTTTGTGAGCTACTTTTGGCTGCAAGTCAAAGGGATGTGAATTCTGTGGCACTGAGAAGTTCAGCATGGGAAAGGCAGTGTTAGTGGGTTGCCTCCTGGGGTACCTCCCTACACACCTGGACTGCATCGATCTCCTGCTCCCTGAAGCATCACCTCCATTTCCTGCGTCCTCGCTGTGGAGGGACAGGCCTTTGTTTGCATTGTTAGTCACATGGTAAATAAAAATCTGTTCTCAGACTCTCACTTCTGCTTATTCTTATTTATTTATTTATTTATTTATTGTACCAAGAATCAAACTCAGGACCTTGTGCTTGCTAGGCAGGTGCTTGTGGTGCTGAGCTACAACTCCAGCTGTATTCTTTAAAGTTTATTGTGTGTGTGTGTGCTGGCGATCAAAACCAGGGCCTTGTGCATGTGAGGTGAGAGCTCTACCCTGCCTCTCTGATGTTCTTAAGATCAGTACTGTTTCTGGCAAGAGCTGAGTCAGTGTGTTTGGAAATTGGGATTAGAAACAGCCCACAGGTGACTGACACACGTTACTGTTGACACCATGTTCCAGACAAGCAGAGGCCTTTACTCGTCACAGTGACATCTTTATTTTATGTTTTGCCAAATTGGAGGTCTGACATCTGTAACGGACCGTTGCTTTTTTTGTAGAGAAATCATACATATTGATTTAGTTGAAATAATTTGAAATCAATCCAAATTTCATTTCTAATAGTGAGCTTTTTTAAATCTGGTATTTCTTTCTTTCTTCAGTCAAGAAAGATGTTCCTCCTTCCGCTGTCACTAGACCAATATTTGGTATCCTGGGCACAATCCACCTGGTGGCAGGTAAGAGCTTGTGAACTAGGAAGGCAGGAAGTAGTTACCTCGACTGACAGCGTTCAGTTATGAGGTTTAAAGTACGTACTTTATATCACGCTTTAGGCAATAAATCTCTATTTGTTACTATAGTTTCTAAAATTAAAACTCCCCAAATGGTTAAATTTAGCAGCCTGAAATTCAATTTTAAGAGTTTTACGTCTGATTGTATTTCAACTAGAGTTGAAATTCCTAACTAGATAGAAGTTTTTAATAAATTGTAAGAGGATTTAAATTATTTTTTTTCTCATTGAATACAGGCCTTTCACCCTCAGCTGAGTCTCCAGCTATATGTTCTTTTTTTTTAATCTTTTATTTTTTTTGGTACCAGGGATTGAATTTAATGGCCTCACATTTACCAGGCAAGTGCTTGAGCCTCTGAGCTAAATCTCCAGTCCTATATTTTCATTTTTTGTTTTGAGAGAAGGTCTCACTGAGTTTCCCAGGCTGGGCTTGAACTTGCAATGCTGCTTCGGCCTTCCGAATGCTGGATGGTGGGTGTGTACCAACATACCTGGCTCAGTAAAATTTGTAAGACACCACTCAGCCCAGCAGCCAGTGCCCAGAACCAGCCCAGCACAGTCGTCCTCATTTACAGTAGCACGAAGGACGTCAGAGTGGCTCAGAGGCACATTGCCTGTTGGTGGCCTGAGCTGGTGACCTATGAGCCTTCATTTCAGGCCGCCTGTGGGAAATGGGACCTGCGTGGAGAGGGTTGGGGGGTATTTTCTGTCTGCCTTTTACCATCTAAGATGATGCAGTCCTTTGGCTACCACAAGATTTTGGTTTTGCTTTTTGAAAACAAATTTGACCTTTCTGTAGGAATCTTTCAAAATAGTGCACTAGTCCTTGTAGTCATAAAATGTAGCATTGCTTTTTTAAAAAATGGGCCTATTATCTGAATACCACAGGGTACGACTTTTTCTGATTTTTGCTTTTTTGATTCCGTTTTTTGTTTTGGTGGTGGTGCCGTGGTTTGGCCCTTGCATGTGCTAAGCCTGCATTGCACCACTGGTTACATCCTGAGCACCAGCTTTAATATCTCTGTGTGTTTCACTGTGTTTTTTCCAGGTAATTATCTTATTGTCATTACCAAAAAGACGAAAATAGGTGAATTTTTCAACCATGTAATCTGGAAAGCAACAGAATTTGATATTCTTTCTTATAAGAAGACAATGTTGCACTTAACTGATATCCAGGTAAGAGCTGGGTACCATCATTAATTGAGAAGTTAAAGACAAATCTGAGCAGGGGCTGCTGAATACAAAGTTTGGTGAATTTCTATTAAGACTCATTATTAATAAGGTCATTCTTCCTACCTTTCTACTCAAGCATAAACTATATTTTAAAAGTTGCCCATATATTTTATTGTTTGGGTTTTTTTTTAAATAATGAAATTCTTAAATTATGAAATTTCTTATGGGAAGAAAAGAACAAGATATACTTATACTAATTCAGATTTAATTAACTTCATAGTATCAATAAAATATTAGATTTTTTTGGGGGGGGATTTTTGAGACAGGGTCTTGCTATGCAGTTCAGGCTGACCTTGATTTCACTTTCGTATCCTAGCCTGGTCTCAAATTTGCCACTATCCTCCTGCCTCAGCCTTCTAAGTGCTGAGATTATAAGCGTGTGCCACCACGCCTTCAAAAGATAGCTTTTGAAGTTCTACTTATTTCATTCTTTTCCCCAGGAAGGTTTTCTTCATTTTTACCACATGTGGGTATGTGTGTTTTCAGGCAGTTCTGTCTCGCTACCTGATTCTTAGGTATAAATTTATTGTTTGATTCAGTTAACACCCCTCCCCCAACAACACAGTTTACATTTTATTCACCTAAGATTGTTGATTGAAGAATTAACTTAGCAAAAATGAAAAGAAACCAGACAATGTCACCTCTGGAAGTGCAATTGAGATCTGACATATGTGGAGCCCAGAGGTGGCTGCCTGGGGACGCCTGTGCTGTCACTGTTGGGGAGAGACAGCCGGGGGGCACAGGAGCAGCCGAGGGGCACAGGAGCAGCCGAGGTCAGCAGCAGATGCGTGGATGGGAAGTGGCCCTGACCAAGCAGAGGGATGGGGGAAGCGATGGCGCATGCTCCATGGGGAGGCCTTGGGCCCTGAGTGTGAGGGTGACGGGCCAGAGCTGGCCCGGCCTTGACAGCGGCTTCTGGCCAGCACGGATATTGCAGCCCTCAACGGAGTGACAAGGAGCGGGTAGGCTCCACAAACCATTCAAATCTTTTTCTTAACAAAGAAATAAAACATTTTAAATTCTCATGTTTCTAAGGCTTCAAATTGTAGTGTACCAAAAAATATGAGTTTTACCTTTTTTTCATTTCCCTGTGCAGTTAAAAAAAACTTGAGAGAGTTCATTTTTTGGTTTGTTTTGGTTTTTTTTTTTTTTTGGAACCAGGTCTTGAACTTGGGACCTCACCAGGCAGGGGCCATGCCGCTGAGCTACATCCCCGGTCCAAGAGAATTTTAATATTTTGACAGAAAGAACTTTGACAAACGTGGAACAACCCCAGCTTTTCTGGGGCACTGAGCTGATGCCCCCTGCATGCAGAAGCTCCTTGTGGGCTGTGAGGGGGACTTGCGTGGTGGACCCGTCCCATTTGAGTTTGCGAACTTAATGTTTTAAACTCAGTGATATGTTTATGGACGTCTGTTAAGAGTTACTGTCTTCCAGAGGAATTTTATTTGTCTTTTTCATTTTCATTTTTTATCGGTACTGGGGATCGAACTCATGACCGCCTGCTTGCAAGGCAGGTGCTTGTGCCACTGAGCTAAATCCCCAACCCCTAGAGGAATTTTATTTATAGTGTTTGTTTGCTTCCTGAAAATTGAAACTTGTATTTTTATGCCCAAAATCATAAAAGTGTTTATTACTAAAAGATTTGTTTTTCTTAAACATTTACCTTATCTGTGGTAAACATTTAAATTAAATTATGGCGGGGTCACCTTAATGAAAGTGTGTTTTTCCTGTTTTAAAGTTTCTTTCTGTCCTTGCTGCATGTGTCTGGGGCAGTGTGGATCAACGTATTCATTTCTGCATGGAGCACAGTGCTTTGGCGGAATCAGGGTGGCTGTGTTCACCTGGAACTCAGGATGCTGTCAGGGCAGTTGTGATTGCTGTGTTTGTCACATAGCTGACCTGAGCCCTGCCCATACATGTGCTTTTACCCTTTTGCCTTTGGTGAAGATACTACAAATCTCTAAAACCATGTTTCTTACTTAAAAATGGCATTATATAGGTTTGTAACATGTTGACTATTTGGTACTCGTGAAACATTAATAATCATTGATAGTCACTTTTAAAACATGAGTAAAAGTCAATTTCACTCATGTTATTCATTGGGAAAGCCAGTTAAAATCATTATCTGAAAATAAAGATAAATATTGCTTTTACTGAAACTGTTTTAAACATTGGTTTTGTCAAGATCTCGTTATGCAGTTCAGGCTGCTCTTGAACTCTCAGCAATCCTCCTGCCTCAGCCTCCTAAGTGCAGGGATTGTAGGTGTGCACCACCGTGCCCCATTTAACCTCTCTCTGTTTTAAAGGAAAATTTTTTTCTTTCCAACCCAAACCAGTAAAGTTTCTTGCAGATAGTGCTAATGTTGCTCTGTGTCCCTGGGCCCCGCTTGCGTGTGTGTTGCATTTGCCAGGTGAGAAGGTACACTCAGCAAGCAGGGCTGCCATGAAGGGGTCTGGCCCGCAGCAGGTGATAGCCTAGAGTGATCGTGTTTTATTCAGATCATTTTCCTGCCCGTCAGAGTAAAAACTGTGAAGGGCACCAAAAGGAAAGAGGCCCAGCCAGCCCAGCCCTTGGAGCAGTCCATGGAGCTCTGGAGCTGTCCCTGGTTCCAGGGACTGGCAGCACCCCTTTGTGGCCTATGGGCATCAGTGGAGTTGCACTTGAGTGTTTCGAGTTTTACTCTTCAAGCCAGCAGAGTTCCTTTCAACTCCGAGACTCCTGACCCCTTCTGTTCACAGCTGCAAGACAATAAAACATTCCTGGCGATGCTGAACAGTGTCCTGAGTGTGGACGGCTTTTACTTCTCCACCACCTATGATCTGACCCACACCTTGCAGCGGCTGTCCAACACAAGTCCAGAGTTCCAAGAGATGAGTCTCTTGGAAAGGGTGAGCTTGGCCCTCGGGTATTTTTGTGTGGTTTTTTGTAAAGCAGTGTTGCTTTTTTGTTCGTGCAGGTTTGTATTCCTTTCTGTCTGTCATTGCCTCCTTCCTGCTGGCGCTGCCGCTCAGGGGTCCCCACATGTTGGTTGGGGAAGCCATCTACCGAGGGGAGCCCCTCCCCATAATTCTGAGTTTTCTTCCCTTGGTTTATTTGAGTTAGGATGAGGATTGCATGTGGGAGTTTGAGAAGATAAACCATGCTTCTTTTTAAAATTTGTGGTGTAGGATTTGAACTGAGGACCTCATGCCAGACAAGTGCTTTTTATTATATTTTGAGATATTACTCACTAAGTTGCCTAGCTGTTCTCAAAGTTCCTATTGCCCTGCCTCAGCCTCCTCGTTATCTGGGCTTACAGGCATGCACCACCATGCCTGGGACCGTGTTTAATTAAATGTGCATCAGAATTCCAAATCAAGGGCCCTGGAGTCTGTATGTACACAGACAGGACTGAGAACCATTTTATAGATCCTCAGTAATCAACACACACGTAACTCATTAGAGGAAAGCCTTTCCAATTTGTATTTTTGAATAAATATTACCTGCCAAGTACTGTTTGAGGTATAAAATCTGCAAACTAGCATTGCATTCACTTGTAATTTCTTAGCTCTCATTGTCCTGTATTGTTACCAACGTAATGGGCTTATATAAAACAGTCTTCCAGGGGCTCAGGACTTAGCTGAGTGGCTTAAGTGCCTGCCTGGCAAGTGCAAGGTTGTGAGTTCAATCCCTGGTACCAAAAATAAAACCCAGTCTTCCAGCTGGTGCTTTCAGCAGAAATGATATTCACATTTTGATTAGAAAAGTAACAATTTGACGTAAGAACTTGGAAAATATGTAAGTACTTCTGCACGTATTTTAACATGAGCGTGTCTTTATAAAATTAGGTCTCGTATGTCCTTAACCAAAAGGTTCTGTGCTTCAGGAACCTGAACAATTGCTGTCTTGATTTTTTTTTTTCTTTTTCCTTTTCATCGGTACCAGGGATCAAACTTACGACTGCCTGCTTACAAGGCAGGCGCTTATGCCGCTGAGCTAAACCTCCAGCCCCCTGATTTTTTTTTTTTTAATAAGCCATAGATTTGTTTCGGGAATAGACAGGATATGAAGGATTTCTGTCACCCAGTATGAGACAAGCACACAAGAGAATGCCCTGGCTAGGCCTGGGGCCCAGCGTGGCTGGGGTGAGGGAGAGGAGTAGGACTGAGCATAGGTTTTGGGAGGGCTGGTGCTTGACCATGGGTTAATGTGGGAGGAAGAGCCCTTGAGGACCCTTGTGTCTGGGGTGAGGCAGAGACAGGAACAGGCTGAGGAGGGCAGCTTTCCTGCAGCAGGTGGGTTCCTGCCCACTGCCCCTGCCTCTGGCCACTGGGCAGGGACACAGTGGCGCATGGGAGTTTCCTTGCTATCGGGGCTCAGCGTGGCAGATCTCTGACTCCTTCTCGCACTCCTCTCAGGCAGATCAGCGGTTCGTGTGGAATGGTCACCTGATGAGAGAGCTGTCTGCACAACCAGAGGTGAGGACACGAGCTGCTGTCCAGTCGCTGTTGCTGTCTGCGCTTCACAGGGCTCCTGGCCACCAGGGATTTGGATGAGCTTCTGTACTTTGAGCAGGCCAACCCCCTCCTGCCCTGCAGGTGGAGGGGAGGCTGATTTCTGTCCTGTGATCTGTTGTTGGCTTTCCTTCACTGTGACAAAGTGCTGGAAGTACATGACTTCCCCGCAGAAGGAGTTAGTTGGGCCCCAGCCTCACAACCTGCAGCTGGCTCCTGCTTCCCAGTGTGGTCAGGCAGCCGCTTGCCTTGTGGGGTATGGGATGCAGTGGTCAGTCCCAGGACTGCCTCTAGGGGCCCTGCCCTCAATAACCCCCACTTTCTTCCATTTGGCCCCACCTCCCAGCAGTGCGGCTGGCTGGCTAGAGTCACCCAAAGCACACCCTGTGGGAAGCTTCAGGAAGGAAACACTGCTCAATGTCTTGGTGCAGGGAAAAAACAGAGCCTCGAATCTGGGACTTCAGATCTGTGTGCTGTCTTTTTTGGGGGGTGGGAGTCAGTTGTGGAGACTGAACTCGGAGCCCACTGAGCCACATCCCTAGGCACCTTTGTTTAAAACAAATTGTGAGAGTCTCACATGGAAGTGTTGAACTTTGACCTCTGCCTCAAAGTAGCCGGGATTGCAGGCGTGGCCCATCATGTCCAGTCTGTTGACATTTGCTAAGAGTTTTTGGAAAGCCATTTGAGCTGTAATTAGCTTGGAAAATCCTTTCCTGTGAGGCGTGGAGTGTTGGAGGCAGAGACTGAGGAGGGAAGTAAACCCTCTGCGTCCTCAGGTAGTTCTACCTGTTCCAAACTGAATATTCAGTCCCCCATGACCCACTGCACACTTACCGTGCCGTACCGTTTGAAATACCTGTTCAAAAAGTTTCCAGCAATTGTACTGCTTTGATCTGTTTGTGCATTCCTTCCCGATGTGTAAATGTACCTTATACAATGCCGCTTTATTTACTTGTTGATTTTTTTTTTTTTTTTTGTCTTTTTCTTTTTTATCGGTACCTGGGATCAAACTCACGACTGCCTGCTTGCAAGGCAGGTGCTTATGCCACTGAGCTAAATCCCCAGTCCCCTTACTTGTTGATTTTAATGTGTGTTTAAATACCTATTCATTTCAGGTCCATCGGTTTGCTCTTCCAGTGCTGCACGGCTGTATCCTTCTGTGATAGTGTTCTTGGGTTCCAGGCAGTCCTGCTAAATCTTACAGAGCGGGTGTGGAAAGTGAGATGTGGCATGAGCAGAGTATTTTGGGGTAGGCAGATGTTGCTGATAAAAGCATCACATCTGCTGATGTAAAGTCTTAGCATGCTGACAGTAAGTAACCCCATCGTTTTTTAAAGGATGAGCCCTCAGGCTAGGTTACTGTCTTTAACAGCTTTGAGGCTGGTAGTTTAAAGGAAAAGAACATGGACATCTCCTGCGTTTTGCCTTTAGTTGATGTTATTTAAGAGTGGTGCGTGTCGGGCTGTTTAAATGAGACCTTGCCTCATAATGAGGAAGGTTACATTTGGGAACCACGGTGGTCAGCAGCTTGAAGAGAACAGTTTATTGTCGTTTGAAATAGTGATGGAAAAATGAAACTGAAATACAGAAAGTGAGGCTTGGGAAAATCCAGGCCTAGCGCAAGTACAAACGAGTGATGATTATCTAATTGTAGGTTAGTTTTTAAAACAGCCACATCAGAGACACGCATCAAAAACAGGGAAGCGAAGTGAGTTGATGCTCGAAGAACAGGTGCTACAGATGCCACATGCCTGGAGTGAGGGCTGCCCTGCCGCCCTACCATCCCGAGCCCAGTTTGCGGGTTCATTGTGCTGGTGGGAATAACCAGCACCACTATCCATAGCGAGGGGCAGTGAATGTGGAGGTCTCTGGAGGAAGGCTTCCTTGCTTCTTCCTTGGCTGCCGCCCTCCTTCCCTTGAGGCTCTTGCACGTTCTCCCAAGGATAAAAAAACAGACGTGATCAGTGCTGAAAGTCTGGCCAACTGTTTTTGTTTTGTTTTCAAAATGAGATGGTCTAACCGGGCATGGTGGCTTATACCTGTAATCCCAGCACTCGGGAGGCTGAGATGGGAGGATGGTTGCGAGTTCGAGACCAGCCTGGGCTACAAAGTGAGCACAGGGCCAGCCTGAACTGCATAGCAAGACCCCATTTCAAAAAAGACCAAAAAAAAAAAAAAAAAAAAACTGAGATGGTGAATGGACAAATAATACTAACTGAGGTTGCAAAACCACTTTTTTGTGCAGCTTTAGAAACAGTTTGTCCCTAAGCTTCAGGGGTAAGCCCCGCCTTTGCTTTTGCCTCAGGAGCCGACTAGGAAAGTGGGAGGCCGAGGCAGAGTGAGTGTGAGGGGCCCAGCCTGAGTGCTGCATGCAGTCAGTGAGTTCTGGAGCAGCTGCGCCCAGGTTGCACAGAGCTGGAAAGGCCCCGGGCTGGACTGCAGCTTTACTTTAAAGGTTATGCAAAGCCAAGCAGGGTGGCACACTCTGGAAGGCTGAGGCAGGAAATCACAGGTTCAAGCCCAGACTGGGCAGTTTGGTTAGCAAAACCCTTTCTCAGAATTTAAAAGTACAAAAGGGTTGGGGATATGGCTCAATGCAAAGGCCTGGGGTTCAGTCCCCAGCACTGCAAAAATGTAGGAAAGAAACGCTTTTGGGGAGACTGGAATATGTAATCCGGAGACATACTGGGAGGTACTGCAGGGTGAATGCTGGAGGGTTAGGAGGAGCACAGCTGTTGAAGTGGAGGAGTGCTATGGCAGGCTGCTAGGCGGGGAGGTGGCCTGAGTGTAAGTGCCTGGGACAGTTCTTGCCTAGAGACTGGAAGGTGACACAGAGGTAACTGACTCAACCTAGCGCTGTGAGCAAGTGCCAGAGGGGATGAGTGAGCAGGAGGGCTAGGTACCAGGGTCACTCCAAGCAGTGAGGGCAGTCTGGCAGAGGCCTTCAGGGAAGAGGAAGGTAGCCCAGCGCAGCAGTGGTGGAGAGCAAGGGAAGGCGGCTTTTCCAGGAAGTGGAGGCACTGCTGATGGCTCAGGAAGGAGGCTTCTCCTCCCCTTACTCCCCAGTGAGAAGCAAGAGATCGAGGGGTGTGCAGTGTGCTGTCCGAGGGTGTCAGGTGTGGGAGCCCAGCCCTGTGCATGGTTGGGCTGGTATGGCAGCTCCTCCGGTGCCCCTAGGAGGCAGGGCTGTGGGTGTAGGGGTTACCGGCTGTGTGCTCCATCGGAGTCTGGAGAGGCTTTTGCTTCAGTAGTGGACCAGCGGAGGATGACCGTGCAGTAGCAAATCACTGCCTGCAGGACTCGGCCCTCAGAAGCAGGCTCCTGTCTTCCTCATTTCTGTGATGGCTCAGAATAGATAACTTGGCTCAGGCCATAAATAAATACTGCCTTGGAATCCCCTTAGGTGCTGTTAGGCAGGGCCCTCCGTGAGCTATGGTACTAAGTCACCAGGTGCTCCTGGGCTTTGTCCCGTGGTCCCACCATTTGGAAATTACTGGGCATATTCTTGTGAATTTGTTAGCGCTTCTGCAGCTCTCAAATACCCTCACGCCAGAGGGCTTTTATAGGAGTAGCCTCAGCCCGCACCTCACAGCAGAGCACAGGCTCCATGCGGAAATCCTAGTCCTTGCAGTGGGGCTCTCTGTCCTCAGGGCCGCACAGTGTGGAGGAGAACATGCGTGCCGTGCTGACACCTTCTGTTCACGTGGCTCCGTAGGGACCCTGCTTACAGAGTTCCCCACGTGCAAGGGTGCAGCTCTGCAGTCTGAGGACTACTCGCAAGGCGCTGGTGAGATCTGCGTGTCCCCTGCCCTTTTCCTCCTGAAGGCGATTCTTTCTCACTAGGATAAAAAATTGAGATGGAATAGAAATAGCGCATGTGTTTGTGTGTGCGGTTTTTCTTTTTCTTTTTTTTTTTTTTTGTCTCTTTTTTTTTTTTTTTGATACCAGGGATCGAACTCACGACTACCCTCTCGCAAGGCAGGCGCTTATGCCGCTGAGCTAAATCCCCAGCTCCGTGCGGTTTTTCTTAACATGGTTCAGTTATTAACATGCACTCGTGTTCCATCAATGGGAAATACTTCGACTGGATCCTCATCTCCAGGAGGAGCTGTTTCAGAGCCGGCGTGCGCTATTACGTCAGAGGTGAGGCTGTTTTCCAGTATGGCTCAGTGCGGGTCAGGTCTCGCCTGCTTAGGGCTGGGTCTGCAGGGCCATGGCTGTGAGCTTTTATGTTCATTATTACTGTTTTATAGCCTCACTGGGTACCACTGTCCTCTCCATGGGAAGAGTTTGGAAGGCCTTTTTTTTTTTTTTTGAGATGAGCTCTGGCTGTGTAGCCCAGGCTGGCCTCAAACTTGAGATAATCCTCCTGCCTCAGACTCCTGAGTGCTGGGATTACAGGCGTGTGAAACTGCACCCAGCTGGGGATTTATTTCTTTAAAACACGTCTCAGGTTTGAGAAGCCCAGTTTTAGAGGAGGTTCATGCATGTAAAAGCCAGCAGCCAGCTTCTAACCTGCTAACAGGTCTCTGGCGCCTCTGTGGGCCTGTTTAGCTTGCGTAAACTTGTGTTTATTTCCTGGTTGTGTGCTGTGCACTCGTTTGAATTTGGAGTTTGTAAATATGATACTTTTCCATCTTTTGAACTGAATTACCTGAGTTAATATCTGGTGTTTCTTATGTCCAAAATATCAAGTCAGTGTTTTTTTTTTTCAATTGAGGAATTGACTCTGAAGGCCACGCAGCTAACTTCGTAGAGACCGAGCAGATCGTGCACTATGCCGGGAGCAGGGCCTCCTTCGTCCAGGTGAGCTGCTCTCTCCAGCAGTGGCCGCCCTGTCCTGCTGTTCAGTCACGTTGAAGTTTCCCCTCTCCTCATTCCCCTCCGTTTCTTAACTAGTAGTTTTGTCTGCTGAAGTGGAAAAGTGCACTCGAAGAAAGGGTCGCCATTTCCTGCCCTTCAGCCCAATGTCTGAAGGAGAGGCTGGACAGAAGTCATGGAGGCTGCAGGGCTCCAGGTTCTAGTCCCTGCTCTGCCTGACTCCGCAGAACCCCACACTGTGAGAAGCCTGTGCCAGTGCTGGGCTGTCCCAACCCTGCACCTTGGGGCAGTGCAGTAATACTTTGCACTGGGTCCTCTTGTGACTTGTAGGTTACTTTCCACTCTCGTGTTCCTGACTGAAATATTCACAGGTTTGTACAGCTATTCCTTTGAAAATGAATAAAGCAGTGTTTTAATTTTTCACAATGCTAAATTTCAAACGAGGTACAGTGGCTCCTCGATGGATGAGCTTCGTTTATTTTACAGTTTGGAGGGGGATATTTGTGTTTGTCACCTGATGTGGGGTTGGCGAACAGGGGCAAAAGTTTCCCAGACACTTCTGTTTGAAAGCTGAATTGTTTGCAAACAGGAAGTTCGTGATCCAGGGTATTTCTGTAACTTGTTAATTTTTATTTGTAGATAAATCGATTTATTTTAGAATTCAGGGAAAATAGATGTGTCTATTACACAGAGGTGGTTTCTAAAACTCTGAGGAGAAAAAGTCCTTTCTAAGCCCATAAAATACGAACCTTAAAAATAGATGCATTGTACTCTTGTAACTGTGTAGTTTGTGTTATTTTTTCATTATAGCCATTGGTACCTAAATTGCTGGCAATAAGTTAAAAACAAACTTTGTGTTTCTTTTCTTTTAGACTCGAGGATCAATCCCCGTTTTCTGGTCCCAAAGACCAAACCTCAAGTACAAACCGCTGCCACAGATCAGCAAAGCAGCAAATCACGTGTGTATCTGCCTGCCTTGTTTACTGGTGAACAGTAGGAGCTCAGCGGCCTGCTAGTTCGTGTGCAGGACCTGTGTTTGTTCCCTAGGTGTCAGGGTCCAGCGTTTCCAAGGCGTTTCTCCCTGGTTCCAGCACAGAGTGAACCTTTAAACCCAAATTCTGCATAGATTCATTTTGGAAACACAGAGAGAAGGCTGATTTCATGGCACAGCAAATGCAGATTTGAGAGGCCTTGGTGGGGTGTCCGGAATTTTACACTCTACAGGGTACTTCATGTGTTCTGTCAAGGCTGCATTCAAAATTAAAATGCTAGTATTATAGCTCAGAGTAAAACAGCCTTTAATTACAGTTTGCTATATAGTATTTAGACTGTCTAGAAGACATGATCCCTCTCTTAACACTGTTTCTTTAAATTTAGAAATAGGACATTGAGGGCTACTTTAAAAAACACTGTAAATATTCCTGTAATGTAAGATAAGTAATATACTTTTCCCCCTAGATGGATGGCTTCCAAAGGCATTTTGATTCACAAGTAATTATTTATGGAAAACAAGTCATAATCAACCTGGTATGTTCCTTGCATGTTTCTTGGGGGGGACACGAAAACAGAACCTTTTTAAACTTTTTCTAAAAATTATTTTTAGTTTTAAGAACCTTTTTAAATTAACAGAAAATGTAGTGTTGTAAGCATTTTACAATGTGTGGTGCAGTGGCATTTTGGGTTAGTTTTCCATGGGGTGTTGTGGGTAAAGGTCCAGCTTTATTCCTTCACATGTGGGTATCCAGTTCGCCCAGTGCCATGTAGGACTGTAACGTTATTATGGGTGGGATTTTTTTTGTTGCACCTTTCTGAATTTATTATCTCTGACAGCTTTTTTTGTGATTTATTAGAGCTTTTTTATTAGAGCTTTTACATAAAAGATTGTGGGTTAGGGTTAGCGCTCTCCCTCATTTTTCTAAAGGGCAGTTTTACTACACAGAGAATAGTTGGTTGACACTTCTTCCCAGCTTTTTTCCCTCACTGTCTGGGAATGGCACCCAGACACTGCTTGGAGGGCCTATCTCGGGCCAGGCAGGGGCTCGCCTGCGGAGCTCCACCCCCACCCCACCCCCACCCTGGGCAGTTAAGCCTGTCATTTCACAGCGAGGCCGTTCTCTGCTCCAGGCTTTCAGCTGTGTGACTGTAATGTTTCAGTTTGCATTTCTTGAGTTTATCCTTCTTGGAATACAGCGAACTCCTTGGATTTGAGGACTTACGTCTGTCATCAGATTTGGAAAGTTCTGGGCTGATTTTATATGTGGATTCTCTCTCTGCTCCTAGTTTTTTCTCCTAGGTTGGCAGTGTCCCTGAAGTCTGCTGGCTTTGTTCACTTCTCTTTGCCTTGTACATGTGAGACCAGCGTCCTGCTCCTGAGCTACATTTCCAGCCATTGTTCTTTTTTCCCTCAGTTTGATTTCAGATTTCTGTCTTGAAGTTCCAGTTCTTCTTCCTGCTCAGGTTTACTGTTGGATGCCTATTGAAGTTTTCAGTTAGTTTCAGTGGTTGATGTTTCCTCTCTGACGTGTTGCTGGTTTCCTTTGAGGGATTTTTGTCCTTGTTGATATTCTGGTTTATTCATTCATTGTCTCCTGATTTCTTTTAGTTCTTTGTCTATATTTTCTGTTAGCTCGGTGAGCATATTTAAGATCATTGTTCTAAAGTCCTTGTATGGTAAGGCTGATGTCTGTTTCCACGGGGACAGTTTCTGTTGGTTGATTTTCCTTTGTGCCATGTTTTCCTGCTTCTTTGCATGCCTGTGATTTTTTTAAATGACATATTTGATTTTTATAATTGTAAATTCTGAAACTTAGAGTTCTCCCAGGGGTGTGGTACGTTACAGTTGTATTGTTTTATTCTATTTTGTATTGTTTATTCTATTTTGTTTTTTCCTTTTGTTTCATTTGTTCTTTTTGTTGTGTTTCATTTTGTTCTTGGTTGTTGAAGACTATAATAATTTATTGGTTGTGTTTTCCAAACAACTTCTGCAAAGTCTGTTTCTTGTTCTGCTATTCTGCGTATTCTTACTTTTGCGGGGGTGGGGATTTAGCTCAGAGGCATAAACTCCGCCCTGTACAGCTGCTTTTGAATGTCCTGGTTCCCCAAAGTATGGCACCTGGCACCCTCTGCAGGCTTTGGGGGGGCCTGCTGTGCATCTCCCCTCAGATCTCTTGCCCTTGGCGTCTGGTGCTTTGTAGTCCTCTGGTAGCTTTCATGAGCAGTGTCCAGTGTGGGAGGCAGAGATGAGTGCGCTGTCCTCCAGCTTAGAGTGGAGGTGCTTGTCATAGCCCGGTCCGCTCCCTGCTTCTGGGAGGAGAGCTGAGCCGAGGTGGCTGCGAAGTTTGGCGCCTTCTTGGGAGGCGGCAGGGGAAGAGGGTGAGTGAAAACAAGGCGGTTTTTTCTTCCTTGGCTCGCAGGCTGTTTGTTGTAGACCTTTGATTCTTTTCCATAGCTCCCACAAGGCTGTTCACATGGGTCTGGCGGGTGTTTTGTTTTGATTGAGACAGTGTCTGTGTCCGTTGCCCACGCTGCTCGCCACCTGCACTGTCCTGCCCCTTCTTGCCGGAGCGAACGCTTGGCGCAGTCTCCCCCTGTGATGGGTTACTCACTGTCTTGAAATAAACTATCAGCCATGTTTGGCGTCCTTTACAGGTGAACCAGAAGGGCTCAGAGAAGCCACTGGAACAGGCATTTGCAACCATGGTGTCTTCCTTAGGCAATGGGATGATCAGGTACCTGCATGTGTCCTGGTTCTTTGCGGGTCAGGTGTGTGCATGCTCATGTGCGTGAGTGTGGAGTGCTCACTGCATTTCCTGTGTTTGCATTGTTTTTAATACCAGACCAAAGCACAATTGTATTTTTTGGTTTAAAATTCCCCCTGATGGAATTTGGCATTCCTGTTGCAGAACAGCTTCTCATAATCTTTGATACAAGTTTACTCTGGGTGAAAGACCTGCCTGCAGGCTCTCTGTGCCTGTGGGCCGTCAGGCCTTCCTTACAGAATTCCACCTTCCTTTATCAGTGTCTGTGCCTTGCATAGCCACGTGGCAGAGGCAGTTCTCATTTGTCAGTCTGCAACGGAAGAGACACAGGTCTAAATGTTGAGGGCGCCTCTTGTGAAGGTGCTGTACTGTGAAATGAGAACCCTGCTCTTCAGTGGGGAGCAGATCTTTCCCCAAGAGCTGCAGGTCCAGGATGAAGCGTGCAAGGAGGCTGAGCATGGTGATGAGCTGATGAGCACAGGACGTGCCCCTTCTGCTCCACAGCGGAGTCCTGGGAGGAAGCATGCTCTTATCTGCGCAGAAAATCCCAACGGAACACTGCCCTCGGGGGCTTCTTATGGGGTGTCAGCAGAGTGTGGGCTTCCAGGGTGCAAACAGAGTGCAGCACCCCAAGCCATTGCTCAGGCTGTGGGGATTGGCCTGCCTCTGCTCCTCTCATAAGCCCAGCGCTCAGCATGGGCTCCACTAAGCTGCTGTAGGTTGACTAGGGTTTGGGCGTTTGGAATAGATCAGTGGATTTAAAAAGCAATGCAGGACTGAGGATGAGCTCAGTGAAACAGTGTCTGCCTGGCAAGTGCAAGCTTGTGAGTTTGATCCCTGGTACCAAAACCAAGAAAACACAATTCTGTTCTTTGCACACTGGACTAGAGAATAGATACAGGCAGGAGACTGCCAGCAGCCCCTCGCTCTGTGCCCTCTGTCCACTCCGCCAACATGTGCTGTGCTGCCCGGCTCCTGTCTGCAGCCCTGGGGGAACAGTGAGCCTGGGTATGCGTGTGTGCGTGAGTGTGTCTGTCCACATGTGTAATATGTCCTTCTCATAGCTGTGATCATAAGAAGGGGTGGGGCAGAGCCATAGTGACGGAGCTGTGGTGTCCCTAGGAAGTATGTGTTCTCTGAGTTTGTGACCTGGGTGGGAAGTCAGCTCATGAAGATGTTGATAGAAAATAATTGCTCTCTTGCCAATTTCTGAATGTTTTCTTTTGGTAGATACTTTGCCTTTGACTTCCATAAGGAATGTAGACATATGAGATGGGATCGACTAAGTATCTTAATGGACCAAGTAGCAGATATACAAGATGAGTTAGGGTAAGCCATGTTATTTTCTTATGGGGGAGGAGGTATATATGTGTCTGTCAGTCATATTTATTATGAATTACCTAGCAGATTTATAAACAGTTATTCACTGGATTGTGATTACTTGTGTTTAATATTGAAATTTTTTTGGCAAGATGAGAATAGGTGGTTTTAAAATATTGCTAAATTCTTAAAAGTGAAAGGATATCAGGTATATGATGAAGTACCTTTTGTGCATTTACAAATTCTTACATACTGGTCATTGAGCTTGGTTTAGAGCTATTTTATATTTAGATATTTTCACTAAACTTTTGGTCATGGCTGTTTTGGTATTAGCCTTTGTAGTCTATAATGGTGATGGCTTTTCTGTATTCTGTTTATTCATAACATCATTTTATTTTCATCTTTTTGAAACAGGGTCTCACTGTGCAGTTCAGGCTGCCTTAAGCTCACTTTGTAGCCCAAGCTGGTCTCGAACTTGCACTGACCCTCCCACCTCAGCTTCCGGAGTGCTGGGATGACACATGTGGCACCATGCCCAGCCATGACATCATTTAGCTAAATACTTTCCTCCTCCTCCTTGAGTACCTGTCTCCTCCATTTCTGCTTCTGTTTCTACTGTGGAAAGTGTGCTGGAGTAAATCACTGGTTACAAGTGTGTACACTGTTTCACTGCGTCCGCCACCCCCGCTTGATGGGAGCAGCTCAGAGCTGGATGGATGGAGGAGAGGAGGGCCTGAACATCTTTGGGGGCCTTCTGTGTGTTTGCCGTTCTCTGTCATTTGGTTCACGGGTTCACTGCATTATAAGCACATGTTAACCCGACTTAAAGAATCTGTGAGTCACTCTGTGTTTTTATTCTGCCAGTGTGATAGCTCTATACCTGGCAGCTCAAATAACAGTTTTAGTTACAGTCACGTAGTAAAACCTCTCTGCTAACCCTTTACTCAGTAAGGTGACTTAAGTGCAGTGGACACATTCACCATGGGGCCGTCACTCCTGTGTCTCACAAGTGGACAGCCCAAGCCCCTGTGGTGCATGCACCACTGTCCTGTCGAACGGCTTTTTGTCAGTGCAGGTGTTAGCTCCATTTGCACACCACTGGTCCACGCTGCCCAAGGGACAGTCACACACAAACCACCAGTGGTTTCACCATGAGAATAGTGAGTCATGGCAGATAAACCTGGTACTGAATCCCTGGAGACAACCACAGCTGGGTCTGGTGTGTCCTGAGACAGCCGGCCTTGTGTGACAGAGAGGGGAGCTCAGCTAGGATCTGGGTGCCCTATGGCTTGCCAGGTGCCCAGGGACAGCAGAGCTTTGGCCTAGGCTTTCAGATGATCGCTTAAGACGTTGTATCACTGGGCCTTCGCATCTTAATTTAAATCTCAGCTTATCTCACATGAGGTGTGTGGCCCTGGGACTTGTTGGTTGTCTTCAAACTTTGGGTATAGCGAAGATAACATCTAACAGATTCACTCTGCACTTCAGGAAATGACATTTACAAGATGCCCAGTGTCTGTTTTCCAGACACCAGTGGGGTGTCCTTTGGTGTGCATGTGTATGTATGCCAACCCTGAACCCATTTTGCAGACTCTGCCTGGCCTCCAGTGGATCTTTCATCTAAGTTTCTCCTTCTGGGTCCTGGTTCCCAAGAGCATAATTTCTGTTTAGCCCTTAGTGTGCTGCATGTGCCCCTTCCTTTGTGGTCCTGCAACTGTCTTGAGTATGCCCGACACTGCCTGTTTGTGCCCTGCTGTGCACTCTGCTGAGCACCTCTTTGTGTGTGGTGCGTGATTGCATTCACACCTTAGAGCCACCTGCATGGGGTGCAATCACCATTTTTTAGATACACAGTAGGAAGTTACCTGCAGTACCCATTTAGTAAACATTTGTGGAGTCTATGTGTTCTTAACCGCTGTATGGAGCATTGTCCAGTTTCTGAGTTGATAGCTTTATTGTGGAGGAGCTAGTTAAAAACAATGAAAAGGAGGGGACTGTTGGCCATCGGTTGACAGCAATGCCATACCTGGGTGGTTAAGGGCAGAAAGGGAAATGGATTTTCCAGGGAATGCCTGCTATACTTTCTGTATTTTGTACTGTTTGTATGTATTCCTCATTTAAAAAGAAGGGCTGGGGATATTGCTCAGCAGCGCAAGTGCCTGCCTGCAAGCACAAGGTCATGAGTTCGATCCCCAGTACCAAAAGTAAATAAATAATGTAAGCATTAAAAAATAATAATAAAAGAAGAGGAACCCATTGCGTTGGACATGTCTTTGAGCTAATCCAGAAGCTGAGGCAAGAGAATCAGGAGTTCAAAGCCAGACTGTGCAGTTTAACAAGGCTATCTCTAAGCTTTGAAAAGGGGTGGGGATGTAGCTCAGTGCAAAGGCCCTGGTTCAGTCTCCAGTACCAAAAAGATTTCTAGTCCCTGCTGCAGAGATTCAGACTCAGTTGCTCTCACGGTGAAGAATTTTCATGTTTTACAAACTGGCATGGGGGTTCTGCTACTGATGGAACAGGGGCCTGAGAAGCCTGGTGGACGCAGGCAGAGCTGAAGTGATTACGTTCGGGGAAACTCCGCCACCCACTGGAGCCTCCCCGGCACCTCCACTTTCTCTCCTGACTCCTCTCAGTGTGCCGAGCTGTGGTGCCGCAGCTGTCCCTTGGATAGGGGCCTGTGCTGCTTCTGCCAGACTTCCTCGCCGTGCAGGGTAGAGAGCCTAACCACAATGCCTGCTTGCCCCTCTAATTGGCGGGCCTTGGCAGTGTCCCAGAGGGGAGGCCCTGCTCTGAGAGGCAGGCGCTAGCGGGGCTGGCTGGCTGCTTTGCTATGAGAGTGTTTATACAAATGTGTTATAGTTATTTTCTAGTAGACTCGGCCGGCAAGGTGGTGACGAACCAGGAGGGTGTGTTCCGCAGCAACTGCATGGATTGTCTGGACAGAACTAACGTCGTCCAGAGCCTGCTGGCGCGACGTTCGCTGCAAGCCCAGCTGCAGGTGTGAAGTCTTTTTTTTTTTTTTCCTTCTAAATAGCTGTTGGTATGGTTACATATTGTAAACATGTACGTACTGATCTCATTCGTCATAGGGAATTTGTACCTGAACATGATATGGGGGCCTCTTTTCCCTCATTCCCCTCTCCTTCCTTCAAAAACAATATGGCAAAAAATACCGAACCCTTATCTCTTCAAGCCAATAGGAAAAATCATTCACCTTGCCCCCACCCTCACCTGGTCCTTTTTACTTTTGTGAGTGGCTGTCATTTCATGCACGTGGTCAGAATGTGGATGCACAATTTATTTATTTTTTGCCTTTTGAAGACAGGGTTTCATGTAGTTCAGGCTGGCCTTGAACTCACCTGTAGCCCAGGCTGGCCTCAAATCACAGTGATCTTCCTGCCTCTGCCTCCTGAGTACTGGGTTTTACAGGCATGCACTGCCACACTTGGCTGAAGAGTTTTTAATTTTGCCTTTCCTTTAATTTTTATATCATAAAAATTTTTAGTGCAGTGCTTTTTGCTTTTAAGTAATAGCTTTTTGGATCGTGTGTGTGCTGGGAATCAAACTTACAGCCTCACACTTACCAGGCAGGTGCTTTGCTGCTGAGCTAAATCCCTGGCCTAAACAGTGCTGTAGAGAATATATCTGTTTTTATTATTAACTTGAATTATTTCCTTTGACTTAATTCTAGAGTTAGAATTCCTGTATTAAAGAGAATATATTACTTTCCAAGAGGGTGGTACCAATTTACACTGATGTCAGCAATGAATGAGTGAATCGGTTTCACTGAACTCTTTCCATTTTAGGTTATTTAAAGCAATTTTTTTTCTATTTGAATTGTACAAGGTCATACTTTGTTTCTTTGCATTTGCATTTTATTACTGGCAGAGGATACTAACTTCAGATAAAACATTTTTGATCCAATTTTGTTTTAGCATCAAGATTTGTTACTGAGAAAAAAGACACAAATATTTTCTGGTTTTATTTGCAATTAAAAAAGTACTACATAGCTGGACGTGGAGGCACACACCTGTGATCCCAGCACTTGGGAGACTGAGGGAGGAGGATCATTGCAAGTTCGAGACCAGCCTGGGCTGCAAAGTGAGCAAAGCCCAGCCTGAACTGCACAGCGAGACCCTGTCTCAAAAAGACAAAAAAAAAAAAAAAGCCTCAATCCAAATTCCAAATTACATTGGCATGTCTTGTGAGGGGCAAAAGGGCTTTCCAGGTGGTTTGCCGCCTAGATGATTAACACTCAGCCTTACTTCTGACAGTTGTAAGGCTCAGGGAGAAAATTGTGGAGGGAAAATATCACCTTTGGGATAGATTGTTCTAGTAGCACCTGCCGAGGAGTGGCCTTCTTGTCAGAGCAGCCTCTGGTTTGATCTTGCTTTGTTCCTCAGCCTGCCGCGAATACCTGAGGTGCACTTTTTTTTTTTTTTTGGTCTTTTTCCTTTTTATCGGTACCGGGGATTGAACTCATGACTGCCTGCTTGCAAGGCAGGCGCTTATGCTGCTGAGCTAAATCCCCAGCCCCCTGAGGTGCACTTTTCAGTGGAAGTAGTGTGAGGGGTGGTTTGGCTCTGTGGCTGACTAACCAGAGCCTGAGTTGTTTCTTTGATTTTTTTTTTTTTTTTTTTTTGGTACTGAGAATTGAACTCGCACTTGCCAGGCAGGCACTTATGCTGCTGAGCTAAATCCCCGGCCTTGGTTCTTTGATTATGATTCACTCTTTTTGGTACTGGAAATCGAACTCAGGACCTTGCGCTTGCCAGGCAGGCGCTTACACCGCTGAGCTAGATCCCTGCCTGCAGTTCAGTCTTTGCAGTGCTAGACACAGTGTTGGGAACCCTCTGGACCTCGGGCCAGGTTCCCTTGAGCAGCATTGCCAGCGAGTGCAGGGATTCTGGTTTTGTTTTTGCACCTCAGTCAGGACCAAGGTTTTTACCCAGTTGAAGCTGGCAGGGTGGCACTGGGCTGTGTGTGACCGCGAGCGACTCCGCCCATGAGGAGGCAGACTGTGAGCAGGGCCAGGTCTCCAACCATGTGGCTTGTGAACCCCAAGAGTCTCTGGGGGACTGAGGAGTGAGGACATCCAGGGCGGCAGCAGGTTAGGGTGGAGGAGGGGGGAGGTGACAGCTCACACACACAGCAGTCGTGGCCCCTGTTCCTGGCCCGGCCGGGCTTATGGTCTGGCCCTGGCCCTGGCTCTGGCCCTGTCCCTCCCTGTCCCTGTCCTTGTACCTGTCCCTGTCCTGTGGCGCAAAGTCACCTCTGAAAGCTCTGCTGCTTGCCATGATGGGAGAGGGCCCTGTGGCCAGTAACCAGGACACACGTGACCAGGTCTGGGGACCATAGACTTTTGCTCGCCAGGTTCCATCTGCTGAAATCTGTTACACAAAAATACGGGTGTGGTTCTCATTGCAGAGACTGGGAGTTTTGCATGTGGGACAGAAGCTTGAAGAACAAGATGAATTTGAGAAGATTTACAAAAACGGTAGGTGATTAAAGGCACAGTTGCTCAATTTTTAAAATAAGTTGCTGTTTTTTATTTAGAACTTTGGTTATGATCTAATTATTGTCAGCTCCTCTCAACTTCTCTTACAGCCTGGGCTGACAACGCAAATGCTTGTGCCAAACAGTATGCGGGAACCGGTGCCTTGAAGACCGACTTTACCAGGCAAGCCACTGTGTGCTGCATTTGAGACCACCTGGCAGGGAGGGTTAGGGCGCCGTGGATTTGGGGCTGGTGTACTTGGGCCTCCTCCTCCGCGCCCGTGAGGACGGATTCCTCAGGGCCAAACCACTGTTTGTAGTCCCCCTGCCGTTCCATGCCGCTTACCTGCCTGTGAGTTTCTCTCATTGTGTAGCTAGAACTGTTTTTATCTCTCCTGCATTTTGGCTCTGTGTCTGTATAGTTGTGATTTAACCAACCACAGAATGAAAATAGACAAAAGTCATACTTCTGTTCAGCATACACAAGCTCTAATCCGTGTCGCTGCTCCCTAATTAATACAGGATAGCAGCTGGATCCTAAAAATTTGAATTAAAGATCATTTGCAGTCTATAGGGGGACTCTGGAAACACCCCAGCATTGCATGTAAGCAGCCAGGGCACTTGCAGACCTGGGGACACTGAGGATGACGCTGCTTGTTTCTCAGAGCAGTTAGTGGCTTCTGTAAAACTATTTTCAGGGTTGACATTTGACATGTCTGTTGTTCATTTCCATAACATACCGGCTACAAAGCAGCTTGAGAATTTAATGTGTAGGTTTCCATTTGAAAATCGAACCTCTTTTAACCAGAACTGGAAAGAGAACGCAGCTGGGACTTCTCATGGATGGCTGGAACTCACTCATACGCTACTACAAGAACAACTTTTCCGATGGATTCAGACAAGTAAGCGTGTTTGAGTTTTGGTCATTGGGGGACAGTGTGTTTGCCTTTTTTTCAGTCATGTAACCACGTCAACTTTAGGGATTTACTTTCCTTTTCTGTGTTCTAGGATTCCATTGACCTCTTTCTTGGGAACTATTCAGTGGATGAATTAGAATCTCACAGTCCTTTAAGTGTTCCAAGGGACTGGAAATTCCTGGCTGTAAGAAACCTTTGTTATTTTTTTTTCAAGCTGTCGAAAGCGTTGTCTGAAGGTGTAAATGCTGCAGACTCTTGACTGAAAACACTGTACACTGTTCTGCATGGGATACAGATACTCAGACCGAAGGTCAGGGCAGCAATAGAATAGCTGTGAGCTCCTTTGCCTTCCGGGTCATGCTCCAACCCACCCTGTGTGTGGGAGAACACCCAGGTCAAGGGGAAGAGAGACACTGTGTGTATCAGCTTGTAGACAGTTTTATTGTTTTTCAAGAAAAGTGTACACGACAGACTGTGTGGCCCTTGGCCACTGATCAGAACGCGTCCCCCTTTCTGTTTTCCAGTTGCCGATCATCATGGTGGTCGCCTTCTCAATGTGCATTATCTGTTTACTTATGGCCGGTGAGTCTGCTCCTACTTCATTCACATCTTTACATGCGCCCAAGCTAGAAGGCTGACCTTGCATTGCACCTTGGTTTCTGAGCACACCCAGCCCTTGATTTTTATCTGTTAGGTTTAATGAGTGAACTGGGCGCAGAGGTGTACACTTGTGATCCCCGCACTTGGGGGGCTGAGGCAGGAGGATTGGAAGTTAGCGGCCAGCTTGGGCTACAGAATGAGACTATCTCAAAAAAACACAGAGGCAATGTAGTAAATAAGATTAGTCCTTCCAATGTTACAGGAGGAAAACTGTGTCTCTTGTAGTTTGAGAGTCAGCTGTATTTTGCTTCCTCATGTTTGTGATGCTGAGGGTCGAACCTGGGGCGTCAGCTGGCTACACAAGTGCTCTACCACTGAGCCACACACTCAGCCTGTGGTTGTTTGATTTTTACATTTAAGATTTTGATTATTTGTTTTTACTACCAAAGTAATACATAGTAATTATAGAAGCCAAAGGTAGGCAACAAACCAAGAAAATGTTTGAGAGTGCGTCATCACCTCTGCCATCCTCCGCTGGGGGGAACCCAGCAGCAGAGCTGGCTAGGGTTAGGTAGTTTGACTGTTGTCCTTTTGTGTGCCCTGTGAGTCACTCAGGCAGGGGTGGGGAGACAGGGTGACAGTAGGTCTCTTCTCCTTCTGCCTCCTGCCACCATCTCTGAGGTGTTCCTTGCCCCAGCCTGCGGCACAGGGCCTGGAGCTGGCTGTTGTGGCCTCTGCCTTGCCCTGGGGAGCCGTTTGCCGGGAGCTCTGTGCTGTTACAGGGATCTGCCTTGTTCCGTCCCTTGTACCCACGTTTAGCCACAGAGCCTCTGGAGAGGCAGCAAAGTCAGCTCCAGGAGCTCAGCTCGAGCACAGGAGGGTCCCCTGAGGAGAGTATCCTGCAGCTTCTAAGCAGCTGCTTTCTTTTTTATTGTTTTAGAGGAATTTTAAGGATGTGAAAATAGTAATTACACAGGTTTTAGCCAGGCCTGGTGTGGGCGCCTGCAGTTCACCCACGAGAGCCTAAGGCAGAAAGATCACATTTCAGGCCAGCTTTGGAGCTCCGTGAGGCCTCGCCCAAAAGGAAACTTTCAAAAAGGGCTGAGGGACGTGGCCCAGTAGTGGAGCCCTTGCCTGTGTGTGCAGGGTCCTGGCAGTTGCGTCCCCAGTCCTATGCTCCCCAGAAAGAGGGTCTCCCATTTGCCTGTAGGCGTGCTAGTAAACTTTAGCATAGGGGATGTGCTGTACTGCTGACATGGGCTGTGATGTTGGCAGATCGCTTTAACTGGCTGTTTTTTTAAAATCAACAGGTGACACCTGGACAGAGACGCTGGCCTATGTGCTCTTCTGGGGAGTGGCGAGCATCGGGACATTTTTTATTATTATTTTCAATGGCAAAGATTTTGTTGATGCTCCTAGACTGGTCCAGAAAGAAAAGCTAGACTGAATTTGTGTTTGTGGAAAGCGGCTCGGCTTGGAAGAGTCCATGATACAGAGCTGGAGTCTTTACTGACCCGCTTTCCACATGAGCGCAGGTCTTTGCAAAGCCTTTGCCAAAAACCCCTTCTCCTGCTGCGCAAAGCCAGGGACTCTGTGTTGATCTGATGTCCTGGCCCCGATGATCTCGTGACTCGGGACAGTCACATTTATGATTTGAAGCTGTATGGCAATTGAAATAGAGCCTGAATTCAGCCCACAGAATGAAGGAATCTGTTCACTGTCGAGTTAATCAGCTGTTGTGGATAAGTAATATATTTTAAAAACTTAGCTTCTTTCATTGTTTAAAACTGTAAAATTATTTTTCTAGCTCAATTTCATTATTGTCACTGTGGAAGCAGTCACTGTTAGCAGGCGTCTCTCTCCACATCTTTGGACTTTTCTTAGAAGCCTGATCATGAACCAACTGTCCTGTGTGTGTAAGGCATGAGTCTCACACAGTCGGCAGCCTGGTGAGCCAGCCTGTGCCTGTGGGTTTGAGGAGTGGGGACCCCGGGCTCTGTCAGTTCCTGCGCCGCCCCTGGACCTTAATGCATGCTGACGTGGTTGCACCAGCATTTAAACGTGGTGGAAGAGTTGACGGATACTTTATCTTTTATAAAAGGCCTAAATGAAATCAGAAGAATGTAAAGCTGTCTCCTCTGCTAAAGGCACGAAGCGGCCTCTCTCAAAAGGGTGGCCCCATTGTGGAGAACGCACGTCTTGCCAGTGGCTTCCTCTGACCCTTCGCTGGCCTCTTGAGGGCCTTGTTCGGGGCCTGATCCTAGCTTGGGGGCCACAGCTGCCATCGCACGCATGGTACCTTTGCTTTCACTCTGGCTCAGGCTTTGCTCAGTAAGTCTGTCAGGCTCCATGCTTCTTGGTAGTTACAGTCTCCAAATCAAGGACCAACTTCATGTGAAAAAACCCCCTGAAAAATAATGCTTCAGAAACTGTGCATAGTTGTAAGATTGTATATTCAAACTGTAATTACGAAGTTTAGATATCAGAACAGTATATAAGTAGTATAATTACCACTATTTTAAAACAATTTAATGAAACACTGCTATACTGTTTCAGCATTGTGCTTGAAAATATGTATAATACCTTATGTTGTCCTTAAATATTTCTAAAAGCGCCTTTATTTTAACCTTTTTTTTTTAGCATTATCTTTTATAAACAGTAATAAGAGTTGTTGCTTTTAGAAATGCTAAAGGAAATAACATCTGGGGAACCCTGCATTGCTTTAAATCAGTCATTAAACCCAGAGCAGGGTGAGTGGCCAGAACCACCTGCTCTTAATGTGTAAGTAAGCAGCATTTGCTCCAAAGACAGACCAGTGGCCCTTAGCTCCTATCTGCTGTGATGTAACACCCTAGTGCCCCAGATGCTTCACAGCCAGAGCTGCACAGCTCAGCTGCAGCACAGACCAAATCTGAGCTGCTGGTGCAGTCGGCTGCCTGCTGGCTGTGGCCTGATCTTGCTGTGTTAGGTCGCAGCTGTCAGGATTTGAGAACCCTGTCATGATTTTATTTAATTCGTGTACTGTACATCCGTAAGTGAAAATAAAATGTCGTATTCTTTTGTAATTATTGGTGGCATCATTTCTGTACTGTACTTTTTTTCTTGAAATGTGGCGATTTTTTTCTTTATCTTAAAGCAATACGTGATCGTAGAAAAAGTAAGATAATGTAAGTAAACAAAATCAGTAGCTTCTAAATTCTCTTTTCCAACTATGGTCACTTAAGAGAGTCTGTGTATCATTGTAGTTACTTTTTAGTTGCAGATAAAAGCAGAGAAAAGAATATGAATCAGTTTGTAATGACAGCAGTGTACTGGATAGCGAGTGCTATGTAACAAGTTACCCCAGAACTTGGCTTATAACAGCCCACATTATATTTATTGCTTGTGCATCAGGAATTTTTTATTTTTTATTTCTTTGGAACTGTGAATCAAACTCACGACCTTGTGCTTGCCTAGCAGGTACTCTGCTGCTGAGCTATATCCCCAGCCTGTGCATCGGGAATCTGGGCCTAGTTTAGCTCTGTGTCCCCTGCTTTGGGACCTCCCGAAAGCTGCAATCAAGGTTCACCTAGAGAGAATCCACTTCCATCATCACTCTGATTATCCACAAGATTTGGCTCCCCAGAGGCTGCTGGCCGTTGGCTGGCAGCACCCTCATAAGGAAGTGTATGCTAGCGAGGTGGAAATCACGGTCTCTCACAGCTTTACCTCTCTAGTCTCCCGTCACTCCTGCAGGCAAGGAAGTCGTGGGGCCCAGCTCATTCAGGAGCAGATTATATACAGACGCAGGAACACGAGCAGGTGAGGGGGCTTTGGGGGACGCCTTGAAAGTGGTGACACAGTCAGGAAGAGAGAAGACACAGAGCTAAGAAGCAAAGCCCACACTGGGAGGAGCGGGAGATGGGGCTGGCTCAGAACCAGGAGAGCTTCGCCTTGGCCCCGCTCAGCTCCTGGCTGCCTTCCCCAGTTTTCTGTGCATTTCCTTCTGTTAGTTCTTGTCCTGTGTCCTGTAGGAGGGTGACTGCCCAGGGTGACTCGTTTTGAAAGTTAAGAAACTGGCCTCATCCTGTGTGTTCCCTCCAGCCTGCCTTTAAAGCCAGCAGTTTCTAAGTCCCTCACTGAAAGGCTAGGCCGGGAGCCTGTTCCTGATACCGTTACTTGCATAGAATGAATATTATAACACCCTTGTTCCCTGAGCTGTGCTGATGGGCACATCACAGTTCACTCTGGCTGGTGTTGCTGGTGTCGCAGTGTATGTTTTGGTTTTTCTTACTCTTTGCTCTTACGCTTGGTCTTATGGTGAACATTGTATTTGCCTCCAGGCTCTGTGGAAAGTGTTTCCCCATGGCATATCCTGAATCATGGAATTCTGAGCCTAAACTACCCAGGGTAACAGAATTATTTCCCAAGTCAAATGTATCGTCTATTTTCCTGGCAGTTCCACATTCTTGCCTATGCCTGGCATTACAGGCATCTAACTTTTCTAACCCAATGAAGTTCTCATCCTGACATTTCTCTGATCCCAAACAAGGTTTATCATCTTCCATGGTCTTTTTTTTTTTTTTTTTTTTTTTGGTACCAGGGAGTGAACTCATGACTGCATGTTTGCAAGGCAGGTGTTCATATCGCTGAGCTAAATCCCTGGCCCACCGTAGTCTTGCTTTGTTTCTGGCTCTGTGTCCTTTCCGGATGGGGTCTCGTGCCTACCTGCTTGTTTGAATGTCCTTATCAAAGGTTTGTTGAAATTCTTTATATTCTGGAGACCAAATCTCACTGGTATTTGTACCACAAATGTCTTCTCCCTGTTTGTAATTGTCTTGTTTTCTTTTGGGTTCATTTATGGAAAAGAGGTCTAATCTTGGTGTTTTCCTAGGACATCTGTGTTATACTCTGAGACTTTGTCTCTTACCTCTGAGGTTCCCTTTGTATGTGGTTTTGCTCTCCCACTTGTAGGTCCTTGTTTCAAGAAGAATGCTGTCCCAAGCACAGCCGCACTCAGAAAGGAAGAGGTAGGTAGATGCAGAAGGTGCGCATGGCCGTGAGGCCTGACGAGAACCTTCCTGCCACGGCTTCTGACAGCATCTGACCACTTAAAGGAAGCCCATGGACAGCAGGTAGCATCAGAAGAATACAAGAAAGCGTGAACTGGAAGAGGTGAGCACATCTGAGACCAGATCTAGAATACTCCATTCCCCTAATGGTGCTGTGTAGGTCTTTTAAAGTGATCACAAATAACCGTAGCCATATTGAACTATAGCCACAAAAACAAATGGGAAAGGAAAGCAGTCCAGAGATGTGTGTTGTCTCAGCTCAGAGTAGTTTGTCCTGATTCTTCCCAGAAGCAGAGAGGAGCAGTACTTTGGGCTTAAATAATTTAAGAAGCAGTCCCTGCCCAGAGGCTGTGGGGACCACAGGGTTTGGGGGCCCCAGTTCTCAGGCCTTGGAGGCCCCATCTCCTTTTGTACACTGATGCATGACAAAAGTCCCCAGGGCCACCAGGGGGATGCACATGGTGGAGGAGGCCACAAGTAGCCCAATGATGGCCAGGGCATATGCAGGGTAGTCCTTGGTCACCAGCTGGCCCTAGAGGAGAGAATGCATCAGGGAGGGGCCTTCCTGCCACGGCTTCTGACAGCATCAGCCAGGCCTTGGCCTGCAGTGAGGTGGAGGCACCGTGGGGACAAGTGTCACAGGTGCCCACAGCAGCCAGAAATAACCAGCGCCTCCCTGTGAAGCAGTGCCAGCCACCTCAGGGCGGGGTTGCCCGTGCCCAGACTCAAGTTTCCCGCGGCAGTGGAGATGTCCTGCCTCTATCCCTGCAGGGTGGTGCCCAGCCACCTGCTCTGAGGCTTAGTGCCTGACCCCAGGCACAGTCCCCAGCACCGGGCAGCTGCAGTAGGGATTCCTGGGGCCTGCTGTGGTCTTGTCACTGGCACACTCAGCTGTGCAGTCTGGGCTGAGCCTGCATGGGGGATCTCGGTCTCACCATGACTCCCCACCCTGAGCCAGGCGACCTGTAACACCAGCACTTGGAAAGCTAAAGCAGGAGTATCACTTTAAGTTCAGGGCCAGCCTGGGCTACCTAGTGAGTTTAGGGGCAGCTTAAACTATACAGTGAGACATTGTCTCAAAAGTAAAAAACAAAAAACCTTGAAGCTGAGGTGACTTGGGAGCCTAGTCACACTGACCCTGCAGGGATGACAGGTACCTGAGTGGCATCCCAGGCTTGGTACTGCAGGGTCCCCGACAGGATGTAGTCAGCCAGATAGAAGAGGAAGAGGCTGATGATGAGCAGCGGGCTCACGAACGCCCACATGACCTTCCAGTACCAGTTGAGGGCACGGCCAGTCATGGCCTCGAGCTCGGCTCCAAATCTGCATGCAGTGGGAGAGAACCTGGGTTTGTGCTGCTGCCGGAGCCAGGCGAACCCAGCGCGTCCTCTGCACCTAGAAGTCTGCTCTGGGCACCCTGAGCTGTGTGTACCCCGGGGCCCCTCAGTGAGGCTGGAGGGAGAGAAGGCTGGAGGCTGCCAGTAAAGGAGAACTCTGCCTGCTACTGGCTTTCAGGGAAATCTGTGGTGTAGACCAAAGGCAGGGCCAGGGGCGGTGGGGGCCAGGCACAAGGGATGCAGTCCAGTCTGTATCTAGGACAGAGCCCCTTGGGTGGCTTTGCCTCCCTGCCCTTCTCCCTGTCCACGGGCATCAGCACTGCCTGTTAGAAACACCCTGGGTCAGGACCCGTGTACCTGGGGACTGTAGGGTTCAGGGACAGCACAGGGGCTACCGTCAGCAGACCCCTGTGGCCTTCCACCTGGCTGCCCCTAGCCTTTTCTGTTTCCCTGAAGCAGCACCTGGTGGTGTTCCCCTCTGGGGTCTGACGGCCTAAGCCCAGGTGCCCGAGCCTACGGGGGTTGGGGTCCACAGCAAGGGGCAAGACCAGGGCTGTGGAGGATGTGCAGGGCACACAGAGCAGCTGGAACCTGGGGCGTCTCCTGCCTCCAGGCCACACCCTTTAACTCTGCTGTCTTGGCAGGACAGGCTGGGACAGGGCCTGGAGTCACACAGGACTCGGCCACCAGGGCTCTCATGTGCGATGTGAATACCCAAGGCTGGCAGAGTGACACAGGTCCCATAGTGTGGGTCCTCTCCTTCTATCACTTGGTCCACCTTGGAAGAGAAAGGTGGGAAGAGCAGGCAGCTGACCAGGTCATTGTCACTGGAAAGCCACCAGATGGCGCAGTGCCTGGAACAAGCCTCTGCCAGGATGGAGCTGCTCAGGAATTTCCCAGGGCGTCCTCAGGCCGCTCACATCCACAGGGCTCCTTCCACAGGCCTGCCCCCTTCTCCAGTGCCTTCCTGTGGGCCCAAGGTTCAGTCCTGTCCCCAGATTCTCTCTGTACTGGCAACAGAATCCCTCTGAGTTGGCATTTCCTGGATAATGAATTTAGCCCATTTTACTGGGGATTCTCCTGGCTTTAACACCAATTGGCCCATATTCCAGAAATCTTTCCATACTGGGGAAACAGAATTGGGCACCCTAATGTTAGTGACTTCAAAATGTTAGCAACTGAGCCTGGTATGGTGCATGCCTGTAACCTCCATGCTTGAAAGGCTGAGATGGGAGGATTGCCATGATTTCAAGGCCAGTCTGAACTACATAGTGAGACCCTCTTTCAAAAAATTGTAGTAATTGGCAGGATGAGGCTATGTGGCCTTCAGTGCTCACATTAAGTTGTTTTGTTGTTGGTTTTTGGTACCAGTAGTCAAACTCATGACCTTGTGTTTGCCAGGTAAGCTCTGTGCCACTGAACTATACCCCCAACCCTCACATTGCAGTCTAATGTCTTAAGTGAGCATATCCCATTGAGGAGTCCTGGGTTTTCAGAGCCTCGAGAAATCCTAGAAGAAACACAGCAACCTGGCTTGATTTCCCTAATGACTTAAAACCAGCTGCCCACAGGAGATTCCTCAGTACGGTGGCGATGTCGGCCTGCCTGGGGCAGCAGGAGACAATACTGTAGGGCTGCCAGTCTACACAGGCATCCACACTGGTATCCTGTCTACTTCCCTACCCCCACCCTGCAGCAGCAGCAGCAGCTGCCGCGGATGAGACCTGGGAGGAGGGGGACCATGCGGCAAAGCCCCTTGGGGCAAGAGTCAACATTAGAGCAGGATTTCTCAGAATCGACGCCTGCTCACTGCAGCATCTGGTTCAGGGCCGGGGAGTCCAGGACGCTGATGGGCTCGCAGGCTCCTTGTTGATGCTCTTGTTCATGGGACCATAGAGTGGTGGAAGGTAGACCAGTGGTCTCCAAGCATGGTCCCCAGGCTGCCTGGGAATAGGAACAAATGGGGACCCTGGACCCGTCCTGGACCTGCTTCACCAGAGCCTTTGTCGGGCTAGTTCAGCCAAATCCTCTGCGAGCTGCTGCAGATCAGCAGTTCTGACCCCAGCTTGCATTGCGTCACCTGGGGAAACGGAAAACTTCCCGGCCCTGGGCACCCAGAGTGGGGACCTGATCTCTGCAGGATGCAGCAGATCTTCTAAGATGAAAGTGCTCAACAAAGACCTTATCAATATTGACAATGGCTGGTGAAGAGGTCGCCTTAGTGCCGGAAGGAACAATTCTGGCTTCCTGGAAAGCTGTGGGGATTTGGCAGTGTTACCCAGAGGCATCCCATGATACAAAGAGAAAGACAGGAAGCAGAGAGGCTGCTTGTGGAGCCCAGCGGAGGGCAGAGGTCAGGCAGAGCAGTGGGTGAGACTCAGGGAAAATGACAGGTTTGAGGGCGAAGAGCAACCTTCTAGAAGGGAAGGTACCAAGCCAGGACATTGGCGGCTGTGGGGTCCTTGGGCTCCTCACCTCCTCAGCCCGTACACGTAGCACACGGCGATGGCCTCCACCAGCACGATGAGCAGCAAGGACAGCGTGGCCGCGTAGTCATTAAAGATGTCGAACCAGTAGCTCCCAGCCTCCATGGTGAAGAGCAGGCCGATGGCGCAGTTGACAAGGCACAGCAGACCTGGATGCCAGTGAGACACCTACTGGCCAGCCAGGGGCACCGCCTTCCCCTGCCCTCCCGCTCCCTCAGACAGCAGGGCCCAGCCCCGAGGGACTCTGTGCCCTGGGTCTGTCCACCTGGGCTGGAGGAGCCACCCTGCTGGGGACATCAGGCTCAACGGGAAGCAGGCGTGGGGAGCATTGTGCTCTCAGAGTGTCACCCAGGGTATAGGTGTAGGATGCTGGGGACTCTGCTGCTCAGGCCCAGTACTCATGGCGAATGAAGCAGGGGAGAGATTGGGGTTTCCCCAGCTCCTGCTGTGTCAGGCACTGGTCCTCATGGAGCCCTTAAGTTTCAGGGCAGGGAACAACAGGGCCCTTTCCCCTGGAGCAGCCAAAGGCTCTGAGATGACCTGCAGTGTCACCACGGCCTGTAGCATGGGAGCGGCAGAACCAGTCTGGTCCCTCCATGGGTTAACCCAGGTTTGAATCCTAAGCTCACATCTGTCTGGCAGGCTACAGTAGGAAGGAGTCAAGGCATATTGGCTGGGGAACCACTGGCCATGCAGTGCAGGCTGCCGAGGGTGCCTCTGGTCTGAGGAAGGGTGGGCGCGGACGGCCCTTGGAGAAACAGCAGCTCCACCTGAGGGTCAGGACTTTGAGGGGTGGGCAAAGGTGTCCTGTTTTGGGGTTCAGTTCGTGCTAGATGTGGAGGCATGGGGCCATTGGAGGTGGTTGGTTTAGGGTCCTGGGGTCCCTGCCTGGTTGGGATGGAGTCCAGTGGAACAGGAAGCGACACCATAGGAAAAGCTGGTTCTTCCCCTGAGCACCCAAAGGTGGAGCAGAATGGAGGAAGAAATTGTGGAATCACTCTTCCCATGGCTCACTACAGCTGGACCAGGCCACCGAGTCCTGCGTCCACCCACAGCATAGGCCTCAGACTGAGTGGTGATGGGATGAGGATGGGTGATGTGTCCTGTCATTGATAGAAAGTGTGGGGACAGAGCAGCCAAAGCACAGTGGAAGTCGGGAGAGAGATGATGCTTTGGGTGCTGGTTCCCTGGGGAGGGGATTGGATTGAGGGAGCTCGGTGGTGGGAAAAGGTTTTTGGTGTTAGGTACTGGTTATGTCAGAGAATACACATGCAAAGTTCGTTTTGTTGCCCTATACAGCAAAATGCTCGCTGCACGATTGCTATGTTTCAGTGAAAACCAAACTAAAGCAGGTTTTCCCTGAGCCTGGAGAGCTTTGAGCGCCAGGCAGAGGTCTTGGCTTTCCTCACAGTCAGGGTGACCTTTTCCTGCCAGGGGATGGGAAGAGCAAATTGCACGAGGAGAGTCCTGTCTGTGGGCCAGGGCCAGAATCAAGGTACTGTCTGGTGTCCCAGGTGCCTGGGACACTACAAAGGGAGGCTGGAGCCACCTCAAGGAGACGGCCCCTGAGCAAATGCGCACCCTGCATGTTCCCTGAGTCCCAGCCCACACCATCCCAGCCCCCTGCCAGTGCCTCACTGACCTGAGATGGCCTCCTTAGGCAGGTGGCTGGAGATGACCTCGCTGTCAGTCAGAGGGGTGAGGATGCCCATCATGTTGCCCAGCATGCTCCCAACGCCCAGCAACAGCAGCATGAAGAAGTAGAGCACCGACCACAGCTGTGACACATCCATGCTCTTGATGGCCTCGGTATAGACGATGAAGGCCAGGCCTGTGCCCTGGACAGCCTGCTCATGGGGAGAAGGCGGCAGTTACCCAGGAGTGACTTTCTGCCACTCAGTGCCTCACCCTAGCTTTCCTATACACTGGGTACAATGAGATCAAGCATGGACAGTCTCTGCTTCCAGTGTCGTGACTGCTCAGGTGTCCCGAGCCCTCATGGAAGGACTGGGGAGGCATGGTGGGCCCAGCTTGGTGAGGAAGTGCTGGTGGCAGTGTTCAGAGGTAGTGTCCTATGCTGGGGACCCTGTGTGGACACATGGAGTTGTGGAGACTGGGTCTGCAGCTGCTGCCTAAAGACAAATCCTCTGGGGTGCCAGGGAGGGTCAGGAGCTGTCGTGGGCATAGGTGCCTCCAGCTCCCAGCAGGAGAAACAGCAGAGACAAACCCCATGTGTTTGTAGGTGGGGAGCACTCCGCAGTTGTAACCCACAGAATTCCCAGAGAGTAGCAGTGAGCTCACACCCAGGTGCTGAGAGCCCACAGGAGGACAAGTGATAGAGAGTGAAGAGTCAGGGGGAGACTTCAGGAAAGTGACAGAGTGGCGAGCACAAAGGAAGGGCCTCTGCAAGCTTTGGTGTCCAGACCTTGGATTGTAGCAGCACGAAGAAGAGGAGAGAGGTGGAGCCCGTGGACACAGAAAGGATCTAAACAGACCTGAAGCCATGGAGAGAGATAATTTGGGAATCCAGCAAAAATTAAAAAGTTGGTAGTGGCCCTGCAGGTGGGGGAGAAGCAGCAAGGAAGCTGTGCGGTCCCCCCCCACACATACCTATAAACAGCCGGATGCAGCACAGCCTGAAATGATAATAAATGAAGCAGGGAAGCTGCCTGACTTTTGTTTGATTGACTTTGCAAGCTTGGAGTAAAAACAGTGCAAATGTGGAGGGTTGTCCTTCTGGTGGAGAAAACTTGGAGCAGATAACAAAGGGAACTTTCACTTTGTGTCTGAAACACATTTTTTTATAAAAAAGTGGAAACTCCAGATGATGAAATGACTTCAAGTATGGATCTGGAGGGGTGGCTATTTGGTTGTTATGTTATTCTTTGCGTTTTCCTGTATTATTAACACTTAGAAGAGGACAAGGCTCCAGAGAACCTTGCAGTACTTCACAATGGGTGAGACACTCAAGAGGCACCTGGACAGTGCACTGCCCATCACTGTCCACCAGGTGGCAGAAGGCCCAGTCATTCTTGCTCCAAGTCTCTGTGAACACATGGGCAGAGGCACCCTGGAGCCACCTGGCTGGCACCTTACCGTGTCCAGCTCCGACTCCAAGCTGCAGTTTTCCAGGAGCGGGAAGACCTCGCTGTACTTGCTCGGGTAGGTGGAAGCCAGGTAGCCCTTCACCTGCTCCAGGTTGCTGGCTGTCAGAAAGCCATCTTCAAGGTCAAAAGAATTGGTCAGCAGCAGAATCACCCTGCAGAGCAGACCACCAGCTTGACCTCCACTGGCTAGAGAGGCTGCTGGCCTTAGCGCCTCCCAGGAGCTTGGGGATCGGGTGCCGTCCTGCCCGTCTCTTCCTTGTACTGAACTGAGGGACGGGAGGCTGTGCTGGCGAAGATGGGGCAGCTGTGAATGCCTCAGCCACAAATGAAGGTAACGGCAAGAAGCAACTTCCATGGTGAGGCTATCTAAATAGCGGGACCAGTGAGACTCAGACACGTTGCTCTAGGAAATGTCGTGACTGGCCAGCTAGTGTGGTACCACACAGATGGTCCAGGGCACCACATGTGGTGATGGAGAACTTCAGCGTGGCTAAGCTGAAATCTAGAAATAACCTGCTTGTGACTCCTGACCACTAGATAAGATAGCTTACCTCTTGGGTGATGTTCCTACAGTTTGGTCAGGAGTTAAAGACAGTAAGTTCTGGCTGTCCAGGAGGTCTCGATTCCCTCTGAATTAAGGTTGATGGGGCAGGAGCTGTTGATGTCCTGATCTACTAAGTGCTCTGAGCACCTTCTACTGCCCTCATCCCCGGGACTAGCCATGGTCTCCTGGCCCTGAGTGCTGCTGGGAGGAGCCCGAAATCAAACCTTGGCTTGACTCCAGAACTGGAGCTCTTTGCCCACCTGTGGCTTCTGGACAGCCACTTCTTGCCGCCCTCCCTTCAGCTCAGAGCTCTGGGGACTGTCCTAACTCGAGGCTCAGGTCCTTGTGGGTCATCCCCGCTTACTTGTTCAAACAGTCTTCATAGTTGAAGGTGGCCTTGAAGCCATAGATGGAGAAGGTCACCACGCTGGCGAATATGGAGGTGGCACTGTTGATGAGGGACACGACGATGGTGTGCCTCTGGCAGTTGTTGGAGGGCTCATTGTAGCTGGCTAAAGCGATCAGGCTGCCAAAGCCCAGGCCGAGAGAGAAGAAAACTTGTGTAGCTGCATTGATCCAGGCCCTGGGGTTGGCCAGCTCCTCAACCTGGAAGGCCATCAGGGACAGGAACAGTGAACCCTGACTATTAGTCGAAGACTTACACTCACAGGGAGGGAGGCCCAGAGTGGGCAAGGGCTTCCCCCAGCTCCTCCAACCTTGGTCTGTGCCCCCCTACTCCTCAGCACACAAACCACTCATCAATCTTCCCATCACACTGTCCATAGCACTTTAGAAGCATGTAATCTAGTGTCATGGGGTTGCATGATCAAAAAACACATGGCCTCAGACTTCTCAGGTAGGCCCTATGTGAGTCTGGACATCCAGCCTTCTGGGTATGGAGATGACGCCTGGCTTCACAGCTCCCTGTGGAGAGCTGCATCTCTCCCACCCTCCTCCCCATCCTGGCAAGTGGTAGGATGAGTGAAGGGTGTCTTCACGACCCGCTCTGTGTTCTCACCTTGGGAGTAAACATGTACAGCAGACCATTGGTGGCTCCATGCAGAGTGAGGCCTCTGACCAGGTAGATGATGAGCACACCATAAGGCACCAGTGCAGTGATATATGCCACCTGTGGTACCAGAGGATAGGGTCAGCATCCGGGTGAGCAAGCATGGCAGACCCAGCATCCCTGGAAGCAACACAGCCTGTTGGGTCTTCAGGCTGCAGCCCAACTGCTGCCAGCTGGAGGTGGCCTGGGCATTCTCGGTTGGATCATGGTCTGGCTTTGCCCTGGAGAAATGGGCTGGTGGTTGTGTAACCCCGGTCTGTAGCCACCAGGAAATTCTTAATTGGCAGACAAGAGGCAGCAGGCACCAAGGCTTCTGCCCTATGGCCTCCTTCAACCTGAATGTATTCCACATAGCTGGGGCACCTGCAAGTATTCCCATTGACATGTTCTCATTTCTGGGTAGAGAAGTCAGTCTGGGAAGCAAATAGGGGCAACCTAGTAGTGAAGCCACAGAAGAAGGCTGCCCATAGATGTGTGTGGATCCCAGTTTCTGAGCCAAATTTTTCTCAGAGCCTCCCAGTGGCCTCAGCAAGGCAGGAAACAAAAAGATACCATGAATCATCTGTATTCTTGTGAGTTTGCATTAGGCCAGGTTTTCCTAGTGAAGGCCTGAAACAGCCTGGCCAAGAGTACTCTGTGAGGAGGAGTAGGGATACGGAGTTTGGGGAAATGTCCCACAGCAGATTACAGAGTCTGCAGTTGAAGTGTTACGGTGCCTCTTACAATCATTGTCATTTGCTTGGGCTTGAAACTGCACATAAATTATTTTGTGCTTTCTTTTTTTAAAAAATTTTTTTTCTGGTTTCTAAGATCTAACCTAGGTCCCTCACACTGAGGTATATCCCCAGTTTTTTTTTTTTTTTTTTTTGGTACTGGGGATTGAATTCATGACCTCATGCTTGCCAAGTAGTGCTTATGCCACTGAGCTAAATCCCTAGCCCTGTGACTAGCTTTTTAAGTTTTTATTTTGAGACAAGGTTTGATAACTTGCTCCTCTTTGGGTTGAACTTACAAACCTCCTGCCTCCATTGCCCAAAATGCTGAGATTATAGGCGTGTGCTACAGTGGCTTCTCTTTCAGAGCTCAACATAGAGGCCTTCGGGACTGGTATTTATCTGTAAGTAAGTCACTACAGGCAGCAAAGTCTTTTCCTTAAAGCAAGGAACAGTGTTGCTTCATGCATGAATTCCCTGGGGGCTTGGGTCCACCTGTGAGCAACACAGCTGGTGACCCTTTCTAGATGGGCCTAAATTGTATTCTGGCTGATCTGTCAGATACTGAAGTAGATGACACGACAAAGAATTAAAAACAAAAAATCTGACAAGTAAACTGACATACAAAGCCAGAAAGAAAGATAAAGAGCCAGTCTGCCCTTCCTGTGAGACAGCCATGGCCATGCAAAGACTGGGAGGAGAAATAAGGAGCCAATCCACCCTTCCCATGAGTGAACGGTGGGCATGCAGGGCTAGGAAGCCAATCCTTTCTTTTTGTAAGCCAGCAGCAGTCATTCAGGGCTGGAAGGAGAAACGAAACCAATCTTCTCTTCCCGTGAGCCAGCCAGTGTGCAGGCTAGGAGACAAGAAAAGGCCCCTTCCACCAGTAAGTAACCAGCTGATTTGGCTGAGTTGATAGCAACTGAGGTACAAAAACAACTTCATTCTTGTATTGTTTGATTGACTTTGCAGGCCTAAGGCCAGTAGTCTTAGCATCTATGTGGAGGATAACATTCAACACAGCAACTATGGCAGATTTCCTTCTGTCTTGTTTGTGAAATGTAATATTTTCTCATTGTTTTGTTCTGTTTTATTGCTTTATCTTCTTCATTGTCCTTTGGATTGGTTTTATTCTGTTCTGTTTTGTTTGATTTTTATTTCTGATGGCAGCAATTTTGAAGATAACAAAAGGCATTATAGTAGCCATTGTTGACTTCCTATTATCCTGTTTTGAAATCCTGTACTGCTTTCACTGTTTTGATTGGCTTTACTCTTTTATTTTGTTTGGTTTTATTCTCTTTAAAACAAAAATTTTTAAAGAAGACATAGGAAACCCAACAAGAGACAGACATTTAGGAATAGTAGCTTAATGAATTAAAGAGGAATATGTAGGATGTGACAGACCACTTCAGTGTGGAACCAGGCAGATAATCCTGGAAGTAAATCCTCAGTAAATCAAAAATGCAATTGAAAGGCTAGACAGTATAAAAGATCAGGAATTGAAAACTGATTTTAAGGGCGTAAGCGCCTGCCTTGCAAGCACGGGTCATGAGTTTGATCCCCAATACTGATAAAAAGAAATTCTGAAAACAATGATTTTATCACGGGACACATGGGTGGGTCAGCATATGTAAATCAGTGACTATAGTGCACCACATAAATAGAATGAAATGTAAAAGTCACGTAACCATCTCATCAGGTGCTGAAAAGGCCTATGATAAAATCTAAACACCAACAACCTGTTGAAAATAGGTCTAGGCTGGGGATGTAGCTCAACAGCACAGCACCTGCTTGCAAGTGTGGGGCTCTGAGTTCAATTCCTGGTACAAAAAAAAAAAATAGAAGAACTTTATCTCAATGGATAAAAACTATCTCTTATATACCCAAGCCAAGATCATATTAAACAGGGAAAACCTGAGAAAATTTCCCCTGGAACAAGACTTGTTCACTCTTACTACTCCTGTTCCAGATGGCACCTGAACCATTAGCAAGAGCCACAGGTAAAAGAAAGAAATAAAGGAGGAAAGGTTTATTTTAGCTCACATGCTGTAGAAGTTTCAGTCCATAATTGGCTGGCTCTAAGGCAGAGCAACGTGGCACATGGACATGGCAGAGGAGAAACAGACCATGGCATGGCAGACAGGAAGAAGCTAGTGGTTAAGGCAGAAGGGGGATATGTAGATATTTCCTGTATATCTCCAGGCCACACCCACACTGACCACCTCCTCCCACCAGGCTTCCCCTCCCAGCATCACAGTCAGCTATAAAGCAATCCAGTGATAAGCATCATATACCTGTGCTCCAGGCACCTCCCAAAAGCCCCTCCTACCAGTGCATTAAACTCTTGGGGGATATCTGGATACAAGCCATAAAAATAGAAGACCCCCCCCTTAAAAGTCCACCAGGGTTCATTTTAGATCTGACAGACAAATTCAACATAGTAGTAGCATAAAAAATGCACAAATATCAATCACATTCCCATAAACCATTAATGAACACACTGAAAGGAAATGAGGCAAACTTCTGTTTACAATGACCCCTCAAAATGTAAGACCTCTATAATACAACTTAAATAGTTCTAAACAAAGAGGGCATTGGCAAAACAACCCTTTTTTCTTGGGTTGGTACAATTATTGTTAACATACTACAAAACAGAGTAACAAATTCAACACTATGCATATTAAAACACCAAAAACATTCTTTACAGAACTAAACAAAAACAACAACAACAAAAAACCAGCCTGGACTTTCATTCAGTTTCTGAAAAGACTCAGAATAGCCAAAGAAGCCCTGAGAAAACAGAACAATTCTGGAGGCATCAATGTATTTGACTTCAAGTAATACTACAAAGCCACAGTAACAAAAATAGGATGCCGCTGACACAAAAATAGATCCATGGACCCGTAGAACAGAACAGAAGATGCAGAAACAAACGTGGGCACCTATGGCCATCTGATTTTCAAAAAAAGGCCCAAAAACATCTGCCAGAGAAAAGATAGCCTAAGAAATGGTGTTGGAAAAAAATCAAAGAGCCACGTGCAGAGAACGAGATCTCATCTCTCTTCCTGGGCTAAAATCAGGCCAGAGACTTAGGTATAAAACCAGAAACAGCAGGTGTGGTGGTGCACATCTGAAACCCCAGCATCCCAGAGGCTGAGGGAGGAGGATCACCACAAGTTCAAGGGTAGCCTGGGCTACCCAGTGAGTTTAAGGCCACCCTGGACTGCATAACAAGACCCTGTCTCAAAAAACAAAACACAAACCAGAAACACTGAAACTTCTCGAAGTCTATGCCAGGGAAACACTTGAAGCCACAGACACAAGCAAGGACTTCCTGAGTAGGATACCCACCCCCACCCTGCACAGGAAGTAATATCCACAATCCACAAATACAAGCAAGGGGAAGGATACGCCCTATAGGAGACAAGTTACCAAATGTGAGCTCATCTTTGCAGTTACTTTTTGGGTACAAGATGGAAAACTCAAACGTGTAAGGGAGTTAAAAATCCAGCCCCATAAAACAATCCAAGGAAAAAAGCCAGCAAGTGAATGGGAGAGAGATTTCTTAGGCAAAGAAATTCAAATGGTCAAAAAGTATATGAGAAATGTCAACACCTCTAGGCATGATGGAGAAATGCAAATTAAAAGCACAGTGAGAGTAGCCTCATAGCAGCCAGAACGGTGGTCCTCAAGGACACCACCATGATTGCTGACCAGGACCAGGAAGAAGGCTGCCTTCTGCATGACTGTGGGAAAGGGAAATCCGGAAGGATACTGTGGAAGTCGGCATGGTGATTCATCAAAAGATTAAACACAGAAACACAGTGCCCCAGCAACAGGCTCTTGTGCTTCCTCCCAGAGGAATGAAGGGCCTGTCCCAGGGTGATCCAGGCACCCCACGGTCACAGCAGTGCAGTGCACAGTGGCTGAGCTGCAGGGACAGCCTGGATGCCTACCCACACAAGAATGGGTGAAGGTGGTGTTCTCGGCCCGAGGGAACAGGAAATCATCGTTTGCCAGGGAGCTTCAGGAATGAGGACCTGGAAGTGAACAAAACTAGGCAGCCTCAGAAAGTTAAATGTTGCAGGACTTCTCTCACCTGAGAAGCCTAAAAAATACATATGGGCAGACAGACATAAACAAAAAGGCAGGACAGGGCAGAAACTGGAAGATACATTTCTGATGATGGAATGGCCAGAAAGAGGAGGAGAAAGGGAAGGGCTGAGGAGGAAGTGAAACTTTCCAAGCCACCAACTTCTGTGGGGAACCTCCGTCACCAGGTAAGGTCAGTGCACACTAATGTAATGCAATGCAAGGCTGGGCTACAATTGCAGTCACTTCTGGCCACCTTCATCTCACAAGGGTACTTGATCTATTCCAGCATGCTCTATGTCCCTGCCCCACTCTATGGAGCGCTCCCTGATGCTGCCCTCCCCGCCTGCCCACCTTGCCCGTGGTCTCGGGGCCCCGCAGGATGCACAGGTACACCATCATCCAGGCCAGGACCAGGCACAGCGCCGGCTCCCACTGCACAGCCCCACTCTCCTGGATGGACGGTGAGATGTTGAGGGTCTTCCGGTACCAGAAGTACTGTGTGGACGAGGCCTTCTCACACTCCTCATCGTAGCCTGTGCGGTTTCCATTCAGGGGGCAGACAGACCATGGCAGGGGGTCCTGCAGGTTGTGCAGAGGGGTGAGAGGGAGGCCAGGGTGGAGGGATGAGGGCAGGGGAGGAGCTCCTGTGGCATGAGAAGTGCATGCCTGTAGGGGGCTCAGAGGGGCTGCAGGGGTGCACAGTGTGGTTTTGGGGTGGAGTGCTCCCCAGAGGTCTGTGCGCGGTGGCCTTGCCATAGCAGGTGTTGCTGGGCAGTGTTTAGTGGCAGGGCCTAGTGAAAGGGTCAGTTGGGGTGTATGCCCTTTGTAACTGGTGGGACCCTGTCTCCTCCTGTGGGAGATGCCACATCTGTGGCTGCACCTGATTGTGTGATGACCTGCTGTCCTCTGTGTCCCTCACTAGAGGCCAAACCAATGGGCCCATCTGCTCCACACAGTGAACCTTCCAAACTACTTAGCTGAATAACACTTTGTTCTATGGGAGTTCATTGCCGCTGGTGTCATCTTAGTTACTCTTCTGTTGTTGCTGAGACAAAATACCTAACACCCAAAGTGAAAAGAGGAAAGGTTTATTTAGTTTACAGTGTATAGAGGTTTCAGTCTGTGTAGTTGGCTGGCTAAGAGGCAGGGTAGCTTCGCAGAGGCAAAAATAGTTCATGGTGAGCAGAAGGCAGCCAATCAACAAGAACCTTAATAGCATCTTCCTGCCTATTTTATCCAGGCTACCAGGATTAGGGTGTTGCTAAACCAATCAGTGGACTTAATTCCAGGATTGTGCCATGAGCCAGTCACACACTCTAAATCCAGCCACCCCTGAAAAGTCTCTATCATGGCATGAGGCTTTGTGGGGGCATCTAGACACGAGCTGTAACAGGTCTTTCATTGTTATGCAGAGTTCACTCTGCTTTTGTCTGCATCCTGCGGGAGCTCTGGGAACACCTGAACTCCTTTGTGGGAGTAAAGACTGGAATGTGCAATGGTGGAGTAGCTGTGATGACAGCACTGTGACCCATAGCTCTGCAGCAGCCAGCCCAACCTTGGCATCAGAACAGTCAGCACTTGGTCCAACCAGAGAAAGCCAGCTATGCACCCCTAATAGATCTCACAGAATGTCTTCCCTCTAGGTAGCCTCCTTCTGGCTCCCCCAAGCCAGCATCCTACCTGCAGACACTGGGTCTGAAAGCCAGAGGGCGATGAGATCTGCACCCTGCAGCCACCATCTCTTGAACCAGAGAGGAGTGAGCACCAGTGATTGACTGTCAGCCTAAGTCAGCTCAGCCAGAAGTCTGACACATGGGCATTACAGGGTGGAGCTGGGAGGGTCCTCTCCTCCTGCAGCAAGTTTAAACTGGATTCTCTCTTACTCATCAACAAAGGCACCTACATGATGTGTGACATGTCTGTTATGGTTTAGATCTAGAGTGGCCCTCAAGCTCTCATGCCCTCAGGGATGGGGCTTTGGGGAGTTGATCAGCTTCCATGGGTCTTGTATTCACCAGGGATTCATCCATGAATGAGTTCAGGAATTGAGAGTGCTGTGAGGATGGGGGTGCCTGGGTAGAGGGAAGTCACTGGGGGTCTGGTGCCCTCCCTGGCACCTCTCTTCCCTCTCTGTTTCCTGGCCAATGTAACCGTCAGAAGCTTTTCTCCACAAAGCTCTTCCACTGTGCCATGTCTGAGATGGAGCCTGCCAGCCATGACTCATGCTTCTAAAACCATAGCCAAGAGAAACCTCTCCTTTGCGCTGTGGGTGTCAGGTTTTGTGTCTCAGTGATGAGAAAGTGACTACGACAATGCCCAGTGAACCTGACTCATGGCCAAAATCTCACAGAGATAGTAAATGGGGTGGGTGAAAGAAAAACAGAATTCTGACCAGGGCTAGAGGTGGGATGGTTGCTACAACCCTACCCTGCCAGTATAAGCTCCATGTTGATCTATTTTGTGTGTTTCTGGTTTCTGTGAGCTTAGGTTCTTGGACAAAAATATTCCAACTGAAGCGAGCATGAACAGCCCCTCACATCAACCCCATATTCCACTAGTGGCAGAGCCAAGGTGCTCAGCCAATCTGCACAGAACAGCTGGAGCCTAGGACCAAGCGCATGGGCAGGGCTAGGGCCATGCTGGCGACTCCCTGGTTGCAGAATCAGCCTTAATAGTTGGATGAGAGGGATCTTTTGTCCGTAGGGCCTCTGGCAGCTTGTGTGAGTTATGTCTCCATGGTAGCCTTGGGGCATGGGGGATCCATGGCTCCCTGGTTCAGGAGTTCTGTGGTGGATAAGTGGCTGATTCCCCGACGCTGTTGCCCACTCCATGGCTCTCCCTGATGCTGTCAAACTCTACCTCCTCCCCACCTCCAGGTGTGGGTCCTGCCCTTGCGCAGGCTCTTGTGGGCAGGGGGCTCACCTGGAAGGAGTGGAAGAGGTACCAGAAGCCCCAGGTGTTGACCACATTGTAGTACATGCCCAGGAAGAAAGACACCACAACGCTGGCCACGCCTGAGGGAAAGCAGAGGACAGTGAGAGGGACCACGAGTGGGTGGCCCACCACTCGCACATGCCCAGGACATGCCTGCATGCCGTCCTGCATGTGTGTGAGTGCTGAACATGACCACACACCCGGCCGGATGTGAGAGCTGTGTCTCTTCTCCGAACTCTGTCCCTGTGTGGGACACAGAGCTGAGGACATCTGTGCAGATCCCTTTGCCAGCTCCTGTGCTATGTACTTCACACTCCTGGGTCTTCATCACAGTACTGTCCCCATGCCACATAGGCGAGTACTGAGCCACAAAGCTGGCCCCAGACTGCCCAGCCAGTGAGTGGCAGAGCTGGGACTCAGACCTCTGAAAGAAGCACTTTGTGACTGCCACTGCCACTGCAACTCCCACCTGTGTGTCCAGTGGAACAGGTGCTCCCCCTTTGGCTCACGTGGCACAAGACTCCGAAATGAGTAAGGGGTTGGGGTCCAAGTGACACTGAGGCAACTGAGGGTGGTCACAGTGTGAACAGCGCCCAGTGCTACTAGGTGCCCGGCTCCCTTTCCCTGCTGTGATGAAGGCTAAGTGCCTGCTCTTACTGATCGACCTGATGGGTGATACCGCACACAGTAGCTGTGCAGTGACAGGGAAGAGGCCTGGTCACTAGCAGGGAGCCATGAGTCACATGCTGTCCCAGCAGACTGATGGCCAGCGCTGAGTGGAGATCCTACCCCAAGAAGCTTGTGGGACAGCTTGCAAGTCTGCAATAGGCCATGGTAGAAGACTATGCCACTGGCATCAGCAAGCTACAGGACAGCTGGGCAGCGATTTCTCTTCCACAAATTCCAAAGCTGAGGCCCAGAGAAGAGAAGTCAGGTATATCAGTGCCCAGGGGCTTCCCTGTGAGTCAGGGTCCCACCCCTTCTCAGCCAGGTTTGCTGGCGGCTCCCCCTGGGCCATCAGTTCACTCAGTCACTGCTTACTCTGGGGTCCTGTGCTTGTTCTAGAGCCTCATACCCACCCCATGCCACCTAGGGGACAGTATGTCTCTGTGTGGAAGGGAATGGGGGAACCCCACATACCAACACCTCCAAGGTAGGGACTGATGGTCCTCCAGGCACCAATGCTGCCCTGCCGCATGCGCTGCCCCACTGCCAGCTCCAGGTACAAGAGTGGCATTCCTTCCACAATGAGCATGATGAGGTAGGGGACCAGGAAGCTACCTGTGAGCATCCAGAGCTGAGGTCAGGCCAGCAGTGTTAGACGGGCCACTTAGGGCCACCCACTTCCCTCTGCAAACTCCCTTGCATCAGCCTGCCTTTCCCCTTGTTCACTCTGCCTTCTACCTCCTACTCATCCATTTTCCTGTCTGACTCCATTCTTCTGTCTGTAAGTCTTCCACCTATCCACACATCCATCCCTCTGTCATTTCGCTGTCTAATGACCATCCATCCATCCATCCATCCATGCATCTATCAGTCTACCCATTCCTTTATCTACCCATCCATCCAATCATCCACCGTCTGCTAAACCAACCATCATCTATGAATCCATGCACCCATCCACAACGCATCCATCCATATTCAAAAACCCACCCATCTATGTGTCCATCCATTCATTCATTCCATCCATGCATCCACTCATCCATGAATAACACACCGACTTGTCAGTTATAAAAATGTTCAATACTCCTAGCCCAAGAGGCAAACAGCCCCTGCCTTGCTTCCCTGGAGTGCCCTCCTCAAGGCCTCTGCTGGCTGGTCCTCTACCAGAGCCCCCATTGCATCTCCTGTGTCCTCAGGGCCAGGACCACTGAGTCCCTGCATATTTGGAGCTCCTCCTCTTTCTCCTCCCTTGAGGTCTTGTACAGCCCTCACAGTGCCCAGGTAAGGCAGTGTCTGAAACACCATTTACTAAGCACTGGCTGTAGCCAAGGCAAGAAACTGGGCAAGGGCCAGTGAGAGAGGAGGGTGGGGCCTCTGGGGAAGAGAAAGCTGAGGCTACCACTGCAGGGATTAGGTGAGTCCAGCACCAGCTGACTCCTCAGGTGTGAAGGTAAACAAGGCAACATCTGTCCTTACAGGAGCACTGCTCAGTCACACACGCTGCCTCCACAGTGCATGTACAATGGGCTGTACCAGTAGGGCTTACGGCCATGCTCTGGGCCACCCAGGAACCTGTGCGTCACTCCGAGCAGCTACAGAGAGTCACCCCGAGAGCAGGCCATTGTGCATCTCACGATGGTGGGCATCCAGTCTGGGCCCATTTCCTGCCCTGTCTCAAACCGTGAACACAGCCTGGCGCACTTGCTTGGTTATTCCTGGGGTGACGGATCCCAGAAGTAGAAAGCCTGGGACACAGCCTAAGGAGGGAGTGGCAGTGGTGGTGGGCAGGGAGAGCAAGGTCCACACCCCAGCCCAGGACTGCCTGGCTCCTCCTGTGCCCAAATGGGGCCTTTGCACCCGCCTTTTCCCTCTAGGACTCTGCTAGGGTCTCTCCTGGCCTCACCCCTTCCTGGTCTGTATCCACTTGTGTTGGCGCCTCACCAGCTCCTCTGGGTGGTGAAGGAGGCTGAGACTGTGCATAGCTCTCTCCCTTGAAATCCCTGGGCTTGGTGGCTATGTTCCCACAGCCCACATGGAGCAGCACCCCAGCCTGAGAGGTCGAAGGAAGATCTCACTTTCACCAGTGTCACTGGGGACTGCTCCCAGGGAGGCTGAGGCCACCTTGGCTCAGTGGCAGGGCCTGCCCGCCGGCCTGCTGCCTAGGCCAGATAGAGACACAGGCCTGGGGCCCAGGTGGAGTGCAGACCTTTAGTCCTGCTCCTCAGTGACCAGCGCCCCTCTCCCACCCTCAGCGAGCGCCGGAAGTGTGCTCTCTGATCACTTTGTCAACGATGTTAAAACAGTGCAGGTATAGAAAATGAAACCTGATCCATAATTCAAAAATACCTGGAAATGGATTATAGAGCCCGACATCAACCCAAGCTTGAAACACTAAGGAAGTCGGAAAACCACCTCTCTGACCTCCTTTGGCAATGATGTCCTATGTCCTGAAGCAAAAGCACTCTCTGCAGAGGAAGGTACAGAATCCACCCTGCGGCAGGGCTGTGGTCAGCCCCTAGGAGCTGTGATCTGTAGTTTGCCAAGGTCCCTGCCAGGCTAAGTCTCAGGTGCGATGCCCCCCAAGATCCACTGGTGCCAGTGTGGCCAGGCATGGCTGCCCGGGATACTCACCGCCACCATACATCTGGCACAGGTAGGGGAAGCGCCACACGTTGCCCAGACCCACAGCGTAGGAGATGCAGGCAAACACGAACTGCAGGGGGTGGTCCCACTGCTCCCGGGCCTTCTCCTCAGGCCCAGGCTCCATGTCCTCTGCTCCTCTCCTCCTCTCAGGGGTCTGAAGGGAGTGGCTGGGGCTCCCCCAGAGCTGCCCCTCCTCACCCTTAGCCAGGGAGGCCAGAGGTGCCAAAGGGAGCTCTATCTCCTGCAGCTCTGCCTGCTGGAGGACAGGGTCTCCAGGTCTCTCTTCTGCACCCCAGACTCCTGTGTCTCTCCTCCCCTTTTTGTGCACTGAGCCCCAGTATCTGCTCTCCCCACCCGGCTCTGCTGCTGTCCCTGCCGTGTCCCCCGTACCCTCTTGGCCTGGACCTCATGCTTGGCTGGTTCTGCCTTGCTCCTTCCTGGCTGGCCACCTTTGCCCTGCTGCTTGCATTGTTCCCCAGCCTCATGCCACCCAGGCCGTGGGACCTCTGCCCATCCTGGGCTACCCTCAGAGCCCCTGGGAAATGGCACAAAGAATACAGTACCTGGCCTGCGCTCAGCTACCAGCTACTCCGATTCGCAAACTGCCAGTGTCTGAGGTGTGAACGCTGCCCTGTGGGTGACCCAGCCACCTACGAGATGGCCCTGCATGTGGGACCTGACATGCAGTGTGTAGCAGCTGTTATGCTGGATTTTCCCCATGCAGGGTAGACACCGATAGCATTAAGAGTACATGTGGCCTGGTAAGTGGTTAAGAAATGTTTGGTTCAAGTGCTTATTACCTGTGACTTACAAGCAGGAGTTACAGCATCTGATTCTGAACACACCTGATTCTGAACAGTGGCTGTGTGTCACCACCTGCTCAGGACATTCCCGACATTTTCCCACTTGGCTCCCAGAGCCTTGGGGCAGGGAGACAGCGCAGCTCTGGGCAGTGTCTGAGTCCCAGTGAGTGGCCTTAGAAGAGCCATTCTCTCTGTGCATGTGGCTGTCACTGTGCCCAGGTGACAAGGTGTGTGGGATCAAAGGCCGCCAGTGTTCGGTGTCAAATGATTTCTGGGAGAGGGGTGCACCCCGGGGTCAGAGCTGTGGGTGTGGCCCAGAAACCTGCATGGGGCTCCAGATTCTCACCCCGACAGCCACAAGGGTCACGTGGTTCTCAGCACATGCTTGCCTGGCCATTGCAGTGTTAATTAACCAGTGGCTCTCAGCTCCTCCTGGGATAAAGTCCAAACTCCTTGGCTTTGTCTGTAAGACCTTGAGGAAGTTTATAAAATGTTTTCTACATTTTTATATCTAGGTTATTTCTTTTTTAAAAATTATTTTAAGGGTTTTTAAATACGTATTTTTAGGTTTTAATCAGCATATACTTGTATGCATTTGTGGGGCACAGGGCGATACTTCTATAGAGGTAAACAATGTACAACCACTTCATCCATCACCTCGAGCTTTATTTCTTTGTGTTGGGAATGCAAAGCTCTCTGCTAGCTGTTCTGAAACACACAATTAATGTTATCACCCACAGTCCTCCTCCCCCTTGCACTCCAGAGGTCCCCACCTTGGGGTGTATTGCTGGACCACAGGCCAGTTCTACTGGGCTGTGTTCAACAGCTCCCCTTTGCTGTGACAGTGCCTCCAAGCCAATGAACTGCAAAGCAGAAGTATATTCTGAGTCATGGTTTAAGTCCATAGTCGCTCACTATTGCTTTTGGGGCTGTGGCAGGGCAGAGCATCCTGGCAGGAGAGCTGCCAGGAAGTGAATGGAACAAGCGCAGGTGACTTTGCTGAAAAGAAGTTGGTTATAAACTAGGACGGTGACACATGCCAGTAATCCTAGTCATCTAGAAGGCTGAGGCAGGGGGACGGCAAATTTGAGCTTGGCCTGGGCAGTGTAGAAACTCAGCAAGACACTGTCTGAAAAGCAGAAGAGGCCTGGGGAAGGGGCTCAGTGTGAAGGCCCTGGCTTCTAGCCTAGCACCAGGAAGGAGAAGGATGCAGGGGACCCACAGGTTTGCTGTAAATATACGGTTGTATTATTCCTCAGGTGTCTTTTGTGTTCCATTGGTCTGCATGCCTGTTTTTATGCGGCTTGGTGGTTTTCTGCAGTGATTTAGTTTGATTCCATTTTATTTCATACTTGTGTGTCTGGTGGTGAGTTTTACACTTTCATGTGTTTTCATGGTGGTAGTGATTGTCTTTTCACTTCTAGATACAGGACTCACTTAAGCGTGTTTGTTTTGAGACCAGGTCTCCCCATGTAGCCCAGAGTTCCTCAAACTGGAGATGATTCTGCCTCTGCCTACAGACCCTAGAATTTCTGGTGTGCACCATCACCTTGGCTTCCCTCAAGCTTTTCCTGTACGATGCCACATCAGTGCAGAATGCCTCAGATTTTTCTTATCAGGGACTGAGCCCCAAAACTTTTATCATGAGATATCCCTATATTGTCCTAATTTACTAGGAGTCCCTATTGACTGTCTCTTACTAAAATTAATGTAGGCAGTAAATGTAATTATGAGTATGTGCAGGAAGACACAGCTGTGTGGTGCAGAGTTCCTTCCTATCCATCTTCTCATCTGGAAATGTACCCTCAGGTGAGTGGGGACTCTTGAGTCGGTCACTTTCCTATGAGTTAACTGACTTTTCCTTTGGAAATTTTTAGAATGAGGTTTTCTATCTCCAGCAAATAGGCAAAAGATGTGGCGGGAGATCTCTGATTCCTTCTCGCAGTCCTCTCAGGCAGATCAGTGGTTTGTGTGGACCGGTCACCTGCTGGGAGAGCTGTCTGCACAGCTGGAGGTGAGGACTCAGAGCTGCTGTCCACTTGCTGTCTGTGCATCACAGGGCTCCTGGCCACCAGGGATTTGGATGAGAAGTTTTAGCTGCAGCTTCTGCACGCTGAGCAGGCCAACCCCCTCCAGCTGTGCAGGTTGAGAGAGGCTGAGGCCTGTCCTGTGATCTCCTGTAGGAGAAAGAGGCACTGCTTTCTCTGTGAGAACAGGTGGCTCTTGGTGGATGCTGGACTTCTGGAGTTCTGGAGCCAGAGCAGCAGTCTGGGTCTTGAAGGTGCCCCAGAAGTCTGGAGCTACTGGGAATGAGCAGAGCCTTATTCAGGTAGTCAGGCCATCAGGGTGAGCCCTGGAGGGGACCCTGGGACCCCAGCTCTTCCTCTTCCCAGCCATCTGAAGTGACCAGTTTGGCTCCACATGAGGCTATCTAACCAAGGTCCAAAAGGCAGATTACCATGGACTGAATACCGTGAGCCACATGGGCCTGTCCTCCTCTAAGATGATTCTCTGGGTACTTTGTCACAGTAACAGAAACATGGACACAGCCAGTAGGAGCCAGCCTGGGTCACCACTGCCAGCACCTGAGTGCTTTTTTGGGAAAGAGGTTTCAGCTGCAATTAGTATGGGTATCTTTTCCCAGAGCAGTGATATTTGCTGGAGGCCAAAATTGTGAATGAGGGAGGTAAATGTTCTGCAGTTTTATTAGTGTTCCAAAATCAAAACCGGTGGCTATTTAAGCCCAATGATGGAGCTGCTTCCTTAATGTAATACAAGAAGTTCCCTCGAGTGTCTTATAGGACAGAGGCCACATGGGTATCACATGCTTGTCCTTTTCTTTCCTTTCTGCTAGGTCCCACACGCCAACAGCATGCCAGATCCCGATTCTTACCATCCATGCTGGGGAAAGGAAATTTTTCTGTAGACTCATCACCACTGTGAGCCCTGAAATTCTTGCTCCAGGCATGATGTCCCACACGCTGCCACCCCCAAGGCCATTAATTTCACCCAGCAACCTTGCCTCAGCTTTGCAGCTCTGCCAAGGCCTGTGGTGAATGCTGGGGTAAATTCCACTCCTGGAGGTAGAGGAGCCTCTGGGAGTCTCCCAGGTAGTCATGGAAACAGACAGTGGTGTTGCCCTCCAAGCTGGGAGCCTCAGGGTGCAGTGGCTGTAGTGACAGAGGAGAGTGTGGGGGGAAGAAGTGCAGCCCTATGGGAACCAGCCGGTGTGCCATGGCGGCACCAACACACTCTCCACCGTGCACACCATGTATACTTTGTACCCACTCTGTGATTCCCTAACCCTTACCCACCCCTCTCCACCCCTCACTCCTGACCCTCTTTGCTAATAAGAGCTCCTCTTCTATCTTCCTGCTTCTTTGTTAGATTCCCTGAGTCAGGGAGAACACATGATGCTCGTCAGTCGGAGTTGGGATCCAGTTCCAGTCATTTTCACGTAAATGACACAATTTCCTTCTTCTCTGTGGCTGCGTGACACTCAGTAGTGTATATATGTCATCTGTCTGCTGATGGACATTTAGGCTGGTTCCATACCACAGCTATGGCGAATGGTGGCACAATAAACACAGCTCTGCAGGGAGCCCTGGAGTACAGAGCCTTTAGTTCCTGTGGGTGTTTACCAAGGAGGGGTATAGGAGAGTTCTAGTTTTGTGCTTTGAGGAAGTTGCATTCGGATTTCCCTACTGTTTACATCCCCACCAGCAACACCCAACTGCTTAGTGTTTTTTATATATTGTTACTAACAGTCTGTCAGAAGAGTAGCTGGCAAAGACTTTTTGTGTTCTGTAGGCTGTCTCTTCACTCTGGTAGTTATTTCCCTTGCTGTGCAGAAACTTAAATGGATGTAGTCCCAGTTAATTCTTGTTATTATTTCCTGTGAGTTGGAGTCCAATTCAGGAAGTCTTTGCCTGTGTGATGGCTTCACCTGTTTCTTCTAGCAGGTTTAAAGTTTCAGATCTTTTATCTTTGACTGATTTCGAGCTAATTTTTTGCACAGGTGAGAGATACGGATCTAGTTTTTGTCTTCTACAAGTGGATCTCCAGCTCTCCCAGCACTCTTCACCAGGGGGGGACTGTATTTTCTGCAGTATTTCTGGCTTTGTCCAGAGCTCCACGGCTGTAGCCGCATATCTGTCCTGCTCCCTCAGTCTGCACGTCTGCTTTTGCACCAACACTGTGCTACTTCATTACTGTGATTTTGCAGCACATCTGAAATCAGATACTGTGATGCCTGCGCCTGCATCTGTCTGCTCAGGACTGCTTTGCTGTTCTAGGTTTGTTGTTTCCATCTGAATCTCAGGACTGGGTTTTCTAGCTCTGTCACTGGGATTACATGGAATCTGCAGACATCTTTAGGTAACTGTCATACAATATTGAGCAGCAACCAGCAAAAGCAAAGCAAACATTGGCAAACTTTTCTATGTCAGGTCTTCCAGTGGGCTCAAGTGGATGCTTGGGAAATCCCTCACTCTTTGTGATGTCCCAGGAAACCATAGCAGAATGGAAGTCAAACTGCACACTTTTCCATCTGGAACCCAATGAGCCCCATTTTGCCTGGGACATTGGCAAATGCTGTTACACACTGGTGTAAGAGCGGCATGTGTGTGGTAGAAACTTTATTTTGGATTTTGACCTTTTCTGGGGGAGTTGTGCTATTGGATGTGGGCAGCTCCCTGTTAGCACACAGTCACCAAGGTCAGCACCCGGCACTGCGGTGTGCAGTGCTGCTGAGCTGTGTGCTTGTTGGGTCAGGTCCAATCAGTGCAGCCCCAGCGTCCAATACTGATCACTTTACTTTGGGTTTGCCTGCATGGCTGGAGATCTAGCTATGTGATAGATTATGGGGGGCCTGGACTACATGATTTAAGATCCTCAAAGTTCTGAGGTCAAGGTGACCTTGCCTTAGGAACAGGGAGATATACAGAAGGCCATGTGTCCCAGCCATGGGTACAATGTTGATAACCCAGCACTCCCTGCAAGACAGCACCTGCTGAGGACAGCTGTTGAAACAGGCATTTGGGTTTAGAGAAAATCTGGTTCCTCATTAACTTAATCCTTATCCACCTATTTTCTACAGTTACTGTTCCATGAAATGAGTGCTACCCCTCCCCTTGTGCTTCCTGCTAGCCAATAAAAGTGAGCCAACCAGAGGTAGCCAAGCCAGTCCACTAGGGGTGAACTCCTCTCAGTTCCCTTTGTACTCTGCAATGTCTCTTTGTGTTTATTTCCCATTGAGTCCCCTGCAGGTACTGCATGCTCCACACTGAATGGCATGCTGTATTCCTGAAGGCATTAGTTTGCCCATCTCATGTCCAGGAGCACACACTATTCCCTGGAAGTGATCATTCTGCATAAAGGAAATGTTCGAAAATGCTTTCAAAAGTTTCAAAGGGCATTGTTGATATGTTTCTAAACATACCACTCACTTTTCTTTAGTGTAGCACTGATTTGTTTACTGCAGTAAAAAAGAAAAAAGGAAGACAAACTTATATGGTAGACTGTTATAATCATAACTATGGTATGTTTCACTGCCAAGATCTCTGTTTAATCTGTTCAGTTCCACTATCAGAAAAACAACAGCAACAAAGATGGCAGATAAGACAGCCAAAAAGCACTCTTAATGCCTATTTTTGTTGTAGGGAAGTTTACAGCATGAAAAGGAAAGAAGCCACCTCTGGCTGATATCCAGAGTGGGTGTCTATAGAAGCTGGACATTGTTAGCAGCATAATCCCAGCACTCTGGGAGGCTGAGGCAGGAAGACTGTGAATATAAATTCAGCCTAGGCAATTTAGTAACTTAGCAAGACTCTATCTCAAAATTTTAAAATATGAGCTGGTGATGTGGATAAGTGAAAATTTTGGGTTCCATCCTCAATATTGTGAGTGCATGGCTGCACACACACACATGCACACGCATGCACACACACACACACACACACACACACACACACACAAACACAGATGTCTGTAGAAATATACCCAGAGAGACTCTTCTGAAATCCATAATCTCGACAAAGCAAGGCACGTTGGGAGTTTTTTGGAAAGGTCCTCTCACTTCAGGATAACACTGGTGTACTTATTGCAGTAAAAAGAAAAAAGGAAGACAAATTCACATGGTAGACTAGTGCTTTAATCATAAATATGGTGTGTCTTTAATGATAAGATGCTGTTTAAATTATATACATTAGAAATTTTTCTTATGTACAGATAAACAACATGGGCTGATTGTAACCGATGCCTGGGGTCTTCTAGAGTTGGCCACGAGTTCCAAGTGCAACACTGAGTCTTCGCAAAGCTGATTCACTCTCATCCTCATGGTGCGTTCTGGCGACCTTTGCAGGGCACTAAGATACCAGAGACAGGTGGCTGTGCAGACCCTTCCTCCGTTCGGGAGTTGGGAGCAGTAACCTGGGGCAATTTTGTAAACAGGGGTGGTCCTGGGCACAGCCAGAGACCCTAGGATCAGAGAAAGATGACTCCTGTTGAGTCCCCAACAAAGGTCTCACTCCATGTCTGGGTCAGTCGTGTTAACACTGAAAGGGTGGAGGGAAACCTAGAAATTGTGTATTCACTATGACTAAAAAAAGAAAATTTCAAACCAACGATGTCCCAATTTGTCACCTTAGGCACTTCAAAACTGCTTCAACTGGAGTAAACTTTTTTTCAGCTCAAACCCCAAACTGCCTAATTTTGATCCCAGAAGTACCAAATCATCGTCACCTCGGTTTCAGGACTCCGCAGAGTCTGGAAGCCGTCTTCCTGAGGAGTGGCCTGCACCCCTGATCTGGGGGAGGTTGCATGGCTTGATCCAGGCTGCTAGGGCGGGGAGAGGGGGGTGTCCTGGGATTTGGGTGCCTCCAAGGGACGTTCCGCCGCACCTCTTGCTCCTTGCCAGACACCGGAAGTGGCGGGAGGACTTCCGGCTCAGGCGGGCTTCACTTCCGGTGGGAAGTCTCGCACGTGCAGTTCTCAGGCTACAGGGACTGAGGAACCCTTCTTGAGGCGCCGCATGACGTAAGTCCCCAGGGCCACCAGAGGGATGCACATGGTGGAAGAGGCCACGAGCAGTCCAATGACGACCACAGCGTAGGCAGGATAGTCCTTGGTCACCAGCCGGCCCTGGGGGGACACGCAGGGTCAGGGAGGGGCCTTCCCGCTTCCCGCCACAGCTTCCTGAGTGCGGGCAGGCCTCGCCGCCAAGAGGTGGGAGACTGGGAGCGCCTGGGACACCCAGGTGGCCTCGGTCTCACACACAGTGCTCGACCATGGCCAGCCGAGAAAACAGGCTCCCTGATGTGGCGAGGAGAAGCCACCCAGGGGCGCGCAGCATGACGGGAAGCTGGGGCGGCCTCTCGGGCGTGAGTGCCAAGGGGCCTTCTGGGAAGCACGCTTCCCACAGGGCTCGGCCAATGTGTCGGCGCAGGCGCACTTCCTGGTGGCCTTGTCCCTGGGGCCTGCAGAGCCCTTGCCCGCTGGGGGCGGCGGGGGGGGGGTGAGGGAACCCGGCTTTCTCAGCCTAGCACATTACGAAGAAACTATTTTTCCTTCTCATTCTTTTTTGTTCCCCAGTGACTAATCCAGTCTGTTGGGACACTTAAATTAACCTGGGCCTGGGGCCCCTGGGGGAAGCAATTTGGGGACCCTGAGGGGACAGTGCCCTCTGGTGGCGTCATTTGGAAATGACGCTTCCAGAAGCTTCCTTGGGGACATTCGGCCCAGGACCAGAGGACTGTCCTGGCTTCCCTGAAGCACATGTGCCCTGCTCTTGCTGCTCTTGATAAAACAAGAGAACGATGATGACGGTTAGGCAGTTGCAAGCCCAGAGTCTGAGCTCTGGTAAATTCTTGGCAGCTAGAAATAGCAGGTCATGAACCCTTTGGGTTCTCGTAGAGCCACCTGGGGTTCTTGGCAGGAAACTCGAAATTCCTGGTGCCTTGTTTGGTAGCTGTGGTGCTGGTTTGTAAAGAAGAGACTTAAGATCCTAGAGACAGCTGGTGTGTGAGGAGATGGGATTGAACTGTCTGTTTATAGAGTGGTAACTGCATTACCATGTTCTGTAGTATGGCTAAAATGTTAAATTGGTGGATTTTGACAAACACATTCATCTCAGTGGGTTGGCGAGATGGAACAAAGGTGTTTTTAGAACTGGAGATACATTTTTTGCCTGGATTGCTGGCCAGTCAGAGTTCATTTTAGGCATTCAGTGTACAATACCTGTTGTTTGAATATCTCAAATACAGCAACTTTTACAGTTTTTCCTATGGGGAAAGAAATAACTTGATGTTTTCACTTTGCCTCATATCTCAAATCTCATGGTTAATCTAGAAATAATAAACTGGGTAAATAATTCATTGAGATAAGTGTTTATAAATGTATATGATATACAAAGCATCTGAGTTATTTGTAAATAAGGCAAAATATTGAAACATCAGTTACTAAGTTTAATTTAGGTACTCTTAATTTCATAAAATAAAATAAAATGTATTTTGTAGGTTGTGTTTCTTAAAAGCCTTTGTAATATATACTGTCAAAATATGTAATCTAGAAATGGGCTGGGCATGGTGGTGCATGCCAGTAATTCCAGCACTTTTTGGGAGGCTGAGGCAGAAGGATCATTGCAAGTTCAAGACCATCCTAGGCTACAAAGTGAGCTCAAGCCCAGGCTGAGCTGCATAGTGATCAACCACCACCACCACCACCACCACCCCCCCCCGCAAAAAAAATCTAGATTCAAAAACAAAAATACTGGGTTTTCCACTCCACAGATATACTGCTTTTAACGTATGTGCAGTTCTTACACCTAGAGATGACATTTACAGTTTTCTAGAGAATGAACATGAATATATAAATCTCAGTTGGCAAGCAAATGTTTGAGAATCTAAAAATAGACATGGTCTGAGTTCTATAGGTTTATAATCAGGTATTATTTAAACATATTATTGGACTTCTTGTATCTAAGAGATTTAATTGTGTTTTTCTTTCCTTCTCTTAAACCTAAACTAACAGATGGTTTAACATATACTGACAACAGATATGTGGTTTTTTGGCTGGGAACCACAAATCGCAATGGCCAATTTTGCATACTTCCTTAAGAGATAAAATGAAATTTGGGATTTTTGGTACCACTCATTTGAGATTTCCCATTAACTCTTTAGGGATGGGCCATCCTCTCCCACCCACTCAGACTAAAACTAAAACCACTAAGTCTAAAAAATATTCCAGGGCAAGGTCCTCCTTAGAATCACACTGCCCTGTTCAGTCATCCCAAGCTTATACTTGTTGGTTGAATCACAGACCTCTGAGTCTTCCACCAGTTTTGAATATTGCACTATCCCCACCTGTCACTGTGCACACCCAATAAACGGTGGCTGCTCTGTTGGTCCATCTGTCATCTCTCCTAAAACAGCACTTTGAATATACGCATCTTTTGAGTAAGACATTTGGATATGTTCTGTTCAGAGAGACAATCTGTTCTAAAAAATATGTTTTTAGATGCGAAAGTATTTCACATGATAAAATAAGATATCATTCTAAAATCAAATGACTGAATTGTTCTCTAATGAAAAAAGAAAGGAACAGATTTAAAGATCTAAATGAGTTGCAAAGATCTGAACCAACTGCAGCAGGTTTATAAAAGATTAGTTTTATAAGAGGAGACTGGTGTGTATAATATTAAGTTGGCTATAACTGAAAAGGGGTTATTTCCAGGGTTTCCTAAAATCAAATTTTATTTTATTTTATTTTTTGGTACTAGGGATTGAACTCACAACCTCATGCTTGCCAGACATGTACTTAAGCTGCTGAGCTAAAACCCCTGGCCTCTAAAATGAGATTTTAATGTGCACATGTAATACCAGAATTTAGTCTGTTACAATTTTTTTATTTTGTTTTGTTTTTATATTTGTCTTTTTGAGACAGGCTTTTACAGGCAGCTCATGTTGGCCTTTAACTCACTTTGTAGTCCAGGATGGCCTCAAACTCACAGTGATCCTTTAGACTCCAGAGTGCTGGGATTACAGGCGTGTGCCACCCTATCCAGCAGTCTATGATGTTTAGCACAAGGCTTTCTTGAAATACTGATCATGTGGAGGACCACCTGGATAACTCTCCATGAAAGAAGAGAAGTTGTCTCCATTTTGGCTAAACATGGGCCTGTTTCCATGTATTGATATGTACGGAGCTGTCTAGGACTTTTCCTTATCCCCTCACTTGGCTTTAAGCACTGCAGACTGGCTGGTGGAGGTGCTGATGTGTAGTCTTTGAAGCAAGGCAGCAGGTCAGTGTTGCCCTGTCCTGTAGCTTCCAAAAAGCATGTGTAAGCCTGGCAGGAGGGAGAGAGAGCCATGTTCCACAATGCTGGATGGGATGGAGCCTCTGGGTAAGAGGCTGTGACTTCCCAAGGCATAAACAGTTACACATCAGAGCTGAAGCACTGAGCCCAAAGCATTAGATGCGTCCTTGACTGTGTGATGCAAATTCCCCTTTCACATACCCTTCTCTCTGCACATTGCAGAGGGGATTTCAGGGCTCCTTCCCAGCTCAACTATAGCACCCGTGTACTTCACGCCATTCTCAAGTCACTCATTTGGGGCCATTCCCTGCTTCATGAATGAGTAAAACCTGGGTTTGGCCCTGGGTCAAGGCCTTTGTTCCAGTTAGCTATCATCCTAGCTGGACTTAGGACCCCTTGGCTCCCCACAACTACAAATATGCCTTGTGTTTTTATTCTTACCATGACTTGCATTAGAAGTGGTAGATTGGAATTAACTTGCTAGAATTCCAAAAATTTTCCATGGGATTACCTCAGTGAGGACCAGGAAGGGCTCTCCATATGTTCTTCATGCAATTTACAAAAGAAATGGCTCAAAGAACAAAGATTTTTGTATATCAAAATAATGTCTTGGGCTTTTTGCACTTATTAGGGTTTTGATTGCATTTAGGGAAATGAAATCTTTAGAGACTTAGGGTTTATTTAAGCATCTGTTACTAAGGCCTTTAAGGGAAGTCTGGTGCATCTCAGGTTAGATGAACACTGTAGGATAAGTGCTCAGCTTCATAAAGTTTATTAGTGCTTTATAATGCTATGTATCTTTTAGTGATACCAATTTTATAAAAAAAATTTAAAGCCTTTTGGTCCTGGTATAAGGCTGCCAGTCATGACTGTTGGCTTAATACTGTGAAAGAAACCAGATTGTTTTCCTGACTTGCTAAGCTCCTCTCTATTAATCCATGCACTCCTTATAGCATTTCAGAGGTGAGCTAGGTTCCATGTAGTCATTGAGGATAATCTTGCTTTATCCTGAATTCAAAATGAACTTATAACTTATTAATTAATTACAGCATTGGACATTAAACTCAGTGCATTTGTATGTGTGGCAAGCATTCTACTAATGAGCTAAATCTCAGCCCTTTGTTTTATTTTATTTATTTATCTTTGTCTTTTTCTTTTTTATCGGTACCGGGGATTGAACTCATGACTACCTGCTTGCAAGGCAGGCGCTTATGCCGCTGAGCTAAATCCCCAGACCGCTTTGTTTTATTTTTAGTGTTGAGACAGGCCCCAGCAGTAAACAGCCAGCAGAATGACACATGCCCCATAGAGACAGAGAAAGGACAAGAAGATGGGGTGTTCGATGGGGTGGGGTGACAATTTGAAAGCTCAGCACTTCCCCAGCTTCCCACAGGCAAACATCTGCTAGGAAGCAAAAAGTGCTGCCCTCCAACCCTGCCAAGAAGGTTTTGACAAAAACAGGATTTTAACCTATTCTTGGCTCCCCGCCACATATACCCCTGGGTTCCCTGCTGTCACCAAAGCTGCAGGGCTGCTGTGTGGAGGAGGCCAAGAGCTGCCTTCCCCAGTGGCCAGGTTGGGAACAAGTTGCTTTTTCCCCTTTCCTAATGGCAGGTAGGCAAGTGATGCAGTCATTGGACTGGGTGGAGCCCCTACTGAGCCCTGGTTGTAAGGGTGCCTAGCGTTCCCGAGAGGCAGGACCACTGTCAGAGCCTGAGAACACTTAGGTTCCTGGATGTAGACTGAATCTGTGGGTGACAGCATGGCACATGTGTAACAGCTCAGAGCCTGTCAGCTGCCTTGTGGATTGTGGTTCTCACCAGTGATCTCTCCACCACAGCACAGCTCCTGGAGTCAGAGGAAGAAAGCCTCCCCCGATCCCAGGTGAGGTGACTTGGGAGCCCAGTCACACCAACCCTGCAGGGATGACAGGTACCTGAGTGGCATCCCAGGCTTGGTACTGCAGGGTCCCCGACAGGATGTAGTCAGCCAGGTAGAAGAGGAAGAGGCTGACGATGAGTAGCGGGCTCACGAATGCCCACATGACCTTCCAGTACCAGTTGAGGGCACGGCCAGTCATGGCCTCGAGCTCGGCTCCGAATCTGCATGCAGTGGGAGAGAACCTGGGTTTGTGCTGCTGCCGGAGCCAGGCGAACCCAGCGGGTCCTCTGCACCTAGAAGTCTGCCCTGGGTACCCTGAGCTGTATGTACCCCGGGGCCCCTCGGTGAGGCTGAAGGGAGAGAAGGCCGGAGGCTGCCAGTAAAGGAGGCTGCCAGTAAAGGAGTCCCTGCTGCTGGCCTTCAGGGGAAACTGTGGTGTAGACCAGAGGGCAGGGCCAGGGGCGGTGGGGGCCAGGCACAAAGGATGCAGTCCAGTCTGTGTCCAGGACAGAGCCCCTTGGGTGGCTTTGCCTCCCTGCCCTCTGCCCTGTCCATGGGCATCAGCACTGCCTGTTAGAAACACCCTGGGTCAGGACCCCTGTGTGCTAGGGACCACAGGATTCAGGGCAGAGGCTGAGCCCAGCCTGAAGATCAAGTTGTTTAAAACTTCTCTCTTTTGATAAGAGAGGGGATGGAATTGGGCAAGAGGTCACTATCACCATAGTCCTGGTCTCCCGCACCCATCTTCTACACAGTGCTCATGGAAGGCTCTGCAGAGCACTGCTGACAAAGCCAGGCTTGGGGCTCCAGGCCACCAAGGCTCCTGTTTGTGACATAAATACCTGAGATGGTTAAATTGACAGAGGTCAGAAAGAAAGGGTTTTCTCTTTCCCTTCATCCCTCCCTGTCCACTCTTGGGTACAGAAAGGTGCCAAGCAGGAGGTCGTTGTTGCGGGAGGGCCACCAGATGGCACTGTTCCCATGCACAAGTGCAAGGGGCTTATGGCTTCTTGCCTTGATGAGACCCTGTCTCAACCGTGGGAAGTACGCTCAGTGTGAAGGCACTGGCTCCCATCCCCTGGACCAAAAAGGCAAAGCACAAAAACAACTTTGCAAGCTGTTGTGGATCAGCAGTGGGCCCCAGCTGCATGTTGCATCATCTGGGGTGACTGAAAACTTCCCAGTGCTGCCTGGGCACCTGTGGTGAGGACCCGACCTCAGTGGAATGTGCCTGATTCTTTAGGATGTCAGTTCTCAAGCAGACCGGTCAGGGTCCTCAGAAAACACTGGTGTTGGCTGATGATCAGAGAATCAAGTGCTGGGAGACTGGGTTCTCTTCCCAGGGAGCTGCAGGGTGCAGCAGGGCCAGCTGGGAACTTCCTCTTAAACACAGAGACAGGAAGCAGAGAGGCTGCTTGTGGAGCCCAGCAGAGGGCAGAGGTCAGGCAGAGCAGTGGGTGAGACTCAGGGAAAATGACAGGTTTGAGGGCGAAGAGCAACCTTCTAGAAGGGAAGGTACCAAGCCAGGGCGCTGGCGGCTGTGGGGTCCCCGGGCTCCTCACCTCCTCAGCCCGTACACGTAGCACACGGCGATGGCCTCCACCAACACGATGAGCAGCAAGGACAGCGTGGCCGCGTAGTCATTGAAGATGTCGAACCAGTAGCTCCCAGCCTCCATGGTGAAGAGCAGGCCGATGGCGCAGTTGACAAGGCACAGCAGACCTGGATGCCAGTGAGACACCTACTGGCCAGCCAGGGGCACCGCCTTCCCCTGCCCTCCCGCTCCCTCAGACAGCAGGGCCCAGCCCCGAGGGACTCTGTGCCCTGGGTCTGTCCACCTGGGCTGGAGGAGCCACCCTGCTGGGGACATCAGGCTCAACAGGAAGCAGGTGTGGGGAGCATTGTGCTCTCAGAGTGTCACCCAGGCTATGGGTGTAGGGTGTTGGGGACCCCGCTGCTCAGGCCCAGCCCTCGTGGGGAAGGAAGCAGGGGAGAGGCCGAGGTTTCCCCAGCTCCTGCTGTGTCAGGCACTGGTCCTCATGGAGTCCTTAAGCCTCAGGGCAGGGAACAACAGGGCCCTTTCCCCTGGAGCAGCCAGTGCCACCATGACCTAGAGCATGGGAGCAGCAGACAGGGCTCCAACATGACCAGTACCTGAGATGGCCTCCTTTGGCAGGTGGCTGGAGATGACCTGGCTGTCAGTCAGAGGGGTAAGGATGGCTGCAGTGTTTCCCAGCATGCTCCCCATGCCCAGCAAGAGCAGCATGAAGAAGTAGAGCACTGACCACAGCTGCGACACTTCCATGTTCTTAATGGCCTCGGTGTAGACGATGAAGGCCAGACCCGTGCCCTGGACAGCCTGCCCATGGGGAGAAGGCAGCAGTTACCCAGGAGACCAGTGGTTTCAAACACAGTGAATTCTGGCTCAGCCGAACCAGAGAAATGGGAGCTGCCTAGACACATCTCTGCAGAGCAGGGAAAGTTCTGTCTCCATGCCCTGCCTCAGCTTTCATATACTCTGGATACAGTGAGATCAAGCGTGGACACTGTTCGCTTCCAGTGTCATGACTGCCCAGGTGTCTTCAGCCCTCAGTGCTAGCGCTGGGGAGGTATGGTGGGCCCAGCTTGGTAGGAAGCTGGCCTTGTGGCAGTGCTCAGAGGGCAGTGTCCTGTGCTGGGGACCCTATGTGGACACATGGAGGTGTGGAGACTGAGTCTGCAGCTCCTGTTTAAAGACAAGTCCTCCGAAATGCCAGGGAGGCTCAGGAGCTGTTGTGGGCATGGGTGCCCCCGTCTCCCAGCAGGCAGTGCAGCAAAAGCAAACTCTGTATGTGTTAGTGCCTCAGTTTTGATCACCGAATTCCCAGAAATTGAGCAGCGAGCTCACACAGGAACTGGGAAATCCACAAGAAGACATCCCGAGTGAAGAGCCAGTGGGAATGAGAAAGCTAGGACTGTCCTCCCTGAACAGCATGTCACAGGCAAAATTGCTGTAGACTGGGGGGGTCTCCTCCTTCAGGATTCTTAGTTGAATCCCTGTCCCCCAATGTGAATGCACCTGGAGAGTGGGTCGTTAGTAGGCAGTTTAGGTTAAAAGTGGGGTCCTAAGTTAACAGGAATATGGCCCTTGACAGAAAGAGAGGGATGGATGGATGGATGAATGTCCCCATAAACCAGTAAGCCACATATTCTTGGACATACAGGCAGGTTCAAAGCAGGTGAGGAAGACTTCTAGCTACTGAACCAAAAAGGAAACTAGAAGGCAGAGCACGGAATCAGCATCACACGAGTTTCTGAAGAGGATCAAGGCCTTGTAACCTGGCATGGGGGCTACAATGTCTGCCAGGGAGGGAGCTCAGGGCATAGGCTGGTGAAGGCAGAGAGCTGGGCCAGAAGACCAGCAGGGAGAAAACGCTGCTGCACCCATGAACTGACCTAGAGCAGCACCACACAGGAAAGGGATTGCCAAGCAGACTGCCTTCCAACAAAGCCAGAAAATATCACCTCACAGGCAGCCAGAGCCCTTTGTCCTATGCGTGGTTAGTACTCTCTAGAAATGGTCTCTAAAAGGAGTCTCTAGAGCCCTAGAGACATTATATATAAGCATTTGTATTTCCACTAACACTTCCACCTCTCCTGTGCTAGCCAATAAAATTAGCAAAAAGGAACAAAATATAGACATTGGAAAGTATTGAAGTGTGTCTGCAGGTGTAGGATATTTTACATAGGAAGAAAACCCAAATCTATAGACAAAAGAATTCACGAATTCATCAAGGTGGCTCAGTGTAAGACATAGAGGATACCTGGAGGGATGGGTCACTAGGGGTATGACCTGGAAGGCTGTATTTTTGTCCCTGGCTTCCCCCCCCCCCCCTGCTTATTATTTGCTATGGATTGGGCAGCTTTCCTCTGCCATGCACTTCTGCTACACTGTTCCTGCCTTGGAGCCAGCCAGCTATGGACTGAACGCACTGAGACTGAGCCAAATAAACTTTCTCCATGCAGCTAGGCCTGCTGAGTATTTTTGTCTCAGTGATGGCAAAGTAGCTAATACAGATACAGATCTTGTTTTATTCTTCTCCATGTGGACATTGTTTCCCCAGAACCATTTATGAAAGAGAATGTCCTTCCTTTACTGTACCTTTGTGAAAAGTCAGTTGGCTGCAAACTGTGGGCTAATTTCTGGGCTCCCTTGTCTGTTCCATTGGTCTGTGTACCTGTTTTTATGCCAGTGACATGCTACTCTGTCTGTAGCTGTCAGATGTCTTGAAGTCAAGTATAATGATGGGTCCAATTTTGTTTCCTTGTTGAAGGCTGCTTTGACTATTCTGGGGTTTTTGGAATTCTACATGAATTTTATGATTTTATATTTCTATGAAGAATAACATGGGTATTTTGATGGGGATTGTATTGAATCTGTAGATTGCTTTGGGTAGTATGGACATTTTAACAATGATAGTTTTCCTAATCCATGAACATGAGGTATCTTTCCATTTTTGTGTTCTCTTGAGCTTCTTTCATCAGTGCTTTATAATTTTTTATCATAGAGATCTTTCATTTCCTTTGTTAAATTTATTTAAAACTCAAGCAACTCAATAGTAAAAACAAATTCACATAAGTAATATTCAAATGGTCTGAATAATCCTTGTTCAAAAGAAGACATACAGATAGCCAACAAGTATATGAAAAACACTCGGTATCGTTGTTAGTGAAATACAAGTCAAAGCCACAATGAGATATTATCTCACCCCACTTAGAGGGCTGTTACAAAAACAAACAGATGACAAGTACTGTGAAGGATGTGGACACAAGGGAACTCACATACAGGACTGACGAGAATGGAGATTAGTGCAGACATTCTGGTAAGAAAAGAGATTCCTCAAACAACTAAAAATAGAACTACTGCCCGAGCCATCAATCCCACAACTCAGAACGCATCCAAAGGAAGTTAAATCATATCACACACATACATCTGCACTACCATGGTTCTCACAGCAGTATTCATAGTATCCAGGAGTCAGAAACAACCTAAGTGTCCATTTACCCAGTGAAGGGTAGCTATTCAGTCACTAGGATGAAAACCTGTTGCTTGCAGTGCTATGGACGGAATGGCAGGAGACCACATTACATGAAATGAGCCAGACACAGAAAGACAGATACTCCACGTTCTCACTCTTATATGGAAACTGAAAAGTGAGCTGTCATAGGAGAACAGTGCAATGGCAGCCACTTGAGGCTCTGAACAGAAGTGGGGAAGGTGGATAGGAGAAGTGACAGGGAGGACCAGGGTGTGGACAAAGGTAGGACCAGCTCTGCTACACTGAGTATCATGGTAGGGTGACCCTGACCTAAAACAGTGTGATGCATTTCAGAACAACCTCGAGAGCCTAAAGGGTCCAGCACAGAAATGGTTAACACTGAAAAGCTAAAACTTCTAATTTACCCTTATTTGATCATTACATTTTACCCTATATCAAAATATGAAACTGTGCCCTAAAAATATGCACAAATATGTCAACAAAAATTTATTTGAAAAAGCACATAAACAAGGAATAAAAATGTAAAAGTGAAGGTTCTTGTTTCTAGAGAGTGAGGAAAATGTACCAGTAGGAAAAATAGGCAAGCTTTTAAATAAGTTCCTAAAATAGTAATACTGTCTTATTAAAATTTAAAATAAGAAAAGGAAAAGGAAAAGGGATTAAGGAAAAGACAATAGAGAAGTGCTTTTTAGTGACTAAGAATCCCAAACAGCAGCCAGGGACAGTGGCAGGAGAGGATCCAGTTATTCTTGCTCTAAGTCCCTGTGAACACGTGGGCACAGGCACCCCGGAGCCACCCGGCTGGCCCCTTACCGTGTCCAGCTCCGACTCCAAGCTGCAGTTTTCCAGGAGCGGGAAGACCTCGCTATACTTGCTCGGGTAGGTGGAAGCCAAGTAGCCCTTCACCTGCTCCAGGTTGCTGGCTGTCAGAAAGCCATCTTCAAGGTCAAAAGAATTGGTCAGCAGCAGAATCACCCTGCAGAGCAGACCACCAGCTTGACCTCCACTGGCTAGAGAGGCTGCTGGCCTTAGCGCCTCCCAGAAGCTTGGGGGTTGGGTGCTGTGCCACCTGCTCTTCCTTTTGCTGAGCTGAGGGGCAAGAGGGTACCTGTGAATGGCTGTGAGGAAGCCTCAGCCCTGACTGGGGGTGATGGCAAGAACCAACCTCCAACGGTGAGGTTACTTTAACAGCAGGACCAGTGAAGCCCAACAGATACTGTGTGCTAGGGCAAAAGCCACTGGAGCTGTTGATGTCCTGATCTACTAAGTAAGTGCTCTGAGCACCTTTGACTAGCCATGGTCCCCTGGCCCTGAATGCTGCTGGGAGGAGCCCGAAATCAAACCTTGGCTTGACTCCAGAACTGGAGCTTTTTGCCCACCTGTGGCTTCTGGGCAGCCACTTCTTGCCACCCTCCCTTCAGCTCAGAGCTCTGGGGACTGTCCTAACTCGAGGCCCAGGTCCTTGTGGGTCATCCCCGCTTACTTGTTCAAACAGTCTTCATAGTTGAAGGTGGCCTTGAAGCCATAGATGGAGAAGGTCACCACGCTGGCGAATATGGAGGTGGCGCTGTTGATGAGGGACACGACGATGGTGTGCTTCTGGCAGTTGTTAGAGGGCTCGTTGTAGCTGGCAAAAGCGATCAGGCTGCCAAAGCCCAGGCCGAGAGAGAAGAAGATCTGTGTGGCTGCATTGATCCAGGCCCTGGGGTTGGCCAGCTGTTCAACCTGGAAGGCCATCAGGGATGGGAACAGTGAACTCTATCAGTTGAAGATTCACACCCATAGGGAGGGAGGCCGAGTGGGCAAGGGCTTCCCCCAGCTCCTCCAGCCCTGGTCTGTGCGCCCCACTTCTCAGCACGCAAGCCACTCAGCAATCTTCCCATCACACTGTCCCATAGCACTTTAGAAGCATGTAATCAAGTGTCATGGGGTTGCAGGATCAAAAACACATGGCCTCAGACTTCCCAGCTAGGCCCTGTGTGAGTCTGGACATCCAGCCACGCTGGTCTGAGGCCTGGGTATGGAGGTGAGGCCTGGCTTCGCAGCTCCCTGTGGAGAGCTGCATCTCTCCCATCCTCCTTCCCCCCATCCTGGCAAGTGGTAGGATGAGTGAAGGGTGTCCTCACGACCCGCTCTGTGTTCTCACCTTGGGAGTAAACATGTACAGCAGACCATTGGTGGCTCCATGCAGGGTGAGACCTCTGACCAGGTAGATGATGAGCACACCATAAGGCACCAGTGCAGTGATATATGCCACCTGTGGTACCAGAGGATAGGGTCAGCATCCGGGTGAGCAAGCATGGCAGACCCAGCATCCCTGGAAGCAACACAGCCTGTTGGGTCTTCAGGCTGCAGCCCAACTGCTGCCAGCTGGAGGTGGCCTGGGCATTCTCGGTTGGATCATGGTCTGGCTTTGCCCTGGATGGGCTGGTGGGTGTGTTACCCCAGTCTGTAGCCACCAGGAAATTCTTAATTGGCAGACAAGAGGCAGCAGGCCCCAAGGCTTCTGCCCTCTGGCCTCCTTCAACCTGAATGTATTCCACATAGTTGGGGCACCAGCAAGTATTCCCATTGACATGTTCTCATTTCTGGGTAGAGAAGTCAGTCTGGGAAGCAAATAGGGGCGACCTAGTAGTGAAGCCACAGAAGAAGGCTGCCCATAGATGTGGGCATGTGTCTGCTCCGCTTCTGAATCTAATTTCACTCTGAACCATCTTTCTTGGTGCTGAAACAATGCAGGAAGAACGAAGATATCATAAGACATCTGTGTTATCTTTACAAAAGAAAACATTCAAGGACTTGAGGCTGGGCCCTTTTTCCATGGCTAAGTCCTGAGGGAGTCTGGCCAGTAATGCTCATAGAGGAAAATTAGTAGACATGAAATATGGGGGAAATATCCCCCCAATAAATTCAGTAGGAAGCAGACTGATCTGGTTCTCTACTACCCCATACAACTGTTGTCATTTCCTTAGACTTGAAATTGCTCATACATATTTTTGCCTTCTTTTGATGGTTAGTTGGGATTGAACCTGCAACCCTTACCCTAAACTACATTTCAAACCTTTCCACAGTTTCACTGTTAGGGTTGATACACTGTTTCAACTTGAGATGTTCAGAAGTTTAACTGAGAGACTCAGCAGGGAGTCAGGACCCTTACTTTGTAAATATCCTCATCTTGTGCAAAGGAGGATAAGATTTTGTGAATGCTGTACTACCATGAAGCGGGAGGGTGGCCTGGGTATAATATAAGGGAGAAGAGGCTTGTTTCCCCCTTTTGCTCTGGCTGCTGCCTTGAATTGCTGCCCTAGTGCCTTGCCACTCTGCCTTGGAGCCAGCTGATTATGGACGGAAACCTCCACAATAGTGAGCTAAATAAACCTTTCCTTCCATCATTTTGGGTGTCAGGTATTTTGTCCCAACAATGAGAAAACAGTAACCAAGACATTCACTAATTACCCCACACTTGGCTTGAACTTACTACTGTTCTGCAACAGCTTCCCAGAATGCTAAGATTACAGGCATATTCCATGATGGCCCTCTTTCAAAGCTAGGACACAGACCTTCAAGCGCTGTCTGCTCACGGAGGACTGCTATTTTTTTCTCTAAGTCACTTTCTACATGCAGCAGAGCCTTTTAAAGCAAAGAACAGTGTTGCAAGAGTGCTCCATGTTTGAGTTCCCTGAGAGTTTGGGTCCACCTGTGAGAAACATGGCTGGTGACCTCTCTCTGGATGGGTCTGAATTATATTCTGGCTGTCTCCTCAGATACTGAAGTGAATATACAGACAAAGAATTTAAAAGACCAATCTTTAAGCTGATACATGAGATGAAAGAAGAGACAAGTAATCACCTGAGTGGATTAAGGAAGATAGCACAGGATATGAAGGACCACCTTGGTGAAGAGATGCAAGTTATATCAGGTATATAGCTCAGTGGCACAGCACCTGCCTGGCAGGTGTGAGGTTGAGAGTTTGATTACTAGTACCCTTCCAAAAAAAATCTAATTTAAAGAGATGCAAATTAGGAAATAGAAACAAGCAGAAACCATGGAAATAAAACATCATTGAAAGTCAATGCAGTACACAAGATCACTGAGAAGAATGTCAGGAGCTCAGGACGGGATGGAATTATACTAGCATATTCAGAGAAAAGCAAAAAAAAAAAATAGTAATAAGCAGACTATGTAAGAGCTCTTGAATAAATCTAAAACAAAGAACTTAAGGCACTTTGGCTTAAAGGAAAGCATTGAAATATATAGGTAATGGCTTCAAAATACATTCACTGAAATTATAGCACAAAATTTCCCCAAACTACAGAATATGAAGGGTACATAGAAAAAGGAGGTATTTGAAGCCCAAAATATACGTGACAAGCAAAAAAACATTCTACAACACATAAGTCACATACACAACAAATAACAGCTATCAGAGAGATGCTCCAAACTGTAAGGGCAAGTCCATTAGAATAAGAGCAGATTTCTTAAGAGAAATCTTAAAGGCCAAGAAGGCTTGGAATGAAAGCTTTTCAGGCTCTGGAAGAAAATAATTGCCAACCCAAGTTACTATATTCTGCAAAGGTTTCCTTCAAAATTGAAGAAGACATAAAGATCTTCCACAATAAGTATAAACTAGAGGAATTTATGACTATCAATCCATCATTGAAGAATTTAAAGGAATCTGAAACACAGCTACAAGATGGGGAAAGAGTAAAGCTCACTGGGGAAAAAGGTAAACAAACCACAGACAAGAATATAAAACAGGAAAACAAAACAAAAAAAGACTGGAATTAGAACATATTTTTCACTAATAAAATTTCATGTAAATTGTTGGTAGATATAAAAAAAACAAGGCCCATCCCTATGCTGTCTGTAAGAAACATACCTCATCTGCAAAGGTACATAGAAGCTGAAAGTGAAAGCAGTAGTAAACTACACTATTGATCAATGGACTTCACTGATATTTATGGAATGTTTCATCCAACATCATAGAATTCACTTTGTTTTCCACGCACCATGGAATGTTCTCCAAAGCAGACCATATTTCAGCCCATGAAGTAAGCATCATTGAATACCAAAAATTGAAATAATCTGATGCATCCTATCAAATCACAGCAAAATGAAACAGGAAATCTATAGCAAAATAAACCATGGGAGCGTCACAAATGTATGGAGACTTAATACATTCTTAACCCATTAATAGGTCAGTGAAAAAAATCGGGAAAAGTTAAAACATCCTAGAATGAAACGATATTGGAAACACTATATATCAGAAGTGTGCCATACAGAAAAAGCAGTTGTAAAAGGGAAGTTCATAACTATGAGTAACTACATCAGAAAACAAAGCCCAAATAAATGAGCTAATGTTGCATCTCAAGCTCCTAGAAAAGCAAGAGCAAGCCAAACCTAAAACTAGTAGAAGGAAGAAATTATAAAGACCAGAGAAGAAATTAATGAAATTTTAAAAAATACAGATCAGCTGCTTCTTGAAGTCAGTAAGCTCTTAGCCAAACTTATCAAAAGAGAAAAGACCCAAGTTTATAAACTTAGAAGTAAAAAATTATGGCATACACCACAATTCCAGAAGATCACCCAAATTATGTTCAAAGTTTATATTGTAACAAATTGAATAACATAATTCCTAGACACCTCTGACCCACCTCTGTTGAGCCAGGAAGATATAAAAAATCTGAACAGATCAATAACAAGCAATGTTATGGAAGCAGTCATTAAAACTCAACAAGGAAAAGCCAAGAACCAAATGGATTGATGGCTGAAAGAGAAGGGGTACAAAGGGATTGAAATTGACTGAGATGTGTTAAACCAGGCACCTTCTTCTGGGAATTACACCCGGCGCCGTGGAGTGCTGCCTGGTGCTGCCCAAGGGGGACAGCAGTGCTGCTCCCGCTGCCCTCCCCGCCTGCCCACCTTGCCCGTGGTCTCGGGGCCCCGCAGGATGCACAGGTACACCATCGTCCAGGCCAGGACCAGGCACAGCGCCGGCTCCCACTGCACAGTCCCGCTCTCCTGGATGGACGGCGAGATGTTGAGGGTCTTCCGGTACCAGAAGTACTGTGTGGACGAGGCCTTCTCACACTCCTCGTCGTAGCCTGTGCGGTTTCCATTCAGGGGGCAGACAGACCACGGCAGGGGGTCCTGCAGGTTGTGCAGAGGGGTGAGAGGGAGGCTAGGGTCGGGGGGATGAGGGCAGGAGGAGGATACTGGTCTCAAGGGCAGCGGCTGGAGCTCCTGTGGCATGAGGAGTGCATGCCTCTAGGGGACTCAGAGGAGCCGCAGGGGTGCACAGTGTGGTTTTGGGGTGGAGTCTGTGTGCGGTGGCCTTGCCATAGCAGGTATTGCTGGGTAGTGTTTAGTGGCAGGGCCTAGTGAGAGGGTCAGTTGGGGTGTATGCCCTTTGTAACTGGTGGGACCCTGTCTCCTGTGAGAGATGACACATCTGTGGCTGCACCTGCTTGCGTGGTGACCTGCTGTCCTCTGTGTCCCTCACTAGAGGCCAAACCAATGGGCCAATCTGCTTCATCCAGTGAACCTTCCAAACTACTAACTGAGTAACACTTTGGTCTATGGGAGTTCACTGTGTCCAGTGTTTCATTGTGATTATGCAGAGCTCTACTCTTGTTGCCATCCTGCAGGTGGTTTGGGGAAGCCTGAACTGTGTTGGGAGTTAAAGGCTAAAATGAGTGATGGCAGAGAACTCTGACCCCCTCCATGTCATGAACTTATGAAGGACAGAAGGAAATGAGTATTCAAATAATTTTTTGGAATCCTTGATGCCCACATCCCTAATGCCCACATTTCCAAGAAATATTAGAAACAGCTGCCCCCATTTAAATGCACTTTATTTAGAAAACGGGCAAATCTTCCTGACTTTGTTAGATAAGACACATTGCTTCTACCTTTGAAATTTTGTCTTCCTAAGTGCACAAATCTATAATGCCTGTAGCTCTTTTGGGAGTGCCACTGTGCCATACACAACCTCCCCAACCATACATGGCAGCTCTGCACAGAGGAGGGAAGCAGCCCTCAGGCTTAAGAGTCAGAGTAGTAGACTTGTTTCTAAAAGAAGGTTGGGGCCAGGTGCTAGGGTGGCAGTGAGAGCCTTTTACTCCTGTTCAACAGTAATTCTTGTCACCCTCGAAATGTTCAGTGAACATGCAGCTCAGGTGAGTGTGCTAGGATATTATTTCATCAACAAATGCAGTAAAAGAATCAAATATACACATGCAGAAAATTGCACCAGAAAACATATTTCATGTGTTACTAAAAAATCTGAAAATGGATCATAGACCCATTTGTACCACCCATCACTCTAAAATCTAAAGAAGAAACAGGAAGAACTTTTTATAACCTTTTTTAAGGCAAAGAGGTGAATGGAGGGTGGGTAAAACCTTATTTGTATTTACAGCTGCTCCCCAGCACTGGAGTTAGGCCTGAGCTTTACCTCCTGTCAGATCATAAGGAAAGGGGTTCCCATAGTAGCGCAAAGCTCACTGTGAACTTCAAAGGTGAGGAATCTAGGCTGAGAACTTTTTGTGAGAACCTAGTGCCCAATGACCTGAAGTAGGCCTGAGGCTGTGACTTTAACACTGGGGAAAGGACTCATTATCTATCACAAATATATACTAATTTAAAAAAACTTTTAAAAATCCCTTCCACCCCAGTCCATTGAAAAAATGTCTCCATGAGACCATTTCTCAGGCAAAAAGCTTGAGGATCACTGAACTCTAGGGAGAAACAGAAAGATCCTACACAGAATTTTGTGTTGGAGAACAGCCCCTGCGTTGTTAAAGGGTGATAGTTGTTCTTCTGGGAGAAATCTGGGGTTTGTTAGGAAAAGGAGAGGCTTAATCTGGAGTCTGAAACTGGGAAGGATAAGTGGCCATAGCAGGAAGGGGTAGAAGGGGAGAGGAGAGGAGGAGGAACAGCCCTACAGTACTGCTGGGATATGGAAATCACTCTTACCAGTTCTTGCCATGGATTTGTTCCTGGACCCATTAAGAGATCATTCTAATATTTTGAGGATCTCAGCTTATGAAAGCTGTGGACCATCTCTCTCTAAATGTGTGTACAAGCACATACACTCTGCACCCTGGCTTGCAGCATGAGCAACCTTGGATCCACTTGATATGGGGTTCTTGGCTTTCCCTTGTCCCTCGTGCCACTTGATGGCTCCCCCTGAAGCTGCCTCCTCCTGTTCTCAGGCAGAGGCCCTGCATTTATTCCCTGATGCCCTCTGTCTCACCTGGAAAGAGTTGAAGAAGTACCAGAAGCCCCAGGCATTGATGATGTTGTAGTATATGGCCAGGAAAAAGGACACCACCACGCTGGCCACACCTGGGGGGAAGCAGAGGGCAGTGATGGGAGCCATATGTGGGTGGCCCACCACCTTCAGTGAGTATTTATGGGACAGGAAACCTCCCTCCACAGGCAACTGTGACCTTTTCATGAAGGTGTTTCTTTCCCCAACCTTTCTCTTCTCTTTTGGGATGAGACTGGTGACATCTTTTGAGATGAAGTGCCAGGTCCTATGCTAAGTACGACACATGCACATGGTCTTCATACAGTATTGTTCCCATGTCACAGAGGAAACCACTGAGGCACAGAGCTGGCCCAAGCCTACCCAGCTAGTGAGTAGCAGAGTTAGGACTCAGAATTCTGGGAGAAGCACTTTGCCACTGCCACATATCACTCATGTACCCAGTAAGACAGTTGCTCACTCCAGCTCAACCATGTTTGGGTTTCAGGGACTAACTCTGTCCAGTGGTTTTAGGCTAGGGTGAGGGGGAGTTAGGAATAGAGACATGGTAAGACCTGTATGGATCCCATGTAGAGTCGGCCACCAGGGTGCTCTGGGGGTCTAGGGAGCCCACATTGGCTCACTAGAGTACTCCCTACCCTTCCCATTCCACATATGGAGCAGCTTGCAAGTCTGCAATAGGCCATGGTGGAAGACTATGCCACTGGCATCAGCAAGCTACAGGACAGCTGGGCAGCAATTTCTCTTCCACAAATTCCAAAGCTGAGGCCCAGAGAAGAGAAGTCAGGTATATCAGTGCCCAGGGGCTGCCCTGTGGGTCAGGGTCCCACCCCTTCTCAGCCAGGTTTGCTGGTGGCTCCCCCTGGGCCATCAGTTCACTCAGTCACTGCTTACTCTGGGATCCTGTGCTTGTTCTAGAGCCTCATACCTACCCCATGCCACCTAGGGGACAGTATGTCTCTGTGTGGGAGGGAATGGGGGAAGCCCACATACCAACACCTCCAAGGTAGGGACTGATGGTCCTCCAGGCACCAATGCTGCCCTGCCGCATGCGCTGCCCCACTGCCAGCTCCAAGTACAAGAGTGGCATTCCTTCCACAATGAGCATGATGAGGTAGGGGACCAGGAAGCTACCTGTGAGCATCCAGAGCTGAGGTCAGGCCAGCAGTGTTAGACGGGCCACTTAGGGCCACCCACTCCCCTCTGCAAACTCCCTTGCATCAGCCTGCCTTTCCCCTTGTTCACTCTGCCTTCTACCTCCTACTCATCCATTTTCCTGTCTGACTCCATTCTTCTGTCTGTAAGTCTTCCACCTATCCACACATCCATCCCTCTGTCATTTCGCTGTCTAATGACCATCCAGCCAGCCATCTATGCATCTATCAGTCTACCCATTCCTTTATCTACCCATCCATCCAGTCATCCACCGTCTGCTAAACCAACCATCATCTATGAATCCATGCACCCATCCACAAAGCATCCATCCATATTGAAAAACCCACCCATCTATGTGTCCATCCATTCATTCATTCCATCCATGCATCCACTCATCCATGAATAACACACCGACTTGTCAGTTATAAAAATGTTCAATACTCCTAGCCCAAGAGGCAAACAGCCCCTGCCTTGCTTCCCTGGAGTGCCCTCCTCAAGGCCTCTGCTGGCTGGTCCTCTACCAGAGCCCCCATTGCATCTCCTGTGTCCTCAGGGCCAGGACCACTGAGTCCCTGCATATTTGGAGCTCCTCCTCTTTCTCCTCCCTTGAGGTCTTGTACAGCCCTCACAGTGCCCAGGTAAGGCAGTGTCTGAAACACCATTTACTAAGCACTGGCTGTAGCCAAGGCAAGAAACTGGGCAAGGGCCAGTGAGAGAGGAGGGTGGGGCCTCTGGGGAAGAGAAAGCTGAGGCTACCACTGCAGGGATTAGGTGAGTCCAGCACCAGCTGACTCCTCAGGTGTGAAGGTAAACAAGGCAACATCTGTCCTTACAGGAGCACTGCTCAGTCACACACGCTGCCTCCACAGTGCATGTACAATGGGCTGTACCAGTAGGGCTTACGGCCATGCTCTGGGCCACCCAGGAACCTGTGCGTCACTCCGAGCAGCTACAGAGAGTCACCCCGAGAGCAGGCCATTGTGCATCTCACGATGGTGGGCATCCAGTCTGGGCCCATTTCCTGCCCTGTCTCAAACCGTGGACACAGCCTGGCCCACTTGCTTAGTTATCCCTGGGGTGACGGATCCCAGAAGTAGAAAGCCTGGGACACAGCCCAAGGAGGGAGTGGCAGGGGTGATGGGCAGGGAGAGCAAGGTCCACACCCCAGCCCAGGACTGCCTGGCTCCTCCTGTGCCCAAATGGGGCCTTTGCACTAGCCTTTTCTCTCTAGGACTCTGCTAGGGTCTCTCCTGGCCTCACCCCTTCCTGGTCTGTATCCACTTGTGTTGGCGCCTCACCAGCTGGGTGGTGAAGGAGGCTGAGACTGTCCATAGCTCCCTCCTTTGAAATCCCTGGGCTTGGTGGCTATGTTCCCACAGCCCACATGGAGTAGCACCCCAGCCTGAGAGGTCAAAGGAAGATCTCACTTTCACCAGTGTCACTGGGGACTGCTCCCAGGGAGGCTGAGGCCACCTCGGCTCAGTGGCAGGGCCTGCCCTCCGGCCAGCTGCCTAGGCCAGATAGAGACACAGGCCTCGGGCCCAGGTGGAGTGCAGGCCTTTAGTCCCTTCTCCCACCCTCAGTGAGCACCCAATTTAGGGAAGTGTGCTCTGAAATGATTTTGTCAATAAATGAGAATTGAACATCCTCGTGCAGAAAACACACCTCAACTCATGTTTCATGTGTTTTATATAAACAAAAATCCAGAAGGGAATTACAAACTGGTGTATATAACTGTAGAATCTCAAGAACAGAAGAGTCTTTGTGACCTTGGGTTAGGCATGCCTAAGTTCTTTTAGATAACATAGCATAGAAAGTTGACAAATAGGTCCTTATCCCTTCTGCTCAGGGAACAAAAATGCAAACTACAAACTAAGGGAACATGTTTGCAAACCATATATGTGTGAAAACAATCATGTCAGGTATATATAGAGAATTCTCAAAACTCGGTAGTAAGAGAACAAATTCTCATTCAAAAAATGTACAAAGTGTCATGCAGACAGTTAACACATCTTGGACCATTTATGCTGTGTCTTGGATGTCTTTGGCCAGATCATCTGTGCTCTCCCATCAGGGCTCTGAAGCCAACAGCTTGGGTTCTTTTTGAGGTGGGTCCGGCACGACCAATATGTGAGGTACACATGTGAGAAAGGGTACGAGGGGGCAAGACAGGGCTGGGCTGTGTTTTAACACAAACCCACTCCTGTGATGATGGTGCTTACCCTGCCATGCAAGCAGAGGCTTCACCACCTAGTCACCCTGAGATTGTCAATCTTGATTGTCATGTTGGCTGGATCGGGAAATCCCTGGGGAGTTGGTAAAGAACATTTCCGGATGTGTTTTGAGGGTGTTTCCAGAGAAAATGCGCATGAGGGACAGCACGCTGAGGTGGGGAAGCCCACCCTGAACAGAGGTGCCACCGTGTAGTCGTGTAGGTCCCAGATGGAGCAAAAGTAGGAAGTAGGAGGCCCAATGGCACAGCCTCTCTGGCTGTCTCTTTCTCTCTCCTTCCAGGCTGCCAGGAGGGGAGCAGCTCTTCCCCACCACCACCGTCTGCCATGGTATTTTCATGCTGCCACAGACATAACTGCGCACAGTGGAGCCAGCTGGCTATGGATCAAACTCTCAGAGAGCTCCAAAGAAACTTTCCTCCTCAAAGTTATTCTCAGGTATTTGAGACAGCCATGAAACACTGACTAATACGCATCTCTGAGCGCAGGGTGAAATTGCCTTGTGGGTTAAGTTTCCAGTTTATGAGCTTTGGGAGACATGCTTGAGCCACAGCAGTAACTGTGACTGGCATTTAAGCACACCAGGTGTTCATTAGGAAAATGCAAAGACAGACCACAGTGAGATGCCACACACGCATCAGAATGGCTGGATTTTCCAAGTGCTGTCAATGTCAGGTGCTGGTGAGGATTTGGAGAAAGTCCCATAGATTGCTGGTGGGAATATAAAATGGAACAATCTTTTGGACCAGCTGTTTGGTGATTTCTTATGAAGGTAAGCATACATTTATTGTGTGATCCAGCAGCACTATTCCTAGGCATTTATATGAAGAAAAGAAAACTGATGTCACACAAAGTTTTATATGCATCTTTTATAGTGGCTGTGTTCATGTGAGTAAATAAATAGACAGATCATGGTATATTGATACAATGGAATGCTGCTTAGCCAGTAAGAAAGAGCAAACTATCAGGATCCCAACAATGTAGATAAATCTCAAAAACACTATACATTTAAGCTAGTGGTCCCTGACATTTTTGATACCAAGAACAGGTTTAGATGGGGCTGGCAGGTGGTTCTGGGGATGTTTCAGGCTTCTTACACTTTCTGAGTACTTCATTTCTATTACTACACTGTAATGTATAATGAAATAATTATATAACTCTCTCACCATAATGCAGGATCAGTGGGAGCCCTGTACGCATTTCCCTGCAGTAGATGGTCTTAGCTGAGGGTGGTGGGAGACAGTGACATCTAAAGTGTGCTGCTTAGGTTGTCTCGTCCCTGATCTTGTTTGGGTGTCAAGGGAACCCTGCTTTACAAACTAGGTGGTGGGAAGGAAAGCAATGTTTGCAGTGCTTTTGTGGTAACTTCAAGATATTCTGCTTTGACTTTAATCCACAATATACAGAAATAAGTTTTCTCAAACATACTTCTTTTTTTGATCTTTTGATCTTTTTTGAGACAGGGTTTCATTTTATGGTTCAAGCTGGCCTTGTACCCACTTTGTAGCTGAGGCTGGCCTCAAACTCATTGTGATCCTCCTGCTCCAGCCTCCCGAATCCTGGGAGTATAAGTCTGCACCGCTGTACCCAGCTTTCTTAAACATAGTTTTAAGGCCACTGCCATTTGCAGTCTCAAGCCACTGATCCTGTTCTCTCATGGGCAAAGTCAGTCCACCTGCTTTTTCACAGATGAGTTTCAGATCCATCCCTTCCCAGTGTGGGTGTCTTTTGTGGTGGGAAGTAATGATCGAACTCTCTTGGAAGCTGATATAGGTGGTTGTACACTAACTAGGAGGGTGAAGGCCCTGGCTCAGTTGCTTCAAAAATCTCTGCTAATATTTAAAACATGTCAAAAAGTCCAGTGTTCACTCATCACCCTCAGAATTCCAGTTAGCTTTGAATGCAGCCACTTCATCTGCTGATCTGAACACAGCTGTCATTTTGCCCTGTACTGCCAGACTGAATTTGTTAAGCACATTCAATATTTCACAAGCTAAGCAAGTTTTGCAACCCATTCTGTGTCACTGAAGTGTGCTGCCAATAGGGAATGGTACCTGAAAGAACTATCTCAAGTGGCTTATATAACTCAAAATCTGCCCAGTGATCTATCTTTAGGAAGCTGTCTCCCTTCTGTGTGTTAGAGATGTGTATGCTCAGCGTCTGTCTTTTCACAGGAGTGCACTAAGAGATATGTGTTAAGGGCCTGTGCTTTAATGAATTTGATAATTTAAATCATATCCTGCACACCATTGCTAAGTTCAGGGGACATTTTCCAGCTAGCCAGCATTTCTCTATGGATTTCAGTGTACAGACCCATGTGCAAATGCAACCTCTTTGACCTAAGTGGTAAAACCAGGAAGCCTCCATTCCTGGTAGCCACTGCAAATACCAGCACCAGCTGACAGGTTCAGGTCACCTGGCATGGAGTGATCCAAAGACCCAAAAAGCTGTGCAGCAGTGTTGTTGACAACAAAAGTGCATATAACTTATCCTCATGCACATCCTTGTGTACAAGATATTGCACAAAACACGCACTGTCATCAACATCATTATGCACCAATGTGACTCATTAATCCTCTCCAGCAATTGCTTCAGTCTCTCTGTTACTCCTCAGTTTGTCTAGTTACAGTGCTAGTTGGAAGAGGAATATGTGCCACCTTTTTAACTGCAGCTTCCCGAGAGTCATGATGAATGTCTGCAGCAGCAGGTGGGCCCAGCTCTTCACCCAGAGTAAGGGTTGTCTTTGCTCCAGCAGTGTGTTTAGACGCTAGGAATGATGCTGTCAGTGCAGATATGTGATGGAGCGGTGGCCTACAGTAATTACATCTGTCCTTCATGTCCTCATTTCTTGTCTTAAAAATTCCAAAGGCTCACCTTTTAATATGGGGCTTGGTGTCTGTGTTGAGTTTTGAAGGTTTCATGTCTTCATTGGATGGCAGGTACCATGTATTATGTATAATATGAATATGCAAAATATGAATCACCTGTTGCAGTGAACCTGTAATTTAAGTAAGACCCAGTATTTTCTTTTAAATGCAGCTTTCTTTCTTTCTTTCTTTGTTTCTTTGTTTCTTTGTTTCTTTCTTTCTTTCTTTCTTTCTTTCTTTCTTTCTTTCTTTCTTTCTTTCTTTCTTTCTTTCTTTGTTTCTTTCATTAGCAGTTTTAGAATCTCTGTCTCATCATCCCCTCTTTCAAAGAAGCTCTCCAGTGATGTGTTTCTGTTCTTTGTCTTACTCACTTTTCTCACTTTTGAGACACAAGGCCCAGCACCCCCAAACTAAAGGAGATTTACTTTGGCTCACAGTTTAGGCCACAGTTGGTTGGTTCTAAGGCAGAAATGGTGCAGTGGAAGGGCCTGGGTATAGGTGGAGAAGAGCTGCTCATATCATGGCCAGGAAGTAGAGAGAGATGGGAAAAGCCAGGGAGGGAGATGCACCCTCCCAAGCTATGTGCCCAGTGACTGTTCCTTCTGACCAGGCCGACCTCCCACCAGCACTCTGGGTTAATGCACTGGTGAGCACAGTGCCACTCATGACCCATCTACCCCCAAGCACCCTAATTCTGCACACATGGAAAGGTTTGGAGGTTACTCTTGATCAACCCTAATATTCTCATTTAGCTAGGCTTAGGCTGTGGGTTTACCAAACTGTGATCAAAACAGGCATGAGTGTGGGAAGGAGGCACAAAGTGGCACATAAAATAATGAGCAGCAAAAAACAAGGCAAACTAGCTTGATGCAGATATCTCAGTGAAAGAAACACTTGTTTTGTGATCAGTTTGAAAACCAGTCTTGCCCCTCTGACTCCCTGCACCATCTGCCATCTCACTGGCCAGGGCTGCAGTTACCCAGAGTTCCCGGCCAGTCACTTGTTGTCAAGTGCAGAGCCTGCCCTGCCCTTGCACACCCTGGTCATTCTCACGTTGTTTCAGCACAGCCTTGCCCAGCCCTCAGCTACAGCCTGGCTGCTCTGGGCCACAGCAATGTGTCTTCACCTGGGCTAATGTCCAGCAGGAGCCACCATGTGAGGGTCACATTGGAACCATGAACCAGAGACCTGACTCAGGTGCCTGGGAGAAGCCCTTGGCATCAGAGATAGCTGCTGTGGCCTGCCTCTTCATGCTACACACACAACTGCACATGTGCACACTACAGTGTGACCCCCATCTGTCCCCAGAGCCTCACTCCAGTGTGTGTGTGTGTGTGTGTGCGCACACGTGTGTGCCCAGGCTGAGGTAGAAGAGAAGGAAGAAAGATGAGGAAGCAAGGAAACTCATAGTAGTAAAATTGGACCTTTTAAGAAAAACTGAAGCTTCAGGATACAGAAGTCATTCTAGCTTAGTCTCCCTCCCAGGAAAGATTCCTGGGGGCCCACACAGTAGCGCTTCTTGCTGTGGGCTCTGCTTCCCCAACCCCTCCTTAAGGAGCCACTGCAGGGAGACAGGGTCTCCCAACACCTGTGTGACTCCGCCGTCACATCCTAGATAACCCATGTCAGGACCCCGAGTCCCCACAAACAACCCCAGCCCCAGGCCCCTCTCCCTTTTGAGGCTCACACTCAACTTCCCTAAGTGTGCACAGTACTTTCGAATTTGGCCCCTTTGCCTCTCCTGTTGATGCATCTTGAAAATTCTTTTTTTGTAATAAAAGTCTGTGATCCTGGGAGCTGCCCCCAACATGGGTGAAGCTATGCTCCCAGCTCCACCTTGGGGACCTCCTCCCACCCTGTCTGGGGACAAGGCCAGCTCTGAAGAGTCAGTGGTCCCCACCGCTTCCCAACCCCATGTGCTGGGATGGAGCCAGCTTGCCACTATAAGTAATCGGCAAAAAAAAAAAAAAAAAAAAAAAGATGAATTAGGCCCTGTGCCCTGCTCCAGGCAAGCACCAAGCACCCCATGCCAGGGCCCAGTGGCACGTAGGCCACCCACCTGTCCTCTGAAGCTGGCCCATGCACCAGGTACTGTTAGCAATGCCAGTCCTTGCTCTGGGCAGGAGCTCTGGAGGGTGCCAAGCAGGATGCAATGCTTTAAGCAATTTGGGATCAGCAAGTTGAGGGCACTAGAAGAAAATGGCACATCCATTGCTGCCCAGCATCCTCTGGTGCCACACAGAGCAGATGTAAGTGAAAAAGTCCTGCATCTCAACCACCCTGCTTTATTCCTCAGTGACCACCACGAACTGTTCCAAAGGCAATTTCCCAACAGTCGCCGCTGCCCATCTGGCTGTAGCCCCAGCAGGGGGAGCTGTCCCTGTCCTGGGATTGCAAACTTCAGAATTAACATTCCTCGCATCTCCTGCCAGGCAGGGAAGGAGCACAAACCCTAATCCGCTCACTTGATTCAAGGAAATCTTTTGTGGTTTATAAACCAATTCTTTGTTTTCGGGGGAAGGGTGCTGGCAGTGCATGGAGGTGCAGCCTGGGGGTGTGACCTGCCCGGCTGGGGTGGGGGTGAGACAGGTGAACTCCAGGGCAAGAGCCCAGTGGTCAGCTGACACGTGCCAGGACCCATTGTTTGTCCCCCATCTGCACAGCTACGGCCACCTGTCCACCCTATGCAGCATCCAGCTGTCTGTACACTCCTCCTGCCCAACTGTTTCTTCTTCCAGGGCCCTGAGGTGTCTGTGACTCCAGAGTCACCCAGCCCCACCTGTGCTCACCTGTATACAGTTCAGGTGATGGCACTGCCATTCACAAGATGCTAAATCATCAAATGACTGTGAGGGCCATCTGGCCTGGCAGCTGGGGGTTGAGAAGTGAGGCCCCAGCACAGGTGCTGTGGCAGGTATGCCAGGCCCAGAGCACTAGGGACATCACCTCCAACAGCAGCCCTAGCTGCATACGCTTTTCACACCCCTGTGGCACACGTGCACACACTTTAGCTTGAAAAGAGGAAGCAGGAATTCAGATGGACTTTTAAAAACTCTATGAATGAACTTTTTGTGCACAAAGGTGTTCTAAGCCTCAGTGGTGACGAGGAAGGAGCCATGTTTAGGTCTTGATCTTTTTCTTCTTTGTTTGGGGGTGGGTACTGGAAATCAAACCCAGGACCTTGCACTTGCCAGGCAGGCACTCTGCCACTGAGCTATACCCCGGCCCTGTCGGTCCTGGTCTTCTTAAGGGATTTTTTTAAGTACCAGAAATCGAACTCACAACCTTGCGCCCAGGCAGGCAGGCATTTACACCACTGAGCTAAATCTCTGGCTTCTTAAAGGATTAACTTTCATAAACGCATTGCACTATCTTTCATGGTTCTCCATGGTGAGTAAGAGAGATGTAAGTGCGTGTACAGGGTGCCAGGCAAACAGAAGGTGCCCAAAGATAACACGTGTCAATGCTTAGATCCAGTTTCCCCATTCTCTCTTCTCTGCATGTTTTTATTTTTATTATTTTATTATTTATGTTGGCTTTTTGAGCAAGGTCCTTGATAAGTAGCCCACGTTGGCCCAATGGATGGTGATCCTCCTGCCTCAGCCTCTCCACTGCTGAGATTACAGGTGTGCGGCACCACACCTGGCTTTCTCTGCATATTTTTAAACAGAATTGCTTAAAATATTGTCTCCATTTTATACAGCTTGGAGCCCTACTTTCCTTTTCCACTAACAATATGGAGAAATATCCAGATGGAGCCTCAGGCCCCAGCCCAGGGCTTGGGGTATCCCTGATACACTTCTAGTTTTTACTTTATCACAGCAACATTCCCTTTGGATAGAGCTCCACAAAACGGGTCAGCTGCCGGAGAAACTTTTCAGCCCTGAGACTTGAAAATCAATCTCTCTCTCTCTCTCTCTCTCTCTCTCTCTCTCTCTCTCTCTCTCTGTCTCTCTCTCTCTCTCCCCTCCTCTTTCTCTCCCTCTTTCCCTCTCTGTCTCTCCCTCTCTCACTGTCTCTCTGTCTCTCCCTACACACACACACTCCCCCACAAAGGTGCCTGGGCTGCACTATAGTTCTTTAGCTCTGCAAAGCCTGGCTGTGACCTTGCTGCTGTCTGTCTGTCCCCAGCTGCAGGGACCATGAATTGAAGAAAATTTGTTAAAAAAAACCATGCAGAATAACTCCCCTTTCTCTCCTTCTGTGATTCCAAACCCCCAACTCTTTTTTTCTACAAACTAATCTTTTAAAAAAATGAAAAGAAAAAGGAAAGGAGTGAAAAGAAAGGAAAAATGGCTCAGGACCCGTTCACCCCGCGGCCGAAGCCTGCGCCACCGAGCTGGCCACTAGGGTCGCCGTCCCTCCCACCGGCCAGTCCCCCGCACCGCGCACTCACCGCCACCGTACATCTGGCACAGGTAGGGGAAGCGCCACACGTTGCCCAGGCCCACAGCGTAGGAGATGCAGGCGAACACGAACTGCAGCGGGTTCCCCCATTGCGCCCGCGCCTTCTCCATGGCCCAGAGCCTGTTGGTCGGTGCCCGCGCTCCGCCGCCGCCTTTAACTCTGGGCTCCGGCGCGCCAGGAGGGCGAGGCGGGTGTGGGGACGGAGCTCCGCCCGGCCAGCCGCCTCCAGGAAGCCGCCGGGATCGCAGGTGGGGCCGAGCCGCCCGCACAGCAGGACACCGCCTCCCGGGAGCACCCGTACAGACCGGGCACGGCATGAGTTTCAGCCGTGCTTGACCTTGAGTGGAACGGCAAGGTCAGAGTGGCCACAGTGCCCGCGGCGTCTGAGCGGGACGGCGGGCGAATGTGCCGTGAAGGTTTAAATTTTAGTAGAGTCAGAGGCGCCGTCCAGGAACTTTCTCAGAATCCGCCCCTGGCTTGGAACACACAGCCTATCGTGGCCTCTCCGTAGCAGCTCGGAGTCCTCTGTCCTCAGTGTCTTTAGTTGTGCTGACCTGGCTGCCTCGCTGTCTTGAACTGGTTAAAAAGATTGATTCTTCCTGGTCCTTTTGACTTGGAACTGCCAGAAGTCACGCGGTGCCAAATCCGGTGAATACGGTGGACAAGGACCCGGCGTGGTGTTTTCCTGAGCTGCCTTTCCTTGGATGGTGCTCAGCCTTAGCTGTCACCGTATTTTTGATAACAGCTTGTAAAACACCCATGAAAGAAGCCTTAGAGCTGCTTCAGAAAGGGTCAAAGACCACAGCTCGAGGGTGTTCACAGTAAGGCGGTATTAATGTCTTTTACTGTAATTCTTTTTTATTTTTCTTATTTATTTATTTATTTGTCGTTTTGAGACAGGGTCTTGCTGTGCAGTTCAGGGTGGCCTTGAGCTCACTTTGTAGCCCAGGCTGGTCTCCAACTTGCAACAATCCTGCCTAAACCTCCTGAGTGCTGAGATTACAGGTGTACGCCACCATTCCTGGCTTTGTAATACATTTTTTAAAATGTCAGCAGTCATCATATATTTTAATCACACCTGGTGTCTCTGACTGAGAGACAGGAGAAAAGCAGCTAAGGCTGGCAGGTCCCAGTGGTGGACAGGGTACAATGCCCTGAGCAGGTGACAGATGTTTGAGGGAGCTCAGAGCTTGGCATGGGTCTGCCCCCTGTCCCAGGAGGAAGAGCAAACCACTTGAGGCCTTTGATGTCAGCTTGTGGGGCTGGAGGCAGGGAGGGCAGCCAGTGTGGGCACCTGCTGGGGTGCGCCCGGCCAGGTAATTAGGCCTGTGAGACCCAGAAGCCCCAATTCCTCTGGTTGCTGGGGCTGACCTGGTTGAAGGCTGGTGCTCCTGACTTGGCTAAGCAGGAGATCACCCAACCTCTCTGAGCCTGTTTGGTGCCCATCACCGCCCCCTGCAGGGTGGGGCTCAGGTAGAAATGGACTGAGACTGTCACCTCCCTCCTGCCCCCTCCCCAGGGAGAGCTTAAAAAGAGGCTGCTGACCCTGTGGACAGATGCACAGCGGGCAGGACCAAGGAATCTGATGTTGGCCACCCAGGGAGCAGTGAATGGGAATCCCAGGCTTCAAACAGCTGGTGCCTGAGAGCAGATAGGAAAATGCTTGGTAAGTAAACACAGTCAAAAGGAGAGGCAGGGCCATGGGCAGGACTTTTCCCTGGAGCCTACCAGAAATGACCCTGCTCTGTCCCTGGGGTCCTGGCCAGCAGGTGCGGACTCTGCCCGAGAATCGAAGGAGCAGAGCCCGTGGTTCAGCGCGAGGACCAGAACCAGATTCCCGGCTGGGCCTCGCCTGCAGTGCTGGTGGGACTGCAGGGAGCTGCTGGATTCCCAGAACTCTTGAGTGGGCTGTGGGAGGTGCCCATTCCCTTCACAGATGTTGCCTAACTGCCACCAGCCTCAGGTGGTGGGACCGGTCCACCTGCCCATTGTTTTCAGTGCCAGCCCAAACTCACACGTGTCATGGGTGCTGACACCCTTCCTGGTCCCCCCACCCCATGTGTGTGTGACAATTAGGACAACCTCCATATCCTTGACCAGACTGGGTGCAAAGCTTTGTTCTGCAGTCCCTGGTGGGCTTTACTGGAACTCTGTCTTTTCCTTCTGATTGGTGGCTCTCCCTGGTGTGGCCCGTGTCTGTGTGGCGTATGACAAATTCATCTCCATCCCCAGGTTGCTGTTCTAGTCTTCTGATAAAGACAGACTCACAACTTTAGCAAAGTCCAGTTTATCAAGTGTATCCTTTATGGTTCTCCTTTGGAATTTTTTTTCTTATGCCCCGTTTAAAAGTTCTCTCCCTCATCAACCCCAAGGCTCCCAAGGTCCCCAGGACTTAAATCCTCAGCAAAATAAATGGCAGTGACTCTCAGGCAGAGCCACTGCTGCCCCAGAGGAGGACGCTGACTTCTGCTGTGACCGGAGTTCTGCTACTGCCCTCCGCTGGGTCTCTGAGCTCTGATTTTGTAGGAAGGCCTTTCAACTGCTGGAGAGCCACTTGCAATCCCAACTTTCTGGGAGGCTGAGAAGGAGAATCACAAGGTCATACTCAGGTGGGGCAATTTAGCAAGTCACCGTTTCAAAAGAAGAACATAAAAAGGCCTGCAGATGCCCTCAGTATAGAGGCCCTGGGTTCAATTCTCAGTACTGCCAAAAAAAGAGCTATTGCATCATAGAAGGTGTTGCTGCTTCTTGTGCTCTTTTGTAAGCTCTTGTTCTTGTAAGTGAGTCCTCCTTGAGGCTTCCTGGCTGTGCAGTGACGCTGAGGAACCAAGGAGAAACGCCCAGCACGGCACCTGCCATGTGCTGCTCTTTGAAATTTGTGGTGTGATGTCAATAAGTTGCCTTTCGGATCCCTTTCCTAGGGTGCCAGTCAGCCACGCTCCCTGGGAGCGTGTACCGTGCGCGTGCACATGTATGTCTCTGTGTGTGTGTGTGTGTGTGGCAGCACAAAGACTCACCTGACCACACTGCAGCAGGATGGCCCCAGTGTAAGCCAGGCTACCTGCACCGCTGGGCCTCGGGGCCGGGCAGGATGCATTGCAGGTCTCTGTCATCTCTGCTCAGCTGGTACCTCGGCCTCCTGGATGAGAGAGGCACTGTGGACTGTTGGGGTCTCACAGCTCCTGCCTTGGGTGTTCTGTAAACCCTGTAGCCTGTGACCCTGGGCTTACTGTGGGCTCCTCTCTGGCTGTTGAAGAAAATGTCCTACCTGCTCCTCAGACCCTGATCTTCTGCAGACGGCACTGACAAGGAAAAGGAGCTGCTGATTGGACAGCAGAAGGGGTCATGGTGGCCAGCAGTGTCAGCTACCTGCTCAGAGTCATACTGCCAGAGGCTGTGACTGAGGCCACAGCCAGTTCCAGGCTGCCCATAGGATGTGGCCACGTGTGGGGATGCTCAGTAGAACCATATGTCAGATGCCTACCATGCAGGTGCTGGAGACATAGGTAGCCTCAAGAGTGTAGATGCCGGTAACTGATTAGGACCTGGTATCCATTCCCTCTGAATAATACTCTTCTGAGTATTTGTTACCTATGTTTAAAATAGATGATAGATAGATAGATAGATAGATGCAATCACTACTGTATATAACTTGGGGGGGTATTTGGGATTGAACCCAGGGCCTTCAAACTGAGCTGTATCCCTTCCCTTTTGTGTTTTTTGCTTTGAGGCAGAGGCTCACTAAATTGCTAAATTGCCCAATCTGGAGTCAAACTGACAATCCTCCTGCTTCAGGCCTCCTAGAGTGCTGGGATGACAGGCAAGTGCCCTCAAGATGATCCCAAGCTGCTTAGTGCTGCTCATAAGGTCTTGAGGATTTGTTTTTAACTGGGCCCTGAAGAACTTGACCCCTGTCCGTGGGAGCCCCAGAGCCTCCTCTCTTGTTCAGGAAAATGCTCTGTGTTTGTTTTCCCGAGCAGGCAGGCTAAGGCCTCACCTCCTCCTCTCCACACACCCTACCCCAGTGAAATGCGTGCCCTCCTCTCAAGCCCCAGTGCCCCATTTCCAGCCGGAAGAGGCTGCTCCCCCTTCTCCACCCCAGCCCTGGGTTCACAGGTGGCTTCCATTGCCAGGACCCTGTATGACTGCATCCCCTCGGGCTATGGCGGGCAGCAAGTCAGAGCTTTCCTTTCCCCATAGGCCAGGGACACTGTCCAGTGGGCCCAAGTTCACATGCGCTGTTCACAGCTGAGTTTCCAAACCTATCTGTGGCTCTGGTGCCTGCATTCTGTGTGCTGGGGCTCAGGGCGGGACCTGGGACCTGGCCATCCTCCACCCCACTGCTGTGCTTCTTCCATTGGGAGCACAGGGCTGCAGAACAGAAGTGTGTGTCCCAGCAGCTGGGGAGGGGCTGATGAGTGGGAGGCGGGGCCTCCTGAGCGCCCCCGAGAGGCAGAGAGTGTGACTAATGTGTGTGTGCGCGCGCTGGTGTTTGTGCGTGCTGTGTGTTTGGGGGGCTGGGCGTTGCCATCACTTTCCCTGAGACCTGCTACTCCCTGGCCCCTTGGGGTGTCATGGCTGTGGAGCTCCTGTGTTCTCAAACCCCTGGGCCTTGTCAGAGTACAGGTCCTGGCTTATGGGTCCTGCAGTCCGATTGGGTGCTGGACCTCACCCGATCCTGTGCCCTGGGAGGGAGCCCAGCCTCTCTGGGGTACATCTGTGGGATGTGGATTATATACACTGAGGATTCAACTTGGCAGAGGGTTGAGTCCCCATCACAGCAGGGCTTGTCCTTATGTATGGGGACATGGGACTGGAGGCCAGTGGCTGCAGGCTGCATGCTTTGAAACACATTGCCGTGAAGTTGGATCTGCTGCGCCGACCCCACTGGAAGCCCCGTGTGCTCCTGTCTCATCCCTGATGTCTAATGCAGAACGTAAAAGAACAGGAATGGAGACCAGTGGGACTGATGATCAGAATAAGGGTGAGACAGAACATCTAGAAATGAAGCAGCAATAATGGAAATTTAAAATGGAATTGTTTAGAAATGGGGTGGAGTGAGCTAAACCAATCTGATGAGCTCCAAGGTTATGTCAGGAAAAGTTAACTGGTACATTGCACAGAAAATAGGAAACCAGGGATGATGTATGGATAAGATATGTTGGCCAAGATGCCTGCCAGAGCTGACCTGGAGGATGAGGAGGGAGCCTTGGCTTCCAGTGACATGTGAAGTACTGAAACTGAGCGTTATCCACCAGGGTCCTCTGTGGGATGAAACACTGTAACACTTGCCGAGTGGCAGCACCAAAGTGGGGCTCTAGCTCATGACCAGTGTTGCGTTGCATGCAGGAGACCGGCACCCTTTAAAAAAATACCAAGCAGCACCTCAGTCTTGGTCAGGTGGTAGAGCAGAGAGCTTAGAAGACTGAAGGGGCCACAAGGGCGTAAGAAGGCAAAGGCTTCAAACTCCGGCGCTGTGCAGAGCAGCCCTGTCAAGGGCATCGTGCACTCGAGTGCCTCGAGCAGCTGCCGGGTCCGGTGGGTTCGCACCGTGAAGCTGGTGGTGATCACACAGCGCCAAAGGCTCCTGCCTTTCATTTCCACGACACT